GTGTACAAACGATTAAAATAGACGTTATGTCATGACTATTAGCGATAAGGCCTAATAATCTATGTCTATTTGCTGAAAGTTATGAAAAAAATCTAGACGTTCAGGAAGTTCTCAGTTATTTAAGGGTCATGATAGCAGCTATGTTCAGATGAGAGAGGAGAGGCGCTGTGAGCTGAGTCTATGTGGACATTGTGTACAGGTACAGTGAGGGAAAAAAGTATTTGATCCCCTGCTGATTTTGTAAGTTTGCCCACTGACAAAGAAATGATCAGTCTATAATTTTAATGGTAGGTTTATTTGAACAGTGAGAGACAGAATAACAACAAAAAAATCCAGAAAAACACATGTCAAAAATGTTATACATTGATTTGCATTTTAATGAGGGAAATAAGTATTTGACCCCCTCTCAATCAGAAAGATTTCTGGCTCCCAGGTGTCTTTTATACAGGTAACGAGCTGAGATTAGGAGCACACTCTTAAAGGGAGTGCTCCTAATCTCAGTTTGTTACCTGTATAAAAAACACCTGTCCACAGAAGCAATCAATCAATCAGATTCCAAACTCTCCACCATGGCCAAGACCAAAGAGCTCTCCAAGGATGTCAGGGACAAGATTGTAGACCTACACAAGGCTGGAATGGGCTACAAGACCATCGCCAAGCAGCTTGGTGAGAAGGTAACAACAGTTGGTGCGATTATTCGCAAATGGAAGAAACACAAAAGAACTGGCAATCTCCCTCGGCCTGGGGCTCCATGAAAGATCTCACCTTGTGGAGTTGCAATGATCATGAGAACGTTGAGGAATCAGCCCAGAACTACACGGGAGGATCTTGTCAATGATCTCAAGGCATCTGGGACCATAGTCACCAAGAAAACAATTGGTTACACACTACGCCGTGAAGGACTGAAATCCTGCAGCGCTCGCAAGGTCCCCCTGCTCAAGAAAGCACATATACAGGGCCGTCTGAAGTTTGCCAATGAACACCTGAATGATTCAGAGGAGAACTGGGTGAAAGTGTTGTGGTCAGATGAGACCAAAATCGAGCTCTTTGGCATCAACTCAACTCGCCGTGTTTGGAGGAGGAGGAATGCTGCCTATGACCCCAAGAACACCATCCCCACCGTCAAACATGGAGGTGAAAACATTATGCTTTGGGGGTGTTTTTCTGCTAAGGGGACAGGACAACTTCACCGCATGAAAGGGACGATGGACGGGGCCATGTACTGTCAAATCTTGGGTGAGAACCTCCTTCCCTCAGCCAGGGCATTGAAAATGGGTCGTGGATGGGTATTCCAGCATGACAATGACCCAAAACACACGGCCAAGGCAACAAAGGAGTGGCTCAAGAAGAAGTACATTAAGGTCCTGGAGTGGCCTAGCCAGTCTCGAGATCTTAATCCTATAGAAAATCTGTGGAGGGAGCTGAAGGTTCAAGTTGCCAAACGTCAGTCTCGAAACCTTAATGACTTGGAGAAGATCTGCAAAGAAGAGTGGGACAAAATCCCTCCTGAGATGTGTGCAAACCTGGTGGCCAACTACAAGAAACGTCTGACCTCTGTGATTGCCAACAAGGGTTTTGCCACCAAGTACTAAGTCATGTTTTGCAGAGGGGTCAAATACTTATTTCCCTCATTAAAATGCGAATCAATTTATAACATTTTTGACATGCGTTTTTCTGGATTTTGTTGTTGTTATTCTGTCTCTCACTGTTCAAATAAACCTACCATTAAAATTATAGACTGATCATTTCTTTGTCAGTGGGCAAACTTACAAAATCAGCAGGGGATCAAATACTTTTTTCCCTCACTGTAGGTCTCCATGCATTAAACTGAAATAACAACTATTATATAAAAAAAGAAAACGGAAGTCATTTTGTTTCTTGACAAGTTTAATAATAGAATACATGTTAATGCCTCTATGTGTGCGTGATTGAGTGTCAAATGTTTTAGGGTAAAGAATAAAATAACTTTTTTTGGGGGGGGGGAATATGCTTAAAAGATGTCAAGAGATTATCAATTAATTAAAGTTGCAATGTAGGCTGTGGTAGATGTTACTTGAAACTCAAATTGCCCTGTTAAAAGAAAAAAATACGTAAGCGCGGGTTAAACAATTTCGCCTATGAGTATCGAATATGTGTTCCAACTTTACCTACAGTGGGGAAAAAAAGTATTTAGTCAGCCACCAATTGTGCAAGTTCTCCCACTTAAAAAGATGAGAGAGGCCTGTAATTTTCATCATAGGTACACGTCAACTATGACAGACAAAATGAGAAAAAAAATCCAGAAAATCACATTGTAGGATTTTTAATGAATTTATTTGCAAATTATGGTGGAAAATAAGTATTTGGTCAATAACAAAAGTTTCTCAATACTTTGTTATATACCCATTGTTGGCAATGACACAGGTCAAACGTTTTCTGTAAGTCTTCACAAGGTTTTCACACACTGTTGCTGGTATTTTGGCCCATTCCTCCATGGAGATCTCCTCTAGAGCAGTGATGTTTTGGGGCTGTCGCTGGGCAACACTGACTTTCAACTTCCTCCAAAGCTTTTCTATGGGGTTGAGATCTAGAGACTGGCTAGGCCACTCCAGGACCTTGAAATGCTTCTTACGAAGCCACTCCTTTGTTGCCCGGGCGGTGTGTTTGGGATCATTGTCATGCTGAAAGACCCAGCCACGTTTCATCTTCAATGCCCTTGCTGATGGAAGGAGGTTTTCAATCAAAATCTCACGATACATGGCCCCATTCATTCTTTCCTTTACACGGATCAGTCGTCCTGGTCCCTTTGCAGAAAAACAGCCCCAAAGCATGATGTTTCCACCCCCATGCTTCACAGTAGGTATGGTGTTCTTTGGATGCAACTCAGCATTCTTTGTCCTCCAAACACGACGAGTTTAGTTTTTACCAAAAGGTTCTATTTTGGTTTCATCTGACCATATGACATTCTCCCAATCCTCTTCTGGATCATCCAAATGCACTCTAGCAAACTTCAGACGGGCCTGGACATGTACTGGCTTAAGTAGGGGGACACGTCTTGCACTGCAGGATTTGAGTCCCTGGCGGCGTAGTGTGTTACTGATGGTAGGTCCCAGCTCTCTGCAGGTCATTCACTAGGTCCCCCCGTGTGGTTCTGGGATTTTTGCTCACCGTTCTTGTGATCATTTTGATCCCACAGGGTGAGATCTTGCGTGGAGCCCCAGATCGAGGGAGATGATCAGTGGTCTTGTATGTCTTCCATTTCCTAATAATTGCTCCCACAGTTGATTTCTTCAAACCAAGCTGCTTACCTATTGCAGATTCAGTCTTCCCAGCCTGGTGCAGGTCTACAATTTTGTTTCTGGTGTCCTTTGACAGCTCTTTGGTCTTGGCCATAGTGGAGTTTAGAGTGTGACTGTTTGAGGTTGTGGACAGGTGTATTTTATACTGATAACAAGTTCAAACAGGTGCCATTAATACAGGTAACGAGTGGAGGACAGAGGAGCCTCTTAAAGAAGAAGTTACAGGTCTGTGAGAGCCAGAAATCTTGCTTGTTTGTAGGTGACCAAATACTTATTTTCCACCATAATTTGCAAATAAATTCATAAACAATCCTACAATGTGATTTTCTGGAGAAAAAAAATCTCAATTTGTCTGTCATAGTTGACGTGTACCTATGATGAAAATTACAGGCCTCTCTCATCTTTTTAAGTGGGAGAACTTGCACAATTGGTGGCTGACTAAATACTTTTTTCCACCACTGTATCTCAAGTTGTACTGCTGGTGCAACTAAGAACGATATTTCCTACATGGCCGAGAAATCTAAATCGCTTTTCTTTCAGACAACCTTGAACACGAAAATCCTCGCAATGATTTCATTTGAAGCTTTCTGATTTCTGAAATAGACTAAATGACAACATTTCAGTTCACTCCAACTTTTTTTTTATCAGGGAAGATCCTACTGATATCATAATAGAGCCTTGCCATGCATTGGCATTACGGATTTGGATATTGAGAGCTTGAGAGAAAATTTAGTTATTGACATAGCCTTGTTCTGTTCAACGTTCTCTACCTATATAGTATTCTAAATACCCCAATTCATGTTGTTAAGTTCAAAAGAATACAATATATATATTTTTTAATGGCTGACACCATTCAAACCAATGAGGGTTCGGAACATTAAAGTCAATAATCTCAGAATCATATTTTTGCAGACAGAACAATATAGTCCCAAACTCTCGATAAGATACATTTGGACGAAGTTATTGGATCTATCCGGGTGAATGAGCCGTCACGTTAACTGAAAGCGGCTCTGTAAGGGATACCTCATGTCCGCATTTGCAGGCTGTTGCATGCAGAGGGAAAGTCACAGCGTCATTAATAGGATATCATCGCCTCTGAGGAGAGGAGGTACCGCAGGATCCGTTTATAATAATAATAATAATAATAATAATAATATGCCATTTAGCAGACGCTTTTATCCAAAGCGACTTACAGTCATGCGTGCTTACATTTTTGTGTATGGGTGGTCGCGGGGATCGAACCCACTACCCTGGCGTTACAAGCGCCGTGCACTACCAGCTGAGCTACAGAGAACCACTTTACATCGTTTACATCGACATGGGCCTTGTTGCATGAGTAAGGGAGGGTTGGGGCTTAAAATTCACAAATATTCTAAATATTCCACATTATAGTGTAATCAAGGGGAAGTTCCAGTAAATGTATGTCAATTTTAACCCGTCAACCACGGTAAAATATAAACCAAATTGAATCATGTCATCTGATTTTGAACCAACGCAAATGTCACTTGCCATTAAAGGAAACAACTATATGTTCTCTAAATTATATTTTAGAAAATATAATAAGTTGTCGTTTACAATCACACTCGGAGACCGTGGGGTCAGTGGTCCCTTTTGCCACTTGACTCACAACACCTTGTAAACGCGCAAGTGTCTTTGCGCAATGCGCATGCTTCATCTCATGCCAAATAAATCCCCATGCTGGATGAACCTGTCAACCAATGGTGTTCAAATCTTTCCGGAGATAAAATAGGCGGTGTGGATGGAGAGGATTTCATCACAAGTGACCAGGGACCTTGAGCGTCACGCAGTGAATAGTAACCATGCCGAGGTCATTTTTGGTGAAGAGTAAACGGGCACATAGCTACCACCAACCTCGATACCTGGATGATGAGTACATAAGACTGGATACTAATTTATCCTTTATATGCGCAGGTGCGTCCATTTATGATGCTGCAGTGCTTTCAATAAATGTCATGCGTAATTGTCATCCATTAGCCTTTACGCACACAAGGAAGAATTAGCCAACGTTTGTTTTAAAAACCTGTAGTGATACGATTTTAATTTCTCTAAATTCGCGTGGAATGTTTTATGTTTGACTTTAGATTTCACAAATACAATATACATCTGTGATGAATATTATGAGCTTGAATGATGTGCTAATCTTTGCTTTCTCTGTGACTATAGAGCGCAAACCGCAGGTTGAGTTTGAGGGGAGCTGTGACGCGCAGGATGCTCATAACCATGGCAAGCTCTACCCCGAGTCCCATCTAGTACGCACGGCTTGCCTCTCCTCCACCTCCCTGCTGAGCTGCGTGGGCAGCGTGTGCGACCGCTTCTCGGACTATGACGACTACTGGCGCCCTCCATCTCCATCTGCATCAGCGGGTCTGTGTTTATAGTTTGTTGTGATGTCTATCTTTGCTCTGTCCTTGGTTACCATTACGCATATGCACAATGCATCTCCAAACATGGTTATTTGAGACTGTCCCTCAGCATTTCATATCTATCACTTTTTATCCTGTCCCATGGAGGTTTACCTGCATATTAAAAGGGTGTATTATTGAGTCATTATTGGCTATTTTTGTAAACAGTATTTGGAAACGTGACAACTCATATAGTCCAAATGTTTTCCAGATTCGGAACAAGGTTTCACTCCGTCAGTAGTCAACGCTCACCCATTCGCCATTCCATTCCCCCCTTATGCATGGACTACCTACTCTGGCTCCGAGCTCAGGCACATTGTGCAGCGAACATCCCAACACAATCTCTCCACAGCTCTGGAGCCTGACACACAGATGGGCATCGATGGATCCAAGGATGGTGCCACCAACTCCCCCATTTACGCACAGCGGGGCCCGCACACTGGATTTTACCGGGACATTGGGTCTACAGTGTTCCCTACCTATAGAATGCGGTACGCCGATAAATTATACTCGGACCTCAAGGTCTCTGAAATCAAGTCCGAATCCGATCTCATCTGTTCCGGTATAGAACCAAGCGGATCGTACAAATGCACGAGGTGTTTCAAGGTAAGCCTATCCACGCTCATCTACCACAACGCATACTAGGGTCAATTGTTCGATTTGAATTAGATGGTTTCCACTAATAAACACATTCGGCGTCAATCTGGTAGGCTATTAATTATGATCGCTTTCATTTTCTCCAAAAGGTCTTCTCGACACCACACGGTTTGGAAGTTCACGTCCGTCGGTCGCACAGCGGAGCACGACCCTTCGCCTGTGGAATGTGTTGGAAAACGTTTGGGCACGCAGTGAGCCTGGAACAACATAAAGCCATTCACTTACAGGTAATTAAGGCTCAAATGCCTCCGTATTTGCTAAAAAACTGTGTAACGCATGCGTAAACCATAAACAAAAAAAGGAACGAAATCATAAGATGTACATGGCAACAAGTCACACTCTCACATAACTGCATTTCTCACATCTTACCTGATTCACAGGAGAGGAGCTTCAACTGCAAAATCTGTGGCAAAAGCTTCAAGCGATCGTCCACACTGTCCACGCACCTGCTCATCCACTCCGACACGCGCCCCTACCCCTGTCAGTACTGCGGGAAGAGATTCCATCAGAAGTCGGACATGAAGAAACACACCTTCATCCATACGGGTGAGAGATTACGCTCACACCACAAAATATACGTTCATGATTTAAAAATATTATATACACGATTTTGCATTAGCCTATTATTCAAAAGTGTCAACCAAACAAAAACGTAACATATTACGTTTCTAAGTCAGACAATTACGAGAAGAATAACAGCACTTCAATATGGAGAACTCAAATGGACACTTTCATAATGCAACTTGTTTGTTTACATTATCAGGTGAGAAACCGCACAAGTGCCAGTTATGCGGGAAAGCCTTCAGTCAGAGCTCCAACCTCATCACGCACAGCCGCAAGCACTCCGGCTATAAACCGTTCAGGTGCGACCTCTGCTTCAAGGGATTCCAACGGAAAGTGGATCTGAGGCGGCACAAGGAAACGCAACATGGATTTAAATGAAAAACTGTGAACAAACATTGTGCTGGAGGAGGATTGAGAAGAAAATAGGCTAATATGGAAGTAAATTGAAGCACTTCAAATTTCAGAGGAAGGATTAACGAATGTATTTTAATATATGTAATTATGTCAATTTCAAAATACTTTTATGCAATATTATCATTGTTAATAGGCCACTGTAGGCCAAATTGTATTTTTTAATAAATATGCCTATGGATTAGTTAGCCTATTTTCAGAATAACATTTTACCCAACACAAAGTACATGATTTAGAAGTTTTGGTTGTGATGCCCAAATAGGCCTATTTATCTTTGTGCATGAATCATTTTTCTTGTTTTCTTCTCTAGCAGAAGAAAACGATTAAATGAAATACTACTCAGCAATTGAATGCCTAGTAGGCTATTTGTGAAAATGTCATATTAATCAATTCCTATTCTATTCCACCTTTCATTATAAAACACTGTCACTTTATCATCTTTAGTGTATAACAGAATCCAATATACATTTTGAATGGCCCCTTATCTTTTGTAAAACATCGAAGGGCTTAAATTCAAAAGTGCAGGAATCTAAACCAAACATGTTAAAATATATATTATATACTGGATAATCTTTTCTTCTTAATGAATAATAGGCCTACATCCACATTTGTTGTCAGGGAGTTGATACAGTAGGTTTAAACAATTGACAATTCCATTGCACCACATTCATTCAACACATTTTTGACATGAACAAGGATAAAATAAATGTAAACTCACACCACCAACAAAATGAACATGATATTTTACTTATGGGCTACAAGCGAAATGCTTTAGATATAATAGGCTTTATCTGTATGATCCTAAAATGTTTGAATAAAAATAAAATCTAGACTGTTGCCCATTGAACGACAGGTCAACTAAAATGAAGAAATGATTCAAAGTTCTCAGATTCCTTTTCCAGTCGTGTGAGCCACCTGGTCTAAACCAAATATCTTCAGACACACGTTGTTAACACACTTGGAACAAATGAGATTACAACACCATAAACTTCATGTGAAGGTAGTTCGGAGAAATAGCATCACTTTTATTGCACCATCCTCTTCCAGTATGTATGGCAATATAGTCGACAACGCATGACGTTTTTATACACAGTGGAAAACCTAAGTGTGATTTATTTGGTTGTAGAGGCATAGGGTTAAACATTTGAGGCTTGTAACTTTAAAGATTTGATTTAGACATTTACAGTATCAACAGATTCACTGTATCAACAGATTCACTCAACTATGCACCAGTGAAGTAAGAATGTGTTTGAAAACAAGCCTATTCAATGATACAGTATGCCTAAACAGTCTTCATTTCAGAACACTAAAGCCACATCAAGCACTCTCCATACCCCCAGAGAAGATGAAAGTCATTATTTGACTCTTAATTCTCAATAATATAATAGAATCAATCAAATAGAATCAATAAAACAGAAAAAGCAACCAAAACAAATAAAAAGGATAACCGGGCGGATATCTCTAGCCCTTGCAGTTCTTATAATAGGGGGAAAATGTAAAGGGTTGTTGTCTAGAAGAAGTTGTGTAGAATAGAGTTTCATTGATTTGTCTGCTGTTTCTCTCTGTGTGCGTGTGGACAGAGGGCTGGGGTTTTGAGTAGCTGGACTAGGCTCTGTAGGTCCTGGTCCTGCAGTGGGAGCTCCTGCATCAGAGTAGAGAGATACTCTACTGAGGCCGGGCTCTCCAGGGCCTCCCGCACCACCGGGGATACCTCTGATAACCTGCAACAAACAAACAAACATGGTCAGGAAAAAACTAAGGCCTATTAGTAAATAAGTACAAGACTTCTAGATGGCAATGTGACTAACTTGACCATTTTCAGAAATCTCATCAACAGCGCAATGCACATGTTTGTAAGGTTTAAGGGCACACTGACCAGGATTTGGGAGGGATTGGAAATTCACTGCATGGCCTTGTTGTGATGACGACCCCCCCCCCCTTTACGATGCAGTTATAATGCAATATAAGACATGTCATAAGAGTCTTTCTTACAGTGTCTTATTATGACCACATCTTAATGATCATGACTAAATAACAGACATTTTGAGTCAGTTGAAACCAAACTGTGGTTGATAGCAGTGCCACTTTCAATTAGTTAGAACCGTCTGTTTTGTCAGCGTCTCACTCAATAGGGCGTGTTACTTTACTAGTTAGTGACTATAGGACTAAATCAAGACCACATTAGTAGATATGGTAATATTAGATGAAGAAGGCATCATCCCCCATTGATTTTGACAGCTATAAATCAGAGCTGAAGTTATGGCCCCTCTCTCCTCTCTGGGGTGGTGTACACAGTGGATCAGCTAGGGATGGGGTGGAATGTTTCCCAGGGCCTGTGTGCGTGTCGTCCCTGGCTGCTGCATCACGGATCTTGAGGGGGGGGGTAATCAGGTGGAGGAGATAAGGCCGAGAGGCGTTTGTGTGTACACAAACGGGAGCAGCATGGAACTGTCCTGTACAGTGCCTGCTAGGCTCACGCCCTGCCCGCCACCAACCTGCCAGGGGAAGTGACACACACACGCCATCTGGCAAAAGCAAACAATGCAAGGGCACGCAAACACTGTAGATTGGAGATGTCACACACACACACACACACACCAGAGTGCACCATATACTGTATACCACACTGTATATATATCAAAGGCCACCATAAACACGCATGCGCGCACACACGTACACCTTTGCATTGCTGCATCTATGAGGGCCTGTGTATGCGTCATTCATAATAATGTACAAATTCTATGCATATGTTGATGAAATCATGTGTTTTTACAGGTTGACTTTCACTTTGTTTGAGGTCGATCAAAGAGGACAACCAAAAGAACACACACACGTGCGCACACACACACACACACACACACTCCTCTGCAGCGCACCCTGGACACACACACAAGCAGAGATAAATCCCTCTAGATTGAGTTTGTTGAGAGGGTGTTCCTCCAGGGGATTTTTCCCCCTGATTTCCTCTGTCCTGATCCTACAGAGGCCTAGGCTCTCCAGCTGTTCCTGCAACAGGACAAACACACACAAGGTGCACTTACAAATGGAGGAGCACCACCGCAATCAGGGTCCACTCTGGGCCTTTGTGGATGATGTTGGTGTTTGTAAATCTGGAATGGAAATAAAGAGAGACAGTAAAGTAAAGAAATCGATACATAGCACAGGTTTTGAGAAGCTGAGAGAAATGAGTACTGCCATTCGGCCTAACATCACTATGATTTCCATAAAAGAGTAAACACATAGAAAGACAAGTCTAAATATCTGGCCTTCCCTTCAACTTGGCCATAAAGTCCAACCATATGTCAGACAAAATCATAGACAAAACAATTATAGTTGTTTATATGACAGTTTGTTGTTTAAGCTCAGGGTGCCATTTCAGCAGGCCTCAGCAGTTAGTGGAGAATTCCTGGAAACAGGCCTCTCACTGGAGGTGTAACTCAAGTGGTTCGCTATTAAAATCAGAGCTACAGGAAGTCAAAAGCACTCTGCCAATTACCACTTCCTGTTGACAGCACCTAAATCAGCCAATCACAGCCCAGTTAGCGCCCACGACAGGAGCACAGTTCACCTCTGGCCGTTTGGGCTCCCCGGAAAGTTCACGCAGTTCGTGAAAGTCTTGATACCACATAACTTCTCCATAAATACCAGGGCCCGTATTCATAGTGTCTCATAGTAGGAGTGCTGATCTAGGAACAGGTCCGGGCCTTGTAATCTTATTCATTATGATCTAAAAGGGCTCCTAGATCAGCACTTCTACTTTGAAACGGTTTATGAATACAGGCCCAGGTAAATACGGACTGAAATAGGACTGTAAAATGTCCCGTTTCTCTCCCAGACACAGTATGGTACGTTGTAGAATGACAAGGTGTGTTAAAAGGTCGCATTGGCACTGACCTGAAGGTCCTGACCAGCTTGTTGAGGTCACTGGAGACATCAGTCATGGTGAGACGCAGAGGACCCACGATGTCTCTCAGGCTTCAGATCACAGACAGAAACAGACAGGACATATAAAAAACACACAGAACAACTTGGGTTTAATTTCTTCATATGCTGAGATGCCAAGTTAAATTCACCAAGCTTTAAGACTGAGCCAGTCCTCTTCAATGCTTCTGTAATATTGCTGTTTGTCAATTATCCGTGACCACATATTCATTGCAGAAACCCAGTTCTTTGCACTTTGAAAACCATGGCAGTGTTTTCATACAGACACACACCCTCTAGTGAGCTTCTCCACCGTAATGCGTTTCTGGATGAGGTGCTGGGCATGGGAGTCAACCAATGGGAGTGCACCACCCTGGTTCTGGAGAGGAAGATAGAAATAAAGACACAATGAGACAGAGAGAGGGAGGGAGAGAGAAGAGAGAGAAAGAGAGAAAGAGAGAGAGAAAAATACGGAGAGACAGAGAGAGAGAGAGAGAGAGAAGAGCGCGAAGAGAAGCAGAGAGAGACAGAGAGACGGAGAGAAGACAAGAGAGAAAGAGAGAGACAAATAAGAGAGAAGAGAGATCAGAGACAGAGAGAGACAGAGAAGAAAGATACAGAAGACAAGAGAGACAGAGAGAGAAGAAGACAGAAGAGAGAGAGGAGAGAACAGAAGATGAGAGAAGATACAGAGAGAAAAGAGAGTGAGGGAGGATCAGAGAGAGAGCGAGAGAGAGACAGGATAGAAGAAGAGCTATGAGAGAAGAGAATACAGAAGAAGAGAGAGGACAAGAGAACAGGAAAGGGGGGGGAGGGAGAGAGGAAGAAAAAGTCAAAGAAAGCAAGAGAGGAAAAACCCCGAACAAGAAGAGCAGAGGAAAAGAAGAAGAAAGAGACAAGAGAGAGAGAACAGAAAACAGAGAAAAGAAAAAAAGAGATACAAAGAAAGCAGAAGGGGGAAAAGAGAGAGAGAAAAAGAAAAGAGAGAAAGAGAGAAAAAGAGAAGAGGAAAAGAAGAGGAAGAGAAGAGAAGAAGAGAGAAGAAGAGGGGGAGATAGAGAAAATAGAGAGGAAGAGAAAAAAGAGAGAGAGGGAAAAGAAAAAAAAAGAGACGAAAAAAAAAAAAGAAGAAAAGAGAGGGACCGAAGAATTGGGGGAAAAGAGAGACCCGGGAACAAAGAGAGGACAAGAAGAGAGAAAAACAGAGGAGACAGAAGAGAGGAGAGCCCGAGAGAAGAGGGAAAAAGAGAGACAAAAAGGAAGGAAAAGAGGGGAGGGGGAAAAGGAAAGAGACAGAGAGAAGAGGGAGAAGAGAGAGAGAAGAGAAAGAAAGAACAGAGGAGAGACAGGAAGAAACCAGAGAAAGGAGAGAAAAAACAGAGAGAGAAAGAGAGAAAACAGAGAAAAAGACAAGAAAAAAGAGACAAAGAGAAAGACGGAAAAAAAAGAAACAGAGAGAGACAGAAGAAAAAAAGAGAGAGAAAAAGAGAAAGAAAGAAGAGAGAGGAGAAGAGAGAGAAAAGAGAGGAGGGAAAAGGGGGAAAGAGGAGAGAGGAAAAGAGAGAGACGAAGAAAAAAGAGAGAGAAGAAAAGAAGAGAGAAAAAGAAAGAGGGAAAGGAAAGAGAAAAGAGAGACAAAGAGAGGAGAAGAAGAAAGGGGAAGAAAAGAAAAGAAAGAGAGAAGAGAAGAAGAAGAGAGAGAGAAAGAAGAAAGAGAAGAAAGAACAGAAGACAGAGAGGGAAGAGGGAGGGAAAAGAGAAGAGACGAGAGAGAAAAGAGAAAAAGAGAAGCGAGCAGAGAAAAAGAGAGAAGACGAAAGAAAGAGAGAACGAAAAAGAGAAAAAGAAGAGAGGGGAAAGGGAAGGAGAGAGAGAAAAGAAAGAGAGATAAAGAGAAAAAAAAAAAAGAGAGAGGGCAGAAAGAGAAGGAGGAAAGAAAAGAAGAAGAAGAAAAAGAAGAGGGGGGACAGGAAAAGATAAGAAAGGAGAAAAAAGAGAAGGGGGGGAGAAAGAAAGAAAGCGGAGAGAAAAAGACAAAAAACAAGAAAGAAAATAGAGAGGAAGAAAGATAGGAGAGAGAGAGACACCCCCAAAAAAAAAAAAAAGACCCCAAAGACAAAAAAAGAGAAAACAAGACCGGAAAAAACCAAAAAAAGAAAAGACGAAAAAAGAGAAAACCGAGGGGCAGAACCAACCAGAACAAGAACAGAGACAAGAAGGGGCAGACGAAAAGAGGGAAAACCCGAGAAAAAGAGGAGAAGAAAAGAGAGAAAAAGAGAGAAGAGCGATAGAAGAGAGAGAGAGATAAGAGAGAGAGAGAGAGAGACGGAGACAGAGAGTGAGACAGAGACACAGAGAGAGACAGAGACCGAAAGGCAGATACACAGAGAGAGAGACAGAGACCGAGACACAGAGAGAAGAGAGAGAAAGACAGACAGAGAGAGAGACAGACAGAGAGAGACAGAGAGAGACAGAGAGAAAGAGACAGAGAGAGAAAGAGACCGAGACAGAGAGACCGAGACAGAGACAGAGAGAGACAGAGGAGATAGAGAGACAGAGACACACACAGAGAGACAGAGACACAGAGAGAGAGACCGAGAGATGGACAGAGAGACAGAGACCGGGACAGAGAGAGACCGAGAGACAGAGAGAGAGACAGATAGAGAGACAGAGAGAGAGAGAAAGACAGCGAGACCGAGACAGAGAGACCGAGACAGAGAGACCAAGAGAGACAGAGAGAGAAAGAAGCAGAGAGACAGAGAGACCAAGACCGAGAGACAGAAAAAGAGAGACAGAGACCGAGAGACAGACAGAGAGAGAAAGAGACCGAGAGAGACAGAGAGAAAGAGACAGAAAGAGACACAGAGAAAGAGACAGAGAGACAGCGACACAGAGAGAGAGACCGAGAGACAGACCGAGAGACAGACACAAAGAGAGAAAGAGAGAGAGACAGAGCGAGAGACACAGAGAGAAAGAGACAGAGACCGAGAGACAGAGACCAAGACAGAGAGAAAGAGAGAGAGACAGAGAGAGAGAGACAGCGAGAAAGAGAGACAAAGAGACCGAGACAGAGAGAGCGAGAGACAGAGAAGAGAGACAGAGAGAGTGAGCGATTGAGCGAGTGAGAGAGTGAGAGCGTGAGTGAGAGAGAGATTCAGTGCATGAGTGAGTTTGCGTGAGTGATAGTGAGAGAAAGAGTGAGATAAAGTCAGTGAGAGAGTGCGAGTGAGAGAAAGAGTGAGAAATAGTGAGAGAAAGTGAGTGAGAGAGATAGTGAGAGAGACAGATAGAGACAGAGATAGTTTCATGTCACATCTCTCCAATGCTTATACAGAGTGTCCCCATCTGGACACTGGCAGAAAGAGAGAAAGTGTGAGTGAGATAGTGAGAGAGAAAGAGTGTGAGTGAGATAGTGAGAGAGAGAGCGAGCGACAGACAGAGATAGTTTCATGTCACATCTCTCCAATGCTTATACAGAGTGTCCCCATCTGGACACTGGCAGTTGCTACAGTACACTCACCCCCCCACTCACCTCTGAGTCTCCGCCTCTGGCATGTTGTTTCCCTGACACCCTATGGACTTCCTCCATCCCTTTGTAGAACTCCCTCACCCTCAGCCCCATCTCCTCTGTCTCCCTGCGTAGGGTGTCGTAGTCTGGGGCCGGGGCTGAGGGCCTTCCTGGACCCCCTTGGGACTCAGTCTCACCTCCCTCCCCACCACCCTCCACAATGTCATCCAAGTCATCTTCATCCAGCTCCTCTTCCTTCTCCACCTTCTTTGTTTCTATCAGTGTTTTACTAAAGTGGTCTGGGCCATATAGGAACTTCATAGTCTCCTGAGTCGTCCATTCGTTGAAGGTCCTCCTTAGGCCTTCTAGAAGGTTCAGCCGGACCGAGACAGGTTTAGTCCCAGCTTCGTGGCCCTTGAGGAGCCCCTGGAGCCCCTGTGCTCCCCTTCTGCTCATGCCCACCTGGATAATGTTGATGCCAGGCTGGGTGGGCTGTGCTGGGGTTGGATCCCCCTGTGGGGTGGGGGTTGGAGCTGGTTCTTGATTCTGTCCACTGTGGGCTGTTGGTGCAGGAGATGTAGCTGGGTCTCTATCCTGCATTGTAACTTGGCTCATTAGGTCTGCGGCTTCCTCTATAGACTGGCCTTCTGGCGAGCCTCTCTCTCCCAGGAAAGGTTGCTGATCACTGGGATGGTTTGTAGCTGTTGTGTGCTGTTGGGGTCCATCTGTGCCATTGCTTGTTTTTGTTAGTGCTTTCTGTGATTCTTCTGTGTTTTCCTCCTCCTTTTCTTCCGCCTTATTTGTTTGTATTTGCTTGGGCACCTTTGTGTCCTTCCCTCCCGACCTTCTCTCCCTGTCCTCCCCCTCTCCAGGTTCCCTACCCTCCCCTTCGGCAGTGCACTTGGGCAGATCACCCCAGTGCACCCTGGGTCCCTGTCGCTGGGAGACCACGCTGGAGACAAAGTCCTGTTCTGTGTCGCTGTCGTCGCTGTGACCGGCTGTAGGGGAGCGCCTGGTGCCCTGTGGGGCCTCAGAGTCCAGGGGAAGGGGGTTCTCCACATCTTCCTCTCTGAGACGCCTCTCAACCAGCCTCACCTCCTCTCCAGTGCTACCGCTATATAGACAGATGGAATCAGGGGGAAGACAGTCAGTCAAGCAATCAATCAATCGATATATCAATGGTTCTGTATTTTTAATTTGATGTATACAGTCTGCGAAATATTGCATTTTTACAGCTCCACATCTTATCAATTCATCCAGACTGAATGACACTGTGGAAAAATATATGTACATACCCATCTCCTTTCTTCATTAATTTCACATCTGGGGGGCTGCAAATGAAAAGAGGAGTCAACATTTAGGTCAAATTTGGACCTAAAGAAAAATGTCTGCCTACCTCAGCACTGCTATTATCTGCTGAAGTAAAATGGTCCAGGCTTACCTCTCGTGCTGCCTCAACCATAGAGGGCTCTTAGATATCTGCAGCTCAAAGGACTTGGAGGCTTTGTAGCAGAAGTTACTGCAGAAGCTCTGGGTCAGAGAGGGGAAAGGGCAGTGTTTCAGTCTTATGTCAGTAACGTTCTTTCATGGTGCTGGGCATAACACAGCAACGTATCGGATTCTGTGTCTGACTGTGAACTTACCTTGCGTTCTGTGATGTCATACACTTGATTGGTTTTGGTGGAAATTTTGAACTGTTGCCTGGAGACCTAGGAAAAACATATCTGAATAAGTTAGTTTTGACCAATCGTGAACTAGAAGGCAAGTAAAAAGGAAAATATATGAAAACCTTACCTTGCCCAGTTTATTTGAACAGATAGGATAACCGCACAGCTTCACAATGGATCTCTCCTCAACTGTGTCTTTGTAATTGGCAGAAGTGATCAACCTTGCCTGCAAATCAAGGGCATTTATTTCACCTTTATTTAACCCGGTAAGCCAGTTGAGAACAAGTTCTCATTTACAACTGCGCAAAGCAGTGCGATAACAACAACAACAACACAGAGTTACATATGGAATAAACAAAACATACAGTCAATAACACAATAGAAAATATATATACAGTGTGTGTAAGTTATGGAGGTAAGGCAATAAATAGGCCATAGCGCAAAATAATTACAATTTAGTATTAACACTGGAGTGATAGATGCGCAAAAGATGATGTGCAAATACAGATACTGGGGTGCAAATGAGCAAAATAAATAACAACGTAAATAACAATATGGGGATGAGGTAGTTGGGTGGGCTAATTTCAGATGGGCTGTGTACAGGTGCAGTGATCGGTAAGGTGCTCTGACAACTGATGCTTAAAGTTAGTGAGGGAGATAAGAGTCTCCAGCTTCAGAGATGTTCCAGTCATTGGCAGCAGAGAACTGGAAGGAATGGCGGCCAAAGGAGGTGTTGGCTTTGGGGATGACCAGTGAGATATACCTGCTGGAGCGCAGACTACGGGTGGGTGTAGCTCAGTTGGTAGAGCATGGCGCTTGCAACGCCAGGGTTGTGGGTTTGATTCCCACGGGGGGCCAGTATAAAAACAACAACAACAAAAAACAAACATGTATGCACTCACTAACTGTAAGTCGCTCTGGATAAGAGCATCTGCTAAATGACTAAAATGTAAATGTAAAATGTGGGTGTTGCTATGGTGACCAATGAGCTAAGATAAGGCGGGGATTTGCCTAGAAGTGATTTATAGATGACCTGGAGCCAGTGGGTTTGGCAATGAATATGTAGTGAGGGCCAGCCAACGAGAGCGTACAGGTCACAACGGTGGGTAGTATATGGGGCTTTGGTGACAAAACAGATGGCACTGTGATAGACTACATCCAATTTGCTGAGTAGAGTGTTGGAAGCTATTTTGTAAATGACATCGCCGAAGTGAAGGATCGGTAGGATAGTCAGTTATACGAAGGCATGTTTGGCAGCATGAGTGAAGGAGGCTTTGTTACGAAACAGGAAGCCGATTCTAGATTTAACTTTGGATTGGAGATGCTTAATGTGAGTCTGGAAGGAGAGTTTACGGTCTAACCAGACACTTAGGTATTTGTAGTTGACCACATATTCTAAGTCAGACCCGCAGAGAGAAGTGATTCTAGTTGGGCAGGCGGGTGCAAGCAGCATTCGATTGAAGAGCATGCATTTAGTTTTACTAGCGTTTAAGAGCAGAAGGAGTGTTGTACGGCATTGAAGCTCGTTTGGAGGTTTGTTAACACAGTGTCCAATGAAGGGCCAGATGTATACAAAATGGTGTCGTCTGCGTAGAGGTGGATCCGAGAGTCACCAGCAGCAAGAGCGACATCATTGATATACACAGAGAATAGTCGGCCCGATAATGGAACCCTGTGGCACCCCCATAGAGACTGCCAGAGGTCCAGACAACAGGCCCTCCGATTTGATACATTGAACTCTATCTGAAAAGTAGTTGGTGAACCAAGTGAGGCAGTCAGTTGAGAAACCAAGGCTATTTAGTCTGCCAATAAGAATGCGGTGATTGACAGAGTCAAAAGCCTTGGCCAGGTTGATGAAGACGGCTGCACAGTACTGTCTTTTATCAATCGCGGTTATTATATCGTTTAGGACCTTGAGCGTGGCTGAGGTGCACCCATGACCAGCTCGGAAACCAGATTGCATAGCGGAGAAGGTACGGTGGGATTCGAAGTGGTCGGTGATCTGTTTGTTAACTTGGCAGGTACCCCCACACCTGAAATAACAATGCTGTGCTCCTCCATCAACTGATATCTATTGACAGTGACTGTAAATCTTTTCATGAGGTCATAGATCCTCTTCTAATACACAAGACTGGAAACGCTCCAACTCTACATGCTTCATTCATTGCAGTCACCATCCTAGCCACAGATTTAAAAAAGAGCAATCTCTCCCTGCAGTATTCACCATAGAGATAGACAGTGTATTTATCTCTATGGTACTCACACAGTCAACCAGGAAGTCCTCTGCTACGCTGTCCTCCAGGAGAGACTCCACCACCTGCAGTGCCCTCTTCTCCAGATCCAGCTTTTCTCTCAGGGTCTCCCTCACTGCCTCTCTCCTGGAGAAGGGAGACATGGTTATACACGTCAGCACCACAGTCAGAGAGACGCATGGGGGTATGATCATATCAGGGACAAACACTGGTCACTAATTTGAGTCCAGCAACATTGGCAATGGATTCAACCAAAAATCTGAAGACAACAGCAACTTCATATGTTTGGCGATCACTGATGTCATATTAGCCTGAAACCCAGCCTTGTTTTGCGCTAACATTCCACTCCTTGTACTCAGTGTCATATGCCAAATGTATGGCATGCCAAGCAGTGGTTGTTACAGTGTCTTCAGAAAGTATTCACACCCCTTGACTTTTTCCACATTTTGTTGTGTTACAGCCTGAATTTAAAATAGATAAAATCGAGATTGTGTGTCACTGGCCTACACACAATACCGCATAATGTCAAAGTGGAATTATGTTTTTAGAAATGTTTCCAAATTAATTACAAATGAAAAGCTGAAATGTCTTGAGTCAATAATTATTCAACCCCTTTGTTATGGCAAGCCTAAATAAGTTCAGGAGTAAAAATGTGCATAATAAGTTGCATGGACTAACTGTGTGCAATAATAGTGTTTAACATGATTTTTGAATGACCATCTCATCTCTGTACCCCACACATACAATTACAGTGAGGGAAAAAAGTATTTGATCCCCTGCTGATTTTTACGTTTGCCCACTGACAAAGAAATGATCAGTCTATAACTTTAATGGTAGGTTTATTTGAACAGTGAGAGACAGAATAACAAAAAAATCCAGAAAAACGCATGTCAAAAATGTTATACATTGATTTGCATTTTAATGAGGGAAATAAGTACTTGACCCCCTCTCAATCAGAAAGATTTCTGGCTACCAGGTGTCTTTTATACAGGTAACGAGCTGAGATTAGGAGCACACTCTTAAAGGGAGTGCTCCTAATCTTAGCTTGTTACCTGTATAAAAGACACCTGTCCATAGAAGCAATCAATCAATCAGATCCCAAACTCTCCACCATGGCCAAGACCAAATAGCTCTCCAAGGATGTCAGGGACAAGATTGTAGACCTACACAAGGCTGGAATGGGCTACAAGACCATCGCCAAGCAGCTTGGTGAGAAGGTTACAACAGTTGGCGTGATTATTCACAAATGGAAGAAACACAAAATACCTGTCAATCTCCCTCAGCCTGGGGCTCCATGCAAGATCTGACCTCGTGGAGTTGCAATGATCATGAGAACGGCGAGGAATCAGCCCAGAACTACACGGGAGGATCTTGTCAATGATCTCAAGGCAGCTGGGACCATAGTCACCAAGAAAACAATTGGTAACACACTATGCCGTGAAGGACTGAAATCCTGCAGCGCCCGTAAGGTCCCCCTGCTCAAGAAAGCACATATACAGGGCCGTCTGAAGTTTGCCAATGAACATCTGAATGATTCAGAGGAGAACTGGGTGAAAGTGTTGTGGTCAGATGAGACCAAAATTGAGCTCTTTGGCATCAACTCAACTCGCCGTGTTTGGAGGAGGAGGAATGCTGCCTATGACCCCAAGAACACCATCCCCACCGTCAAACATGGAGGTGGAAACATTATGCTTTGGGGGTGTTTTTCTGCTAAGGGGACAGGACAACTTCACTGCATCAAAAGGGACAATGGATGGGGCCATGTACCATCAAATCTTGGGTGAGACCCTCCTTCCCTCAGCCAGGGCATTGAAAATGGGTCGTAAATGGGTATTCCAGCATGACAGTGACCCAAAACACACGGCCAAGGCAACAAAGGAGTGGCTCAAGAAGAAGCACATTAAGGTCCTGGAGTGGCCTAGCCAGTCTCCAGACCTTAATCCCATAGAAAATCTGTGGAAGGAGCTAAAGGTTGGAGTTGCCAAACGTCAGCCTCGAAACCTTAATGACTTGGAGAAGATCTGCAAAGAGGAGTGGGACAAAATCCCTCCTGAGATGTGTGCAAACATGGTGGCCAACTATAAGAAACGTCTGACCTCTAAGTACTAAGTCATGTTTTGCAGAGGGGTCAAATACTTATTTCCCTCATTAAAATGCAAATCAATTTATAACATTTTTGACATGGGTTTTTCTGGATTTTTTTGTTGTTATTCTGTCTCTCACTGTTCAAATAAACCTACCATTAAAATTATAGACTGATCATGTCTTTGTCAGTGGGCAAATGTACAAAATCAGCAGGGGATCAAATACTTTTCCCCCCTCACTGTATCTGTAAGGTCCCTCAGTTGAGCAGTTAATTTCAAACACAGATTCAACCACAAAGACCAGGGAGGTTTCCAAAGCCTCGCAAAGAAAGGCACCTATTGGTTGACAGGTAAAAATAAAAAAGCAGACAAAGAATATCCCTTTGAGCATGGTGAAGTTATTACACTTTGGATGGTGTATCAATACACCCAGTCACTACAAAGATACAGTCGTCCTTCCTAACTCAGTTGCCGGAGAGGAAGGAACCCACTCAGGTATTTCACCATGAGGCCAATGGTGACTTTTAAACAGTTAGAGTTGAATGGCTGTGATAGGATAAAACCTGAAAATGGATCAACAACATTGTAGTTACTCCACAATACTAACCTAAAAGACAGAGTGAAAAGAAGGAAGCCTGTACAGAATAAAAAATATTCTAAAACATTTGCTATTTTATTAGGATCCCCATTAGCTGTTGCAAAAGCAGCAGCTACTCTTCCTGCGGTCCACACAAAACATGACATAAAACAGAACATTAATAGACAAGAACAGCTCGAGGACAGAACTACGTCAACATTTATTTATTTAAAGGCACACATATCAATACATACACACAAACTATCTACAGTTTACAGTTTGGGAGGCAAGAGGCACAGTTATAGTGGTGAGTTGTACAGTTGAAGTCAGAAGTTTACATACACCTTAGCCAAAAACATTTAAACTCAGTTTTTCACAATTCCTGACATTTAATCCTAGTAAAAATGCCCTTTCTTAGGTCAGTTAGGATCACCACTTTATTTTAAGAATGTGAAATGTCAGAATAATAGTAGAGAGAATGATTTGTTTCAGCTTTTATTTCGTTCATCGCATTCCACGTGGGTCAGAAGTTTACATACACTCAATTAGTATTTGGTAGCATTGCCTTTAAATTGTTTAACTTGGGTCAAACGTTTCGGGTAGCCTTCCACAAGCTTCCCACAATAAGTTGGCGGAATTTTGGCCCATTCCTCCTGACAGAGCTGGTGTAACTGAGTCAGGTTTGTAGGTCTCCTTGCTCGCACACGCTTTTTCAGTTCTGCCCATACATTTTCTATAGGATTGAGGTCAGGGCTTTGTGATGGCCACTCCAATACCTTGACTTTGTTGTCCTTAAGCCATTTTGCCACAACTTTGGAAGTGTGCTTGGGGTCATTGTCCATTTGGAAGACCCATTTGCGACCAAGCTTTAACTTCTTGACTGATGTCTTGAGATGTTGCTTCAATATATCCACATCATTTTCCTTCCTCATGATGCCATCTATTTTGTGAAGTGCACCAGTCCCTCCTGCAGCAAAGCACCCCCACAGAATGATGCTGCCACCCCCGTGCTTCACGGTTGGGATGGTGTTCTTCGGCTTGCAAGCGACCCCCTTTTTCCTCCAAACATAACGATTGTAATTATGGACAGTTCTATTTTTGTTTCATCAGACCAGAGGACATTTCTTCACAAAGTACGATCTTTGTCCCCATGTGCAGTTGCAAACTGTAGTCTGGCTTTTTTTATGGCGGTTTTGGAGCAGTGGCTTCTTCCTTGCTGAGCGGCCTTTCAGGTTATGTCGATATAACACTTGTTTTACTGTGGATATAGATACTTTAGTACCTGTTTCCTCCAGCATCTTCACAAGGTCCTTTGCTGTTGTTCTGGGATTGATTTGCACTTTTCACACCAAAGTACGTTCATCTCTGGGAGACATTTACATTTTAGTCATTTAGCAGACGCTCTTATCCAGAGCGACTTACAGTTAGTGAATGCATACATGTTTTTATTTTTTATTTATTCATACTGGCCCCCCGTGGGAAACGAACCCACATCCCTGTCGGCCAAACCCTCCCCTACCTTGGACGATGCTGGACCAATTGTGCGCCGCCCATGGGACTCCCGGTCGTGGCCGGCTGCGACAGAGCCTGGACTCAAACCAGGATCTCTAGTGGCACAGCTAGCACTGCGATGCAGTGCCTTAGACCACTGCGCCACTCGGGAGTAAGGGAGTAAGACAGAACGTGTCTCCTTCTTGAGCAGTATGATGGCTGTGTGGTCCCATGGTGTTTATACTTGCGTACTATTGTTTGTACAGATGAACGTGGTACCTTCAGGCGTTTGGAAATTGCTCCCAAGGATGAACCAGACTTGTGGAGGTCTACAAAATGTTTTCGGAGGTCTTGGCTGATTTCTTTTGATTTTCCCATTATGTCAAGCAAAGAGGCACTGAGTTTGAAGGTAGGCCTTGAAATACATCCACAGGTACACCTCCAATTGACTCAAATGATGTAAATTAGCCTATCAGAAGCTTCTAAAGCCATGACATCATTTTCTGGAATTATCCAAGCTGTTTAAAGGCAAAGTCAACTTAGTGTATGTAAACTTCTGACCCACTAGAATTGTGATACAGTGAATTCTAAGTGAAATAATCTGTCTGTAAACAATTGATGGAAAAATTACTTGTGTCATGCACAAAGTAGTATATATATATATATATATATATATATATATATATATATATATATATATATATATATATATATATACACACACATACACACATACACTACCGTTCAAAAAAATGTTGTCCATTAAAATAACATCAAATTGATCAGAAATACAGTGTAGACATTGTTAATGTTGTAAATGGCTATTGTAGCTGGAAACGGCTGATTTTTTAATGGAATATCTACATAGGCGTCCAGAGGCCCATTTTCAGCAACCATCAGTCCTGTGTTCCAATGGCACGTTGTGTTTGCTAATCCAAGTTTATCCTTTTAAAAGGCTAATTGATCATTAGAAAACCCTTTTGCAATTATGTTAGCACAGCTGAAAACTGTTGTGCTGATTAAAGAAGCAATAAAACTGGCCTTCTTGAGACTAGTTGAGTATCTGGAGCATCAGCAATTGTGGGTTCGATTACAGGCTCAAAATGGCCAGAAACAAATAACTTTCTTCTGAAACTCGTCAGTCTGTTCTTGTTCTGAGAAATGAAGGCTATTCCATGAGAGAAATTGCCAAGAAACTGAAGATCTCGTACAACGCTATGTACTACTCCCTTCACAGAACAGCGCAAACTGGCTCTAACCAGAATAGAAAGAGGAGTGGGAGGCCCCAGTGCACAACTGAGCAAGAGGACAAATACATTAGAGTGTCTAGTTTGAGAAACAGACGCCTCACAGGTCCTCAACTGGCAGCTTCATTAAATAGTACCCGCAAAACAACACCAGTCTCAACGTCAACAGTGTCCCGGAGTCGCTCTTCACTGTTGACGTTGAGACTGGTGTTTTGCGGGTACTATTTAATGTGTGTGTGTATATATATATAAATATTTTTTTCCCCTTCTTTAAAACACAATACAAATGGCCGCTCCCAGAGGGTGCCCTGGTCAGAGGGTGCCCTGGTCAGAGGGTGCCCTGGTCAGTGGGTGCGCTCGCCCCCAACCACCCCAAGACACCAGCAAGGCAAGGCCCAAAGGGATTTTCCCAAGGGTGATAAAACCAAGCCCCGCAAAACGCCCATGGAAACGAGCGCACCCATAACTACCAGGACCAGCACACACCGTTCACCGCATGAAGCCAAACCACAAAACATGAATAACGAAAAGCTAAACATACAATAATCCCATGCTCACTGCATGAAGCCAAACCACAAAACATGAATAACGAAAAGCTAAACATACAATAACCCTCACCCATGATTGGAGGACCGCAAATATTTACACTGTATATTTGTGTATATATTTATTCCAACACTCATCAATTCCACATTTCAGACCGCCACAGATCAATCCATCTTTCCAAGTAAATCATCATTCTACCATTTCCTCTTACAATACATCCTTCCATTCTCCCATGGTGTCTCACTAGGGCCTTGAACCTCCCCATCTGCAACATTTCTGCCGAAATTGACCCCAAAATAAACATTTTACCCAAGAGAGGAGCACAATATTTCCTATTGACTAAATGTGGTCCTTCAAATCCCCCAGCAATACAGTTTGCAGGTACAACCGCACCCTGATATTATGGCATAACAACCATTCATGGACCTGACTCCAAAAACAAGCCACCTATGGACAGTACCAAAAGAGACGCTCTATTGATTATGTTTCCGCATGGCAAAGTCTGCACCGGTCTGACTGTTGAATACCCCATAAAAACATGTTTTGACTGTCAATATGCAGTATTGTGTGTAGATGCTTGAGAAAAAAATATAAATTTTGAATTCAGGCTTTAACACAACAAAATGTGGAATAAGTCAAGGGGTATGAATACTTTCTAAAGGCACTGTAGCATAAGACTGGTACCAAGGCTAACGTTAAATACCTTCTTGCTTCCTCTGCAACGGTCTGTGCTTTGACACTCTTCCCATCTGTCAAATAAGTGAAATTAGGTGTCAGTGCTCATGATAGAAAATCATAAAGGAAGTTAGCTGTATACTGTAATTAACTATAAAAGTAGCCAGCTATGCTATATGGTTGCATATGAAACGTGTTAGCTTGCTAGTTAGCTAGCTAGAGCTACGTAAACACAACGGTAATTGCAAGAAAGATAGCTCCGTATCCATCCCTTTTTGAGGACCCAACAATATCCAAACACAATGTTAATACCGGTCTGATGATGTCTTATAACAACAAACCCTTTTTGCCTGGTTTTGAAGAGCGAGCGACTCTTTTTCGTGGCTGATTCTCCATGCTGGTCATATGTTTTGTGCTAATTTTGATTTGTGACGTATTAAATCTACGGCAAGCATCAGGGTCAATGAAGCAAAAACACTGCCGAAACGCATGCGACCAACTCAATCGTCGTAAATTGACATGTAAGTAACAATTCCCCTAATTAATTAAATCAATTAATAGTTGAACTATGCCATTATATTCTTTACCGTGGAAATAAACCTGTAGATCCTATGTAGCTTTATGAAACGACTACAATAATTGAGTGACTTGACCATTTCTTCCTTGTTAATTTCCTAATCCTGTGCTTTTTAGGCCAGGCTAACGTTAGCTAGTTACGCCACTAGTATAAACAAACAAACAAAGTACATTTGAGGTCAATTCACTAATATACTAAGATACAATCCCGGACATTACATCCATCATATGTGCCACCAAGCCACTCACGCACTCTCTCTCACACACACACACACACACAGCACATCAGCTGATGACTTTGCCTCGATTCACTGTTTTGTGTGCCAGAGTTTTATACATGATACAAAAACGGTGTTACCTGCATTCAAAACATGTTGTTCAATAACACGTATTATACCAGTCCCTTCACAGGACTGTTTAGTGAAGGGATACCCTCAGTAGGAGTACGGCCGAGACAGGATGGCTCTAGAACAATTTAGGGATGTTGTCCATAGATGTGTAAGTCTTGTCCTCCCTGGCCACCCCTGTGGCCCCCCCGTGCTGACCAAATAAAAAATTATGAATTTATAACTATTTTACACGCGAGCGCCAAAAGCGGAACTAATGCAACGCTCTACACGGCAACGTTCTACACGGGTAAATTAGAGTGGCGCACCCAAAAACTGTATCCTGCCATCTGCCTGCCTGCCACGTGTGGTGCTGCTTCGGTGAATGAGAGCTCAGCAACTACTATTTGCGAGTCGAAGGTAAGAAAAACGATTTAATATCATAAGTGACTTGTTGTTCTTGCACATAGCCTACATGTTCCTTTTGTTCCTCACACATAAATCAAATCAAGTTTTTAAATGTCTGGTCTCGATTTGTTTAGAAATGTAATCATATCTAAGCAAACTCATCGAAGCAGAAGCAAATATCCAAATGTTAGTAGGCTATCCTTGCTAGGTCTACACAATGTTGTGATGTTAACCACGTAACTTCATCCGTCTTGGCTGTTGCATCGCGATAACAAATACATTTTTAGTAAAGTAATCAACAGGTTATCTGCCAGTGTTAAGTAGGGAGGGATGGTTAGGTAACAAAATGTAATGCATGCCCCTACGTTTTTTCTTCTTCTAATAGTTATCATGAAACGAGGAAGGGACATAAAGTCATTTTTTGCCCCAGCAAACAAAAAAGTGAGAGAAACAAATCGAGGTTTTGAGAAAGTTGAGGAAGAGGGAGAGCCAGCATGTGATGAAAGTGAGGGGTCTGACAAAGAGAGGGAAATTCCAGAGGGTGAGGAGGATGAAGAAGAGGGTGAGGAGGATGAAGAAGAGGGTGAGGAGGATGAAGAAGAGGGTGAGGAGAATGAAGAAGAGGGCGAGGAGAATGAAGAAGAGGGTGAGAAGCATGAAGAAGAAAGCATACAGGGAGAGGGACAGCAAGTGGATCCATGTGGATCAAGTACTGCACCATCAGGTTTGTGATGAGGAAGGTTCTTACTATTTGCAAAGCAATGCAATTACAATGTAATGGTAGGCCTGCTGGGTGTCCTTAAAATGCTGCTTTCTGCTGTTAATTCTTTTTTGTGTCAATATGGCTCTGTTTTTTTTTTAAGTAAATACTTTGCCTACATTTTGAAATACATGCAGATATACAGTAAATAAATGTTGTAGTTGTGCCCTATGTTTACTGTCCATCTTCTTCAGATATCAGCAAGTCTAAGTATGACGTACCAGTACAGCCGAACTTGAAGATATTCCCAACCACACTGATGGGGGACAGAAGACGAAGCTTCAGACCAAACTCATCCATGGCTTGAGTATTCTGTAATGACGGACTCTACATGTTGCTATGCATGTAGACATTTTAGCACACCAAATGCCCCAGACACCGTTTTTGTTTCAACACCTGGTTTTACAAACTGGAAAAAGGCAACTATGAGAAATGCAGGGTTTTCACTACATGCAAAGTCTGAACGACACAAGTGTGCAATGATCGCATGGAGGGATTATCAAAGAGCTGTTAGAACTGACGCAACACTAACAGATCTCCTTGACAAAGAACACACTAAACAAGTACAAGAAAATCAGGCATACATTAAAACAGTTGGGGAAGTGCTGTTGCTTACAGCTACACAAAACATAGCACAAAGAGGACATGATGAATCTGAAGGGTCCACTAACAAAGGAAACTTTAGGGAAATTCTTAACACAGTTGCTAACCACGACCAACTTGTTAAGAGAAGATTAACTTCCATTCACAATGCAAAGTACACAAGCAAGATCATCCAGAATGAGGTTTTGGGTTGTTTGGCAGAAATGGTTCGGTCTGAAATCACAGAAGAAGTGAAGAAAAGTGAGGTTTTTAGCGTCATGGCAGATGAAACAAAGGATATTTCAAAAAAAGAACAGATGTCCTTCACACTCAGGTACTATTACAATGGGGCCATTAAGGAGAGTTTTCTCCATTTTGAATCTGCAGAGAGGTTAGATGCAGCAGGGCTTACTGGAAAAATAGTACACTTACTGGAACGTTATGGCCTGGACTACAAAAATAACCTCGTAGGCCAAGCGTACGATGGCGCTGCCGTTATGAGCGGTAAGCATTCAGGGGTTCAGGCAAGGATCAAAGAACAGGCTAAATTTGCCTTCTACGTCCATTGTAGTGCTCATTGTCTGAATTTAGTGTTAGTTGATGTAGTCAAAAGTGTCCCAGAAACGGAGGAGTTTTTTTCTTTGTTACAGAGTCTTTATATGTTTACTTCTTCCTCATATGTGCACCCAAAATGGCTGTCTCTCCAAAGAGAAATGTATGGCAGAACCAGAGAGCTGCAACGTTTAAGCGACACACGTTGGTCATGCCGATTTCTAGCCCTACGTAATATCATGGACACTCTACCTGCCCTTAAACGACTACTGCAAGAGATTGCTCAAGAACGTCATGGTGAAAGAACTGTTGAGGCCCGAGGTCTTCTTGCTCAAATTGACCTAGAATTTGTTGTGCATCTTGTTACTCTGCGTAAGTTGTTTGGGGAGACAAAGCTATTGTCTGACATGTTACAGTCACAAACTGTTGATCTGTCAAGTGCTGTTGACTTAGTAAATGCTTTAGTCCTGACATTGAAAGACCACAGGCAGGAGTCTTTCTTTGATGAGTTGTGGGATGAAGCATTGAATATTTGTGAGCAGTGTGATTCTGCAACAAGGTCAGTGGCGAAACGTCAGAAAATGCTGAGCTCTAGACTCAGTGGCTACTGCACGCTAAGCACTGTTGGTCAGAGGGAGGTAGAACGTGACAAAGATATGTTTCTCACATCATTTTTCTATCCTGTAATTGACAGCATGCTCAATGAGTTGAACAGACGTTTCTCCAATACAAACTGTGAGCTCATGAGAAGCATACAGTCTCTCAGTCCCCAGAGTGATACCTTTTTAAAGGAGAGCAATGTTTTTTCATTTGGCCGTTTGTATAATGCAGACATTGATGATTTAGGGCATGAGCTCCATCAATTTAAGAGAGTTTTGGACAGAAAAATACAGAGTGGTGAAGTCAAAAAGCCATGCAGTACAGTTGAGCTGGTTTGTTTTATTGAGCCATACAGGGAAGTTTTCTTTGAGCTCTTTAGACTGTGCAAGATTGCTGTAACCCTTCCTGTAAGCTCAGCCTCTTGCGAACGCAGTTTCTCCACACTGAAACTGATAAAAACCTTCCTGCGGTCCACCACTAGTGATGAGAGACTCAGTGATCTTGGTGTCCTGAGCATAGAGTCCAGAAGGGCCAAGGCTCTGGATCTTGATGTATTTGTGGACCGTTTTGCCAGACAGCACAACCGCCGTATCCTGTTGCTGTAGTGTATCTATATGATATATACGCTAGTAGCGTATGAGTGCCGCTGTGAGGAAAAAGAGATATAATGAACAATAAAACAACAAGCTTGAGCTTCTTAAGACACGGTGGGTTTATCTGTTCTCAATACCACCGGTAAAATGAATGGAGTTAGTCTGGTGTCCACATGAAGTTACGTGTGTAGACAAAGAGTCTGGTGTCCATATGAAGTTACATGTGTAGACAGAGACAGTCTGGTGTCCATATGAAGTTACATGTGTAGACAGACAGTCTGGTGCCCATATGAAGTTAAATGTGTAAACAAAGACAGTCTGGTGTCCATATGAAGTTACATGTGTAGACAGAGACAGTCTGGTGCCCATATGAAGTTAAATGTGTAAACAAAGACAGTCTGGTGTCCATATGAAGTTACATGTGTAGACAGAGACAGTCTGGTGCCCATATGAAGTTACATGTGTAGACAAAGAGTCTGGTGTCCATATGAAGTTACATGTGTAAACAGAGACGGTCTGGGGTCCATATGAAGTTAGATGTGTAGACAAAGACAGTCTGGTGTCCACATGAAGTTACATGTGTCTACTTAGATGAACCCACCGTGTCTTAAGAAGCTGAAGCTTGTTTTATTTTTCATTTTACATCATCTATCTTTTTTTCCTCACAGTACCAGTAGTTCCACACACTACTAGAGTGTATGTATGTTTGTATGTATGTATATATATCCCACCAATCCTCTCTCAAGAGGTTTTCAAAAAGGGGCAAACTCATGTCTCAAGACCTGCTTCTGTTGGTTCCCCTCTCCTGCCTGTAACTTTCCATCCACATCCCCAAAGTTTTGTGGCCCATTATGACATCACTCCATTAAGTGATTGCTGCATGTACTGCTCTAAGGAAACACTTCTCTCTCTCTCTCTCTCTCTCTCTCTCTCTCTCTCTCTCTCTCTCGATAGATAGATAGAGTTTATGATTTTATTCTTTTGAATTATCTCTGCCAAACATCTATGTACTACAAATCTTCAAGCTCCACAGATGTTTTATGGCATCCACTAAACCTCTTTAGATATTTGTAAATTATACAGTGTGATACCTTTCAACTAAAGTTTATTTTATTTTTTACCAACTATGATTTTTCCTTTTGAAAACAAGCAAAGCAAGAAAAAAAAGAAACAAAATCACTCCAATCATTGCACACTTGTGTCGTTCAGACTTTGCAGGTCCAGCTTTGACATGATGATCTAACTAACACTAATATTGTAACTAATATTGTAACTGAAATATGATTGATCCTATGATGAGCGATTGCTTACTTCCCTTTCACTCTTAAAAAATTACTGAAAAAAAATGTGTATAAAAAGGTATATGTAGTATATGTTTGTTTAGTGAGCATTCATGCTGTCATTTTTTCCTAATGTGAACTATGGTGGAAATGTGCTGTCCTAAATGGACTTGCCCATATATGTTGTAAAGCCTTTTTTTGTACACCTGCTCATCAACTGACAGTGAAGTACACAAAGACACAGACACACACACACACACACACACAGACACCTGTAATATTCTTGTTTTCATGTTGTTGCTGATATCCATCAGTGTTGTTCATATTGCTACATTGTGTTGACATGATTGTTGCTTTTAAACGAATGTTAACTTAATGTTTATTGTCTGCATCCTATTGGACTACTGGATGTTAATGTGTAACACGTTTCCCTGTTTATGTGCTTTAGCAATACTGTATGTCAATATGGTCATGCTAGTAAAGCCTCTTTGAATTGAATTTATTTTCTGATTTGGTTTATTTTACCTAAATGGATACAGGGTAGTGTGTTTTGTTTATAAATCACTCAGAAAGTTTTCTTTCTTAAAACAAAATGTGGAATCAACTGTCCACAGTAGTGGGGCTTCCATAAATAGGAAATGGCACATTGTTGTACCCTTTGTTGTATCCTGGAGTTTTGTTCACATTGAATATGAACCCTGTATTTGTACCCTGTACTTTTTTTATTTTTTTATTTTTTTCATTTTTATGGCACTATCTCTCTTGCATCTGCACTCTTGTACAAAATACGTGTTATAATAAATGTCATATGATTTTAAAGTAAAATAAAGTTTATAATCTTTGAATATCATGTGTTGCCAGGTTTTTTATGTGTGCCCCCCTGATTAAACACTGGCCCCTCCTTGGCCCCCCTAGTAAAATGTGTCTAGAACCGCCACTGGCCTGGAGCCAGTGGGTTTGGCAACGAATATGTAGTGAGGGCCAGCCAACAAGAGCGTACAGGTCACAATGGTGGGTAGTATATGGGGCTTTGGTGACAAAACGGATGGCACTGTGATAGACTACATCCAATTTGCTGAGTAGAGTGTTGGAGGCTATTTTGTAAATGACATCGCTGAAGTCAAGGATCGGTAGGATAGTCAGTTTTATGAGGGCATGTTTGGCAGCATGAGTGAAGGAGTCTTTGTTGAGAAATACAGTGGGGAGAACAAGTATTTGATACACTGCCTACAGGAGGGCTTCTTAAAGAAAAACGAACAGGTCTGTGAGAGCCGGAATTCTTACTGGTTGGTAGGTGATCAAATACTTATGTCATGCAATAAAATGCAAATTAATTACTTAAAAATCATACAATGTGATTTTCTGGATTTTTGTTTTAGATTCCGTCTCTCACAGTTGAAGTGTACCTATGATAAAAAAAAATTACAGACCTCTACATGCTTTGTAAGTAGGAAAACCTGCAAAATCAGCAGTGTATCAAATACTTGTTCTCCCCACTGTAGGAAGCCGATTCTAGATCTAACTTCTGATTGGAGATGCTTAATGTGAGTCTGGAAGGAGAGTTTACAGTCTAACCAGACACTTAGGTGTTTGTAGTTGTCCACATACTCTAGGTCAGACCCGCCGAGAGTAGTGATTCTAGTCGGGTGGGCGGGTGCAAGCAGCGTTCGGTTGAAGAGCATGCATTTAGTTTTACTAGTGTTTAAGAGTAGTTGGAGGCTACGGAAGGAGTGTTGTATGGCGTTGAAGCTCGTTTGGAGGTTTGTTAACACAGTGTCCAATGAAGGGCCAGATGTATACAAAATGGTGTCGTCTGCATAGAGGTGGATCCGAGCGTCACCAGCAGCAAGAGCGACATCATTGATATACACAGAGAATAGAGTCGGCCCGAGAATTGAACCCTGTGGAGGGCCACCCCTGTGGCCCTCCGATTTGACACATTGAACTCTATCTGAGAAGTAGTTGGTGAACTAGGCGAGGCAGTCATTTGAGAAACCAAGGCTATTTAGTCTGCCAATAAGAATGCGGTGATTGACAGAGTCGAAAGCCTTGGCCAGGTCGATGAAGACATCTTATAATAATATCGTTTAGGACCTTGAACGTGGCTGAGGTGCACCCATGACCAGCTCGGAAACCGGACTGCATAGCGGAGAAGGTACGGTGGGATGAAATGGTCGTGATCTGTTTGTTAACTTGGCTTTCAAAAACTTTCGAAAGGCAGGGCAGGATGGATATAGGTCTGTAACAGTTTGGATCTAGAGTGTCACCCCCTTTGAAGAGGGGGATGACCGCAGCAGCTTTCCAATCTCTGGGGATCTCAGACGTTACGAAAGAGAGGTTGAACAGGCTAGTAATAGGGGTTGCGACAATTTCGGCGGCTAGTTTTAGAAAGAAAGGGTCCAGATTGTCTAGCCCAGCTGATTTGTAGGGGTCCAGATTTTTCAGCTCTTTCAGAACATCAGCTGTCTGAATTTGTGTAAAGGAGAAGTGGGGGGGGGGGGCAAGTTGCAGCGGAGGGTACAGAGCTGGTGGCTGGGGTAGTGGTAGCCAGGTGGAAAGCATGGCCAGCCGTAGGAAAATGCTTATTGAAATTCTCGATTATTGTAGATTTATCAGTGGTGACAGTGTTTCCTAGCCTCAGTGCAGTGGGCAGTTGGGAGGAGGTGCTCTTATTCTCCATGGACTTTACAGTGTCCCAAAACGTTTTGGAGTTAGTGCTACAGGATGCAAATTTCTGTTTGAAAAAGCTAGCCTTTGGTTTCCTAACTGATTGTGTATATTGGTTCCTGACTTCCCTGAAAAGTTGCATATCGCGGGGGCTGTTCGATGCTAATGCAGTACGCCACAGGATGTTTTTGTGCTGGTCAAGGGCAGTCAAGTCTGAGGAGAACAAGGGACTATATCTGTTCTTAGTTCTGAATTTTTTGAATGGGGCATGCTTATTTAAGATTGAGAGGAAAGCACTTTTAAAGAACAACCAGGCATCCTCTACTGACGGAATGAGGTCAATATCCATCCAGGATACCCGGGCCAGGTCAATTAGAAAGGCCTGCTCGCTAAAGTGTTTTAGGGAGCGTTTGATAGTGATGAGGGGTGGTCGTTTGACCGCGGACCCATTACGGACGCAGGCAATAAGGCAGTGATCGCTGAGATCATGGTTGAAGACAGCGGAGGTGTATTTAGAGGGTAAATTTGTCAGGATGATATCTATGAGGGTGCCCATGTTTACAGATTTTGGGTTGTACCTGGTAGGTTCGTTGATAATTTGTGTGAGATTGAGGGTATCTAGTTTAGATTGTAGGTTGGCCGAGATGTTAAGCATATCCCAGTTTAGGTCACCAAGCAGTACGAACTCTGAGGATAGATGGGGGGCAATCAGTTCACATATGGTGTCCAGGGCACAGCCCGGGGCTGAGGGGGGTCTGTAGCAAGCGGCAACAGTGAGAGACTTATTTCTGGAAAGGTGGATTTTTAGAAGTAGAAGCTCAAACTGTTTGGGCACAGACCTGGACCTATTCATCTGTCATAACAAGCCATCCAGGATGACAACTGTACGACTGAGGATTACGACGTTTTCCAGATGGCTGGACGTACCTGTATAGAGGAGGGAGATAGTGTTCAGGTTCTGAGTATCGTCATAGATGAGAAAAATAAGGTGCGCTGAAGATTGAACCAGACATCCATACCATGTGTACACAAGATCAATCAGCTGTATTCATTTGGATGTAGTGTGCTGCTTCTCTAGTTTGTGGAACAGCTGAAAGGTTCTCTCTCTTAAACTAGCCTATACAGTATATGCACTTAATAGTGATAGTTTGGGCCCTGAGGTTTTCCTGACCACATGATTTGATCAGGGAAAAGTCTGGGCCATAATTATGGTGTTAGTTTTTACAGAGTATAGTCAAGTAATATTACTTCTCCCTCTCTTTCTCTAGAACATAGTGAGATGTATGGGCTGGAACCTGCTGGGTCCTCTGTTTCAGATTCTGTTGAAGAAAGAGGACAAGAATCTTAATCACTGTCTCGCCATCCTCACACATATACTGGAGGTCTGTTTTCATGTTATAACCATTATCAGTTATTACTCAAAACACAGGTTTAATATTGTTTTTTGGGGTATAAAATGTAAATGTTTGCTAGCCTGGCCCCAGATCGACTGTATTTGTGATGTATTGCCACCATAGGAGTTGGCAAGATAATAATGGGACCAGGCTTAAGATTGAATGACTGCTTTATTATTGTCTGTGATTGGTCAGGTTTGCAGTCCCAATGAGCTGCTGGTTGGCTTGCTGGAGCAGGTGGAGGAGGCCCACCCTGACTCCCTCGCAGAGACGATCATCCTCCTGCTGCAGCCACTACAGAAAGGTGAGGAACAGGATGGATTGTCTGAATGGAACACCCTCAATGTTTCATATTCTTGATGACTAAGGATTTTCTGTACCCTCACTTTCCCATACCTTATTTCCTACCCTCTCCTACCACTATTTCAATCAACACATTTCCTACATCTTTCCTACTAGACTTAAAACACCCTCCTCACTTCCTTCACTCTCTCACCCACCGTCCTACCCTTCGCCCCTATTCACACTTCCCTGTCTACTCCATCAATCTCTCCCACTCTTTCCCCACCCTGACCCTCTCTCTTACTGTCCCCACCTCTCCAACCTCCCCCTCAGTGTTGTTGCGGCTGGGTAGCCAGAAGGCCTCCTCAGTGGGCATGGCTCTCTCCACCCTCGGTGGCCAGGCTGCCCGTGCCCCAGACCAAGGAGCAGGAGGAGGACGACGTGTTCAGCCTGTGCCGCTGCTGCTCGGCCCTCCTGGTCTTCGTCAGACACTTTGTGGAGGAGGCCAAGCAGAGCCAGCAGGCCGATATTACCAACGGGACGCACACGGCCAAAGAGGATGAGCTGAGGACAGAGCTGCTCAAGTAGGTGGCCATGTTTTTTCGGGGAGCTATTGGGTTAAGTGATTGGGGAAAGCTTTGTTAATATTATGTTTTAAACATAGGGACAGATACAATAGACCATCCTACCTTAGCAGATTAGCATTAAAGTACAGTATAGTTCGGTCTGTGCTTCTATGTGGAGTGTACAGTATATTATGTGCCTATAGTTGCATGAATAGAGTCTCTGACTATAGTGTGTTTGTATGTTGTGTCTCCCTAACAGTATGAAGAGTCTTTGTGAGCCTCTTCTGGAGGTGCAGCTGAAGGATCCTGAAACCATAGCAGAATCTCCCCTCAGGAACTTTGCCACAGAGATTCTGTTAAGAAGCCAGCTCAGATTGTGACCATTGCTCCTCTCATAGCCTGGTTCCAGATCTGTTTGTGCCGTATATGATATATGGTATATCCAAATCCTATGGACATTGACAAGGACCGTAGGGGCCTGTTAATTGTGGCTATACAGCACAAACAGATCTGGAAACAGGCTAGCTCTTTCATACTATTCTTGACGATTATATTCGACTGAATATATTCGACTTTCACACAAGTTCTCATACAAGTAGAGGTAACTTCATCCTGTATAGGCGCAGGCATAACTAATATAGGGCTAACCCTACTCCTCCTGTAATTGGTGTATGTGTGTGTGTTCTGCAGGGCATCCTGTCGGGCATCGGGGAGTCCCCCCCTGACATGCTGTGCCACGGCCTGCTGTGGAGGAGAGAGGTGCCTGGGTTCCTGGAGGAAGAAGTGTGCTACTCCAAAGAGTCTCTGGCCAGTCTGGCCTACCTGTTGTTCGTCCAGCACATTGCCATGGATACCTTCCCCACCATCTTCAGGTAGAGAATAAACAGTGTGTTTTCAGTTTACACTGCTCTGAAAGTACTGTTGGACCTGCCTCAGAAGTTTCTTATTCAAACTTGTATTGTATGCTTCTGTAGTATGGGGGTTGGTTGGCTCATACTCTAATTGCTAAAATAGTGTTGATTAACTTAACACTCTTTTTGTTTTTCAGCTCAGTGTTTGTTCTTCAGTGTAATATGGAATACATCAACCTCTTCTTGAGCAGGTACTCTACATATTAATTTACTTATCCCTTTTCCGCTCTAGTTGGTAACATTTCACTTTCTTATCCAATTTATCTAAATTACATAAACTATTGCATTTTATAGAGTTTCATGAAGTCTTGAAAATTCCAACAATATATTTGGTGCTCTTTTTCCCCAGAAGGGAAGAATCCAGGCTGCAGAAGGGACTGGTAAGGATCTTCTGTTTTAAGATTTGGAAGCCTAGCAATTATTTACAAGTAGCACCATCACATTGAGCTTCTATGACTCTTAGTTGCTTGTTTCTCCTATCTTAAGGATCTGTATGAGAAGAGCCTGGTGAGGGTTGAGGACAACATTCTCCCAGTCCAGCTACTGGAGTTCAAATCCTTCTTTAGTGTCCCTCAGGTAAAACAAAGCTTCCTACATTGATGCAATGGCATAAACATTTGTGTTCAATCATTCAGACTAAATAATATCAGTAGAGATGAATTGCTTCATCTCACCATGTGAATTACGATTCGTTTTTTTCCTTCCTTTACATTTTAGAACTTGGTGAAAGTCATGACGTTGTCTCCAATTCAGCATTTGGTAAGTACTCAGTGTACAAATGACTACTTTGTCCTCTGGAGGTTGTGTTTCTAACATTTGGAGGTTGTGTTTCTAACATGTTTATTACTGTTATTGGCAGTCTGAAATGTTATTTTATGTTCACAGAGAACTAAAGGACTAAAAGTGCTGCAGTTGAGCATTGATACATTTGACACGGAAGCAAAATACAAATTCTTCCTGTAAGTTCACCCCCGTAGAACAATATGTCCGCTCTCTTGTTCCGACACCTTCCTGTAAGATGCTCATTGTGTTGTTCTGATAACTTCTCATATTATTTCAGGTGCATTCTGAAGACAAGTCACAACGCAGGAGTAGAGAGCTACATCATTAAGAACATCAAAAACCAGATTGACCTCGCCTTAAAGGTACGGCACACATTAAAATGGTTTCATAACATTAAAGGTAGTCAGGAGTCATCAATTCAGGAAGTAAACAGCAATATCGGGTAAATTCCGCAACATTTAAGAGCGTTGAAGCGTGAGGCTAAACCTCTCCGCTGTTTTGGTCCCGTAACTATCACGTTGTAGCAGCGTGAAGTGCACCCATGCAAATGCACAGATACTGTGGGAGTTAAGTCTTGCATTGCGCTCATCTGAATATCTGCAGTGCTGCTCGTTGCAACGCTGAGTCTCAGTTTAAAATGGTGCTATATGTACAGTGCCTAGTGAAAGTCTACACACCCCTTGAAAACATTTAATCTAAAAATAGATTCAATTAGAATTTCTTCCTACCGATCTACACAACCTAATCCACATTTTCAAAGTTAAAGAAAAATCTTGAAAATGTTCTAAATGAATAAACAAATTAAAAACAAAGATATCTTGATTGCGTATGTTTTCACACCCCATAGTTAATACTTGGTGGAAGCACCTTTGGCAGCCATTATAGCTGCGAATCATTTTGATTCTACCAATTTTGCTAAACTTTTAGGGCAACATATATATATATAAAGTACCAGTCAAAAGTTTGGACACACCTACTAATTCCAGGGTTTTTCTTTCTTTTTTATAATTTTCTACTTTGTAGAATAATAGTGAAGACATCAGAACTATGAAATAACACATATGGAATCATGTAGTAACCAATTTTTTTTTTTACAAATCAAAATATATTTCATATTTGAGATTCTTCAAAGTAGCCACCCTTTGCCTTGATGACAGCTTGATAATATTTGTAAGAAATTCATGAAAAATAAAACACTAACATATCTTGATTACGTAAATATTAAACCCTGAGTCAATAAATGTTAGTCACCTTTGGCAGCGATTACAACTGTGAGTCTTTCTAGGTAAGTCTCTAAGACCTTTGCACACCTGGATTGTACAATATTCGCACATTCTTTTTAAAATTCTTCAAGCTCTGTCAAATTGGTTGTTGATCATTGCTAGACAGCCATTTTCAAGTCTTGCCATATATTTTCAAGCCGATTTTTACAAGTCAAAACGGAACTAAAAAGAAAAAATAAGATAGACTCCAAAACCTTCCATGGACACTATTCAATTATGTTATGTAATCATGAACTCAAATGTATTGATGTGAAAGTTTAATTGTATTTACGTTAACTATTTATGATTGTAAAATGTGAAAAATGTAAATAAAGCAAGGGGATGACAACTGGAGTAAACCCATCAGACCAACTCCTTGAATGACCAAACTCTTGAAGTTTGTAGTTGTGTCTAAAATTGCTCAAATTATTTTACTCTATATTTTTACTCTTAAGTGAACAAAAATATATATACGCAACATGCAACAATTTCAAAGATTTTACTGAGCTACAGTTCATAGAAGGAAATCAGTCAATTGAAATAAATTCATTAGGCCCTAATCTATGGATTTCACATGACTGGCATAAGCCCACCCACTTGGGAGCCTGATTTCCTTATATGAACTGTAACTCAGTAAAATAGTTTAAATTGTTGCGCTTATATTTTTGTTCAGTATAGATTGGTAAGTTAGCGGCCAGCTATCTAAACTTGTAGTAAAATCATGGACAAATTACAGACCAGGGGACCCCCATTGATTTTGGTAGTTGCTCTCACTCAGATGTTTTGAGCCCCACCTGTTTAGCTAAAAAAAAAAAAAAAATGTTATTTTGGCATTAATACGTGTCACATATCAGTTTGCAAACAATCTAAAATAATAATTAATAATTTGTTAATAAAGCTTTCTTGAGTAAGGCAGCTCCAAAATGCAGGTTTCTTTTTTGCTTTCTTGAGTAAGGCAGCTCCAAAATTCAGGTGTTTCAGCCTAGCTCAGTGCTTTCTGTGGTGGTGGGGCAGCCAGCACAAAATATGGAGCGTAGGGGTTGGTAATGTTCTCTAGTTGCACCGTGATTGGCACAGTGTTCTGAAACGGCAGAATCTACGAGTAGAGCTAGAAATTTCAAGCCCCTTGGGTGCTGCCTTAGATTTACATTAGAAGTTCCCATCCTAGAAGGCTCAAGGTCAAATCACGTTATATCTAGCGTAGCTTTGATTGGACAGATCGTGTCAACATCATACTTTCAAAATCTTAGCTAGCAAGCTAGACAAGCAGGTAATCATCATGAATCAAGTCGACAATCTACTGGCAAATCCTTTTCAAGCCTTGTCATATGAAGATAAATTATAGATAAAACGTATCGGTGCTCATCGGCCATTGTACATAAACATTACACAACAAGTTTGAAATTGCACATTCAACAATGAGTGGTTTGGAAGGAATCAGTGGATAACTGCAAGCGTTGCAAAGCAATCACTAGCGTGCTATTCAGTGAAGAGGGTGTGTGGTTTAAGGGTCTCTTTTCCAATCTTAAAAGGATAAACATTCACATGCAACACCATGGGCCAGAAAATGTTGAATATATTGGCCATGCTGTCAATCCTGCATGACTTCTGCCATGTTCAAAACAACTGGAAACTCGGAACTGGAAAATCTCAGACTTCAGTGAGTTCAAGACAACTTGGAACTCTGAAAAAAACAAGCTCCGACTGGGAAAATACGTTTTGAACGGTCATCCAACTCATGATTCGACCTAGTTTTATTCAGAGTTCCCAGTTAAAATCCAGAGAATGCCAGACTTTGATGACAACATTTGCTCACAAGAAGGACCGCCACGCCACCATCCTGTTCAAGTGAGCACAGCACAACAAGGTGAGTTCAAAAATGTATTGTATGCTGCTGCATAAATTATGTAATATGCCAGGGGGATATGTATATGCCAGGGGGATATATTGTGTAGTAAGCTGTTAGTAGCCCATGTGCCTCACCCTAATAATTTGGTCCCTTTCCCACTCATAACTTAGCCTACTGTTCTGACTTGGTGGTGCACATGTAGCCTATAACCTGTTTTAGAGAAATGTCATCATAGAATAATGTAAGAGCTTTCATTGTCTTCTTATATGCCCCCTTTATTTATCCTACGGTTCTGACTTGGTGTACAGGGAGAATACTGTAAGAACGGCCCATGTTCTGAATTCTGTCGCTGTACATTTAAAAAGTGCTGAACAAATAGTTACATTGACTACGTCCGTCTTGGCTCGCTCATTAATGTCTTAATCTAAATTACGGATTGCCTCTTATCCGCTCATCGTTCCCTTATGCCATAGTTTGTACAGCTCAATTGTCAGTAGAAACCACACTTGTTTAAGCAAGTCAGACATATCAGCTATGTTTTTTAAATAGGCAGTAAATGAGGCTGAATGGCTGTTTCGCTGCCAGACAAGGCTCTGCTGATAGCCAGGTGTAGCGGTGGTAAGGATTCACTCCATGGTGCTGAAAAGAAAGCTCTGCTGTTGGGACAGCTTTATGTAGGCCCTAACAGTTTGTGGGCACCGTTTGTCACCGTTATAGTGCAATTAATGTATTGTTTAGTGTTGTGTTGTGGCTTTGCTGGCATGCATTTTTTTAAAAGGGAGTTTGCCCCACCAAGATCTACATGCTAAAATCGCCACTGTGTACGATCAATCATGATCTGCACAATTCTATACCCCCCCAAAAAAAAGACCACTCCCCAACCCCCCTACCACATTAAACTTTACCTATATCATGCTGAAACACTCCACCCTTAGCATTGTTCCCGCACACATGTTTTTCAGGTTTGATACTTTTCTAGATATCAATATAAAAATGATAATATTCAGACATAATCCCCTCAGACTTCCTCTGAATAAATATTGTTTTTATTAAATTAAGTACATAGGTATATAATACTTTTTTAGAATCCTTAGCAGACCACCTGCTAATGATGATTGAATGTTCCTACTCCTGAATGATAGCAACATTTTCTAATAGGGCCAACAGTAAATCTAACAGTTAATCTCAAACAACAAACAGTATAAATAACAGTAGAAAAACAACATACACAGTAACATGAAACCATTAATCATCGTCATGGAACCAGTCCATACAACTATAAACACTTCTAAAATAGTCCAGCAAATATACCCATGAATGCCTCCACTTCCTTGCTGTTGTCCTCTCCCTGGAGCCTGCAATGATGAGGAATCATGCTATCTATCAATGATATCAAGTTAATGCATAATCTGATTACAAGTTGTATGGATAAAAAGTAAAGGAAATTAAGTATTATTTCTCTATAGTTCCTCCTTACCTTTTGCCAGTCACATTGTCATTGTTTGGGGTAGTCGTCTTTGAGAAGAACTCAAACTGTCCTCCCAGCAGAGCCATGCTTGTGTCAGTCTGTTTTGGGAAGGAGGGTGCTTTCACAGAGGGTTCACTGAATGCCCTCTGCAGAGGGAAAAATATTACTTTTCAAATGTGTTTGGAAACAAATGGGCTAAAACATTTAAAATCATGTGATTTGTGTTTTTTTTTAAACATATTTTTTATTCTATATCATAACAGAAGCCTTGGCTTTGTCTGTCGTCAGTTTAATTTTGACGTCAGATTCAGCATTGAGATAAAGTCAACTGAGTTGCTATGGGTAGTTAGTAACTCACTGTGGCCTTGTTGTTAGAGTGGCTCCAGAGAGCAGAAGCCTGGAGGTTGTGTAGTCTGACTGGGAGACTAGTAGCTGCTATCTGAGGAACAACTGGGGAGGTTGAACTGAGACACACAAATCAAACATTTAATTTTACATTGATAATCAATTGGTTTGGGACACATTTATTACATTTACATTTTAGTCATTTAGTAGACGTGCTTATCCAGAGCGACTTACATCAAGTATTTACAGATGTAGGATCTTAATTTGATCGCCCAATTGCAGGAGAACTTTCCTGCAATTTAGGAAATGTAAAACTTGTAGTGTATTTCAGAATTAAAAAGGCTTCTGAAGTTTGTAATTTCCACTTTGAAGTTTCAGACTTCATTTCCCCTTACGAAAAATGTATCAATTTATAATCCACATAATATTTCACTTTTCCTGTTGCTGCAGGATTATTTTTCCTGCTGTAGCAAACTGGCTCAAATTAAGATCCTACATCTGTACAACAGTACCAAGTTTCTACTTGCTGACATCTCTACAACCAGAAACTAGTTGGCATACAACCGGGAAATAACATCACTATGACGTCCCATGCCAAATTTTGCCTGTTGGCAAAGATAATAGATATTTAATTCAGTGTAATGATAGTGGTTTGACATCTTGTGACATGGTGAAGTTTGGTACAAGCTGAACTCACCTGAGTGGGGCACTGGACACAGTGAAGCGGGGTTTGGGTTGTACATAAGTGGATGGTAGTGGTGTTGAGTGATCTGAAAACACAAATGTGTCTATCACTTCATAATTAATTGGAGATCAGATCAGCATTACCAATCAAACTGTAATTGATGAACAGAGGGTTGGGGTCAATTCCATTTCAATTCAGTCAGTTTGGAAGTAAAGTGAACTTAATTATTTTCAATGAGGAAGAATTAGAATGACAGTTTACTTCCTGAATTGACTGAATTTAAATGGAATTGACACCAACCCTGGAAGTTCTGTAGTAGAATACCTTTCAGCCTGTCACGGTCCACCCACTGAGTTTTAGCTACAGTGGTGCATGATGTCTCGCTGGCGTGCACCAAGTTGTCGTCGTCAAAATCATCCCAGTCGTCCCATTCGTCTCCCAGGTCAAAGGTCTCGTCTCCCAGGTCAAAGGTCACGCTGGGGGTGTGTGACGATGAAATGAAGCTGCTGTCATCGGTCAAGTCTACAATGGGACTCGGAGAGTAACTCCTGCTCTGGCTTTGGGGGATGCTGTGACTCTGAGGGTAACCCCGACACTGGTTTTGAGAGGGAACATGACTTTGGGGGTAACCCCTGCCCTGGCTTTGGGGGGTGCTGTGGCTGAACGACCCTCCATTGTAGGCACTGGGTTTCCTCCACATTGAAGGACCTGAAAACATAGATGTTGATTAATGTTGAGAGATGAGATGTTGATATAATATTAATGTCTGTTTGCAGTGTTTGAAGTAAGTAGTCTACTCAAAAATAATCTGTGTAAATGACTTGGAATCGTGAGATATGATAGTAAAAACAAAAAAAACACTATGACATAGTTTTGGTAACTGAGAAGTCCTACTTTGTGACTCTGTAGGGGTTTGAATAGGTGGTGGTTCCACTTCTCCCATTGTCTGATATATGTCTTCCAGGTAGTCATTATACTCTGTAGAGAGAAATCAGTTACTCCTCTTAAGTGTCCATTAACTACCATTACTTTTCCACACTGCTGTATAGAAGGTGAATGGAGTTACGAGCCTCTAACAGGGATGGGCAACTGGTGGCCCGCAGGCCGCATGGCCCCTCTTTTGTCAATCAATTTCCCTCCAAAAATGAATAATTATAATTATAAGAACAAGAAGAAATATGTTGAGAGTTAGAATACTAGAATACACAAGGTGCAATTTTCGAAATGTGGTTGTGCATCAGCAGCTTTTCTTTTGTAATGTCACTGAAAGCAAAAATGTTTCATGAGCTGAATTAAAAGATCCCAGAAATGTTCCATATACGCACAAATGTGTTTACGTCCCTGTTAGTGAGCATTTCTCCTTTGCCAAGATAATCCATCCACCTGACAGATGTGGCATATCAAGAAGCTGATTAAACAGCATGATCATTACAAAGGTACAACTTGCGCTGGGGACAGAAAAAAGGCCACTCTAAAATGTGCAGTTTTGTCACACAACACAATGCAACAGATGTCTCAAGTTTTGAGGGAGCGTGCAATTGGCATGCTGACTGCAGGAATGTCCACCAGAGCAGTTTTTTAAAATTCCAAACATTTCTCTCCACCCCATGGAAAAATGCGTAGAATAGCAGGAAATTAACTCTATAACTTAAATTTCTCATCTCCAATGTCAAGAAGGGGGCCACTAAAATGTTTTGCTCGCAAGGTGTGGAGGGACCCCACAACAAGATTTTGCTTGGGACCCCAAAAGTCTAGGGCCGGCTCTGACTGCATGTGTGGGTATGGATGTGATGGGTACACAGACCCAAGAGCCACTGCTGCCCCTCATGATGAGTTCAGATTTTTTGTGGCCCCCACCCCATCAAAGTTGCCCATCTCTGCTCTAGAAGCATTCCGATACTAAACATACCATGGCCATAGTTCTCAAGATATGCCATCTCTTGGGGCGTTGCAAAGTCCTCAGCTGATTCCACACTCTGTTGTATTGCTGAAGCGCCATAACGATTACCTACATACCTTCAAAAAAAGTTACGAGAAGATGACGACTGTGTCAGATACAGTTTGCATTAGTAATCAATTAACTCCAACCTGATGAACTGTATGTTTTGGATATGAGAAAGGAGTGTACGTACCTGCAAGCGGGTGGTAAGATGGGCTGAGGCGTATAAGAGAACTGCTGAATGTTCGCAGCCCCAGTCCCACCACTCTTTCTCATCTAAAGGAACCAGCAACAGGCAGACCAAACACAAATTCAGGTAAAACCTACAGCTGAAAAGTTCATTTTTCAGTTAGTTGATTCTAAATCAAAAAAGAATGCTGAAACGTGTCACTCGCCTTTGATTTCAATGCATGATTTATGTCAAAAGTATGAATGAGTCTTGCGTGATTCTGTTAAATTGTTCTCTCACCTTGAGGCGTTTGACTGGTGTATCCGTCAGTGTGTCACTCCTGGTCTTCAGGTCTTGGAGATAGGAGGAGAAACTCGAATGCTGATTCATCGGCCTCTTCAGAACCACCGTCACTCCATTTTGACCTGGGAATCATATATAGGAGGATATGAAAATACAGTGCCTTCAGGAAGTATTTACACCCCTTGACCTTTTCTACATTTTGTTGTGTTACAACCTGAATAAATGTTTTATACATTTTAAATTTTTTGTCACTGGCCTACACACAATACCCCGTAATATCAAAGTGGAATGACTATGTTTTTAGAAATGTTGAAAGTCAATAAGTATTAAACCCCTTTGTTACGGCAAGCCTAAATAAGTTCAGGAGTAAAAATGTGCTTAACTAGTCACATAATAAGTTCTTTAGACTCACTCTGTGTGCAATAAGTGTTTAACATTATTTTTTAATGACTACCTCATCTCTGTACCACACACATACAATTATCTGTAAGGTCCCTCAGTCGAGCAGTGGATTTCAAACACAGATTCAACCACTAAGACCAGGAAGGTTTTCCGATGCCTCGCAAAGAAGGGCACCTATTGGTAGATGGGTAATAATAAAAAAAGCAGACAAAGAATATCCCTTTGAGCATGGTGAAGTTATTAATTACACTTTGGATGGTGTAACAATACACCCAGTCACTACAAAGATACAGGTGTCCTTCCTAACTCAGTTGCCGGAGAGGAAGGAAACCACTCAGGTATTTCACCATGAGGCCAATGGTGACTTTAAAACAGTTACAGAGTTTAATTAATGGCTGTGAGAGGAGAAAACTGAGGATGGATCAACAACATTGTAGTTACTCCATAATACTAACCTAATTGACAGAGGGAAAAGAAGGAAGCCTGTACAGAATACACATATTCCAAAACATGCATCATGTTTGCAACAAAGCACTAAAGTAATACTGCAAAAAATGTGGCAAAGCAATTAACTAAAGTGTTAGGTTTGGGGCAAATCCAATACAACACATTACTGAGTACCTCTCTCCATATTTTCAAGCATAGTGGTTGCTGCATCATGTTATGGGTATGCTTGTAATCGTTAAGGATGGGGAGTTTTTCAGGATAAAAAATAAACGGAATGGAGCTAACTAAGCACAGGCAAAATCCTAGAGGAAAACCTGGTTCAGCCTGCCTTCCATCAGACACTGGGAGATTAATTTACCTTTCAGCAGGACAATAACCTAAAACACAAGGCCAAATATACACTGGAGTTGCTTACCAAGAAGACAGTGAATGTTCCTGAGTGGGCAAGTTGAAAATCTATGGCAAGACATGAAAATGGTTCTCTAGCAATGATCAACAACCAATTTCACAGAGCTTGAAGAATTTTGAAAATAATAAATGGGCAAATATTGTACAATCCAGGTGTGAAAAGCTCTTAGAGACTTACCCAGAAAGACACACAGCTGTAATCGCTGCCGAAGGTGATTCTAACATGTATTGACTAAGGGGTGTGAATACTTATGTAAATTAGATATTTATTTATTTCATTTTCAATACATTTGCAAAAATCTCAAAAAACATGTTTTCACTTTGTCATTATGGGGTATTGTGTGTAGATGGGTGAGAAAAAAACGATGTAATCCATTTTGAATTCAGGCTGTAACACAACAAAATGTGAAATAAGTCAAGGTATGAATACTTTAATCAAACATTTGAATTATTCTAAGTGTCAATTGAGCAATGGAAATGAGTTTTTGAGGACTTAAAACTTGACTCACAGCAGTCGTGGCCACACTGATCCTTGTTTTTGCAGAAGTGGTTACATTGTCTTTTGCCTAGATCTGGTTGTGAGGAACCTGAATTTCAGAAGAAAAAAAAAGATATAGCAAATGTAGTTAAAAAACAACAACAAAAACAGTCCTGTGAGTCTGCAAGTACAACTTAGTAATAGCTCAAAGCATTCTAATGTTTGGTGTAAAATCAGCCTACCCTTTTCTGTGGATGTGGAGTTTCTCTTCTGTGCCGTAGCCTGTGTTTGCTGACCTGTTGGCTGTATTCTCTGTGTTGCACCCTGTGATCTCTGAGCATTAGCCTGTGCTATTTGCATTGTGTTATGTTGCTCAGGTGTGAGTGATTCACCTCCGTACCTCTTTGGTCCAGAGTAGAAGGCACTAAACTTCTGCTGAATGTCCAACCCCACTGCAGAGAGGAAGATCTCAATATAGTTAATAGAATGAGGTGCATATTCTTACTTTTCACAATTATCACTGAAACAACTGCCTTTTAGAAGTTTTATGTAGTTCGTACAAATGTATTTTGAACAATGAAATCCTGATAGCTGCCTGACCGTATTCTGAGCTGATTAGATTCACGCTGATCTCCTCTCCTTTGAAGGCTTTCGCCACTTCGATCTTCTTTGACCAGCTTCCTGACTTCAACAGCATCAAGTCTCTGGATAAACACACAATACAGTCGCTCTCCCTGACATATTTCTTTCCCTTTCTTGTTCTCCCTCTCTTTTGCTCTCTTTCCTTCACTGTTTTCTTTGTATGAGTGTATGACGGTAACACTTTACAAAAAAGCCTGCAGGTAAAATGCTTTATAACTTGTTATAAGCAGGTAAAATGTCTTATAATACACTTTGAATATGTTCTGCCTCTACCTACAAGCTGTATGTAAAGTGTGTCTCCATGTGTGTATCAGGTTGTGTCTGTGTGTGACGACATTTCTGGAAATGTCGGTCCTAATTACATTTACATTTTAGTCATTTAGCAGACGCTCTTATCCAGAGCGACTTACAGTTAGTGCATACATTATTTTATTTTTTTCATACTGGCCCCCCCGTGGGAATTGAACCCACAACCCTGGCTTTGCAAACACCATGCTCTACCAACTGAGCTACATCCCTGCCGGCCATTCCCTCCCCTACCCTGGACGACGCTGGGCCAATTGTGCGCCGCCCCATGGGTCTCCCGGTCGCGGCCGGCTACAACAGAGCCTGGATTCGAACCAGGATCTCTAGTGGCACAGCTAGCACTGTGATGCAGTGCCTTAGACCACTGCGCCACTCTAATCTTACGTGAGTTTTTGCAGGAAGACCACGTTGTTGTCACAGTCCCCGATGATCATTGTGACATAGTGGTGGTCATGAGTGGTTCTCTTTGACAGCAGCTGATCGTGGTTTTTCACATTCACGGTCACGACAATCTCTGCGGTGGCGACGTTGTATCTTGGAAGCTAAAACGTGAAAAATAAACACAAAATTAAAGCTTGTTGGGGAGATGTATTATTTGATCAGTAATTGAAAGATACAGTGATGTTAAATGTATGGAAAATATTCTGCTACGTCCTGCTACCAAATATTGCTGTAATGATTCATCTTGATGACCATTTCCGTTCAAACTACAATTCAACCAAAGCAAAGCTTTTTACCTGCTCCAAACTAACTTCATACTTGGGTAGATTGATGACAGCGTCTCTGATTTGGTTTCCAAATGGAGGATGTCTGTTGACGATCTAGAAAACATAAACGGACAACAAATATTTGCTTTTATTGTATGTGAAATCACATTGTGACAACTGTTGATGTAAAAAGGGCTTTATGCAAAACATTTAACTGACTGATTTGATTGAAAGCCATGATGCTGCATGTTTGTCACAGTGGAAATGTCAATAAACCATTTGGAGATATTGAGACAACAGTGGTGTTTAATGATTTTGGAGTTACAGTCTCAGTTGATGCTATGCTCACCAGCTCCAGTTCCCTGGCATTGGTCTGCTCTATCTTGTTGAAGGTGGTGAGCCCAGCGTTCACCATGGCCGTCGACAGAGTCAACCCTGGATCAGATAGAGTTAACTGTGTTGTTACAGCCATATATAATGATATTATAAATAGAATCTCATTTATCATTTCAATCTCAGTTTTTATCATTTCAATCTCAGTGTCATCATAGAGTCATTATATTTCGATGGTTACAGCAATTTCATTACTTTCATTTAAATAAATCAGTTGGTCAATCGATTTCTAAAAGGACGTGGCTGCGGATCCGGCATCTGCATACCAACCATTTGATCTCAATCAGTTTCATGGGGATATGCATTTAGATCTTCTTGAGATATACAGTGTTGCTTCAAAGTAGCACCATTCGCCTGAGTAGCCTGTTCTTTATGCGTAAAGTAGTGAATATACAAATGCGCAGAAGTCGGATCCGCAGCCACGCCGTTTCTTTAAAAAGGGTCTCTGACAGTGGAGGCTGGTGAGGGGAGGACGGCTCACAATAATGGCTGGATCGGAGCGAATGGAATGGCATCAAACGCCTGGAAACCATGTGTTTGCTGTATTTGATACCATTCCATTATTCCGCGCCGGCCATTACCACGAGCCCGTCCTCCCCAACCTCCTGTCCTCTCTGAACATAGCAACAGTAGGATAACCTACTTATGTTCTACATGCATTGACAGTATTTTGCGTACAGGTTCTGTATTCATTGACAGTATTCTATGTCTCCTTACCTATTTTCTCCAGCTGCTTTGAGACGTAAGGAGAGTTCTCCCACAGCTTGGCCCTGAAGCACTTGGCCAGTATCAGGGAGTTGAGTAGAGCAGAGAAGCCTGTCTTGGAGCGTTGGTTTAGGAACTCTGCCAAGCCTAAAACACATAGACAATATCTTACTGAAGAGTGTTTTTCGAGCGAAGGTTGTCTATCAAATGAGGCTCACTGCTATTCATCTTCTACTGTTAAAATGTGAAGTCATTGATGACTTACATCTGCTGAGTCGGACTCCATTTCTGAAGATTCTCCCTGTGTCCTGTGCAAGTCCAAACTCCTGGATTGGAATGGAGCCAAACTGGGCCTGAATCAAGCTGAGGGGGAAGACCGGTAGAGAGACAGAAGGGGTGAATCTCAAAGGTCTTTCCTTCATTCCTCATGTGCCTAATTCCTCGTCTCAACCTCAAAACGCAAGGGAGGAAAAGACCCAAGGTTCAAGGAAAGACTTTTGAGATTCACCCAAAGAGAATACATGGCCTTCTCCAATGTCATCCTCCATTTTCTCATGCTGGTACACTGTAGGTGTCTCTGCTTCCTTACCAGTTCACCTTCATCTCTTTGTTTTTGATCTTTCCCTCCATGGGATACCTGGATAAACAAAAGCCCAGATATCAGCATTTACATTACTTTCAGGGCATTTTATTTGAATTCTTACGTATAATTGATTGAATTCCACTCTAACCTGATAGTGATCCTGTTCTTGTCCTTGTTCAATGTGTTCAGGGTTCTCTTCTCGTTCACTCTCAGCTGTACATCAGTGAACTCTCTGCCCTTCGCCATCAATTCTATCTGTGTGGAATACAGAATCTACTCAACTCATCTATTCGAATTTCCTATGTAACCAACAACACAATCCAGAAACTCAATATAAAGAGTGTATGTGCATATGAGAGATGCTACAGTGTTCCTGTATTACTGTATACCTACCAGCTCAGGTAAGGTCTCAGTGCCAGCCACCTTGCTGAACTGCTTCATGGTGTCAAACGCAACACAGTACCTTGCCATCAGCCTGCCGGCCTCTGTAGGGTATGAACACAATTACACATGTCAAGAAAAGAACAGACTTCAGTTTAATGGCTTTGGGATGCTGGAAAGCACATGCAAGTTACGGGTAAGTCTATGGGCCAAATGTCCCCTTCCGAAATTTGAAAGATGCTAACACTTGCGAAATCGTGATTTGTCCAAATAACCAGTGATGAAAAATCCAAGCCCCGGAACTAATGCAGCTCGATCATGACAGGTCTACGGTACCATTTATGTTTACGTAGTCTGTCCACGAGAGATTAAGGAGATATCCATCTGTATTATTGAATAACACTAAACATGTACAGGGTTTGTAAGTTGTTTTACACTTCTGATGATAAACAATGAAACAAACAGTAAAAGGCTATAGTAGCCACTTGAACCAAAATTGTCAGCCTCTCTCAACCTGTAGCTTTGATGTTGACATCCTCATCCATGGAGATCAGACCAATGGAGGCTAGGGAATTCAAGTTCTTCAGACAGAGCTCTGGAGCAGGATGGGGAGAGAGATTCCTCAGTCACACAAATGCTATCATGATGGAGATATTCTGTGTTTTCAGATATGAAGTCCATATAACAAAGAAAAAAAACAGGAATGCCACACCTTGCAATTTGGCTTCGATTCCACATCGGTCCAAGTCAATGGAAAAACCTGCAATAAAACGCACGGACAGTAAGTTGTTTTCTCCTCATATATGTCCTCATGTCTTTTGAGCAACTGTTGACACTATGTTGTGAGATGTAAGCACAGGCTAATAACTGTACTGTAATAGACTAGCATCCATGCTTAATGCTGTATCCATGCTGTACATTTGCTGGCTAATGCTAACAGAGACCGGGGTCTGTCCAGTGTCTCTCCTCCCCTGACCATAGTGTTTGGGGTTCTTCAGAGCTCGGATGTAGAGGAAGCTGGAACGGATCCAGTCCAGGGCCATGTTGACGTCTGAGATGGTGTGGAGGACAATCTCAGCGTTCAGGTGCTCCACCAGGTGGCTATGCAGGCTGAGTGGTCAAACAATAGGACGTCATCATCCTCATCATCTTCACAAGTATCATATCAATTCATGTAACACTAAATGAAGTCGAATGAGGTTTTGGTGGTCTTGGAAAATGTAATGTCCCCATACCTGCTCTCGATGATTTCTGCTCCATTCATGAACTGCATGTACTTGTCTTTGGTTTGAGTCTTGGTCATGATCACTGCGGTCGCTGATGTATCAAACTACAGAGGAGATATCAAAGGCAAAACTGTAGATAGAGGTTATGTTTTTTGGGAACGGTTCGCAAACAGTTCAACAAACCAACTGAAAAGGTGCAATAAGGCTATGGGGTTGTTTTCAGACTGGGCACTTGTACTGTACACTGAGGTGCTAAGCATGCTGGGAGTTTGGAGCTACTAGAGGGTTTGTCTGTACTCCGTACCTGTGGCCGGCCTGCTCGGCCAATCATCTGCAACATGTCGGCCTCGCTGTACTCCTCACAGGCGCCCCCGATGTAGTGCATGGTGGACTTGATTACCACCAGGTGGGCTGGCAAGTTCACCCCCATCGCCAGAGTACTAGTTGTAACTGAGACATTTCCCCAATAACTTCACACAATGTTTCTTTGGTATTTCATATTATGTAAACATGTGCCATGACAATGTTAATATCAATAATGTTTCTGATACTTAAGTATGGAGCAAAATTGTCGGTAAAGGATGCACTACATTTAAGTATTTTTTGTGTGTTAATATTCTATTGGCTGATATATCGAAAAGCTTTTCCATATTTAGCCACATCCACAGTATATTTTTACACTTATCTTTATTAAACCCTCTATACTGGCATGACTGTGACTGGGTTGGCTTGTAATGGAGGATAGAAGAGTTGTTCCACGAATATAGTACAGTTTAGGTAGTCATTAAAAAAATATCTATTAATTTAATCTAATTTTAACATTCTCTCATAAACTGCACATGTTCAACTTAATAAAAAACATGCTTTCCCATCTCAAGGGGTTACATAAAAAAAAAAAAAACTTCAGTAAGTGCCAATAAAGTGCCATTAAACTAACTGGGTTGACGTTTTCCTCTTAAATCTTGTGACAGGAGGAATGGAAGCTTGTTGTGTGCAAAAGGGAGGGGCAATTGAATGCAAGCTTTAAAAAAATAGATTTTATTGTTAAAACATTTCTAGCCTATCTATCTATGGGACGTGTTATTCTCGACGTGCTCAGTTTTCCACCACAAAACACCAGAAAATTGACAAAAAGAGTAGAACCAGCTCACCTGCTTTTATACTGTGTATTCATACCCCTGGACTTATTCCACATTTTCATGTGTTACAGCCTGAATTCAAAATAGATTAAATATATGTTTTTTCTCACCCATCTACACACAATACCCCATAATGAGAAAGTGAAAACGTTTTTTGAAATGTATGCAAATGTATTGAACATTAAATATAGAAATATTTCATTTACATAAGTATTCACACCCCTGCGTCAATACATGTTAGAATCACCTTTGGCAGTGATTACAGCTGTGAGTCTTTCTGGGTAAGTCTCTAATAAGAGCTTTCCACACCTGGATTGTACAATATCTGGCCATAATTGTTTTCTAAATTCTTCAAGCTCTGCCAAATTGGTTGTTGATCATTGCTAGACAACCGTTTTCAAGTCTTGCCATAGATTTTCAAGCAGATTTAAGTCAAAACTGTAACTCGGCCACTCAGGAACATTCACTGTCTTCTTGGTAAGCAACTCCAGTGTAGAGTTGGCCTTGTGTTTTAGGTTATTGTCCTGCTGAAAGGTGAATTCTTCTCCCAGTGTCTGGTGGAAAGTAGACTGAACCAGGTTTTCCTCTAGGATTTTGCCTGTGCTTAGCTTCATTCCGTTTATTTTTTATCCTGAAAAACTCTCCAGTCCTTAACGATTACAAGCATAACCATAACATGATGCAGCCACCACTATGCTTGAAAATATGGAGAGTGGTACTCAGTAATGCGTTGTATTGAATTTGCCCCAAACTTAACACTTTGTATTCAGGACAAAAAGTTAATTGCTTTGCCACATTTTTTGCAGTATTACTTCACTGCCTTGTTGCAAACAGGATGCATGCTTTGGAATATTTATATTCTGTACAGGCTTCCTTCTTTTCACTCTGTCAATTAGATTCGTTTTGTGGAGTAACTACAATATTGTTGATCCATCCTCAGTTTTCTCTTATCACAACCATTAAACTCTGTAACTGTTTTAAAGTCCCCATTGGCCTCATGGTGAAATCCATGTTAGGAAGGACGCCTGTATCTTTGTAGTGACTGGGTGTATTGATACACCATCCAAAGTGTGATTAATAACTTCACCATGCTCAAAGAGATATTCAATGTCTGCTTTTTACATTTTTACCCATCTGCCAAGAGGTGCCCTTCTTTGCGAGGCATTGGAAAACCTTCCTTGATTTGATTTGATTTGGTCTTTGTGGTTGAATCTGTGTTTGAAATTCACTGCTCGACTGAGGGACCTTACAGATAATTGTGTGTGTGGGGTACAGAGATGGGGTAGCCATTTAAATATGATGTTAAACACTATTATTGAACACAGAGTGAGTCCATGCAACTTATTATGTGACTTGTTAAGCACATTTTTACTCCTGAACTTAATTGTTTGCCACAGCAAAGGGGTTGAATACTTATCGACTCAAGACATTTCAGCTTTTCATTTTTTATTAATTTGTAAAAATAAAATAAAATCTAAACATAAATCCACTTTGATATTATGGGGTATTGTGTGTAGGCCAGTGAAAATATCTAAATGTAATCAATTTTAAATTCAGGCTGTAAGACAACAAAATGTGGAAAAAGTCAAGGGATGTGAATACTTTCTGAAGGCACTTTCTTAAAAATAATAATTTTAAAAGTAATAGTTTCACCATATTAAAAAGAGAGTTCAGTTCACGTAACAGGGTTGACCTTAAAATGAGGGACAGACGTAAATGAATCATTAATCACATGAATTAATAATAATGTTCAGAAATGATTTTATTAAAGCAAAAACATAACTAGGGCTTTACAATTATTGTGAAAAATACATTTTAGGGGTAAAGTGGGTTCAAATCATCCTAGAAGTCGGAAAAACATGACAAAGGACATGTCAAAATGCTAATTTTTGGCACCTTAGCAAGGATTTATTTATATAAAAAATCTGATTTATTGAATTTTCCATTTGGCCTATATTTAAGGGCACTTTAATATAACAGGCTATTAAAATTAAATATTGGTGCACAATTTCTACTTAAAATATCAAAGGGACGCAAAATGTACTCTATTCGTGGAACGACCCAGATACTCACACAGCACAGGCAGGTCTCCCATGGTGAAGGCCTCCTCGATCCCCTTCCTGTCTGACACGTCAACTCCGGCGTGGTGGAAACCAACCCCAAACGACACCAAGTCTGGAAAAGAGAAAACACTGGGCTAGTAATTTCACATTCTAATACAAAAATAGTTATATTCAAATAAATGAGCAATGTTTGACTACATGGTACAGAAGAGAAGGAATATACAGTGGGGGGAAAAGGTATTTAGTCAGCCACCAATTGTGCAAGTTCTCCCACTTAAAAAGATGAGAGAGGCCTGTAATTTTCATCATAGGTAAGACTGAATCTGCAATAGGTAAGCAGCTTGGTTTGAAGAAATCAACTGTGGGAGCAATTATTAGGAAATGGAAGACATACAAGACCACTGATAATCTCCCTCGATCTGGGGCTCCACGCAAGACCTCACCCCGTGGGGTCAAAATGATCACAAGAACGGTGAGCAATAATCCCAGAACCACACGGGGGGACCTAGTGAATGACCTGCAGAGAGCTGGGACCAAAGTAACAAAGCCTACCATCAGTAACACACTACGCCGCCAGGGACTCAAATCCTGCAGTGCCAGACGTGTCCCCCTGCTTAAGCCAGTACATGTCCAGGCCCGTCTGAAGTTTGCTAGAGTGCATTTGGATGATCCAGAAGAGGATTGGGAGAATTTCATATGGTCAGATGAAACCAAAATAGAACCTTTTGGTAAAAACTCAACTCGTCGTGTTTGGAGGACAAAGAATGCTGAGTTGCATCCAAAGAACACCATACCTACTGTGAAGCATGGGGGTGGAAACATCATGCTTTGGGGCTGTTTTTCTGCAAAGGGACCAGGACGACTGATCCGTGTAAAGGAAAGAATGAATGGGGCCATGTGTCGTGAGATTTTGAGTGAAAACCTCCTTCCATCAGCAAGGGCATTGAAGATGAAACGTGGCTGGGTCTTTCAGCATGACAATGATCCCAAACACACCGCCCGGGCAACGAAGGAGTGGCTTCGTAAGAAGCATTTCAAGGTCCTGGAGTGGCCTAGCCAGTCTCCAGATCTCAACCCCATAGAAAATCTTTGGAGGGAGTTGAAAGTCCGTGTTGCCCAGCGACAGCCCAAAAACATCACTGCTCTAGAGGAGATCTGCATGGAGGAATGGGCCAAAATACCAGCAACAGTGTGTGAAAACCTTGTGAAGACTTACAGAAAACGTTTGACCTGTGTCATTGCCAACAAAGGGTATATAACAAAGTATTGAGAAACGTTTGTTATTGACCAAATACTTATTTTCCACCATAATTTGCAAATACATTCATTAAAAATCCTACAATGTGATTTTCTGGATTTTCTTTCCTCATTTTGTCTGTCATAGTTGACGTGTACCTATGATGAAAATTACAGGCCTCTCTCATCTTTTTAAGTGGGAGAACTTGCACAATTGGTGGCTGACGAAATACTTTTTTTCCCCACTGTAAATTATTATAAATTCTCCACCGACCTCTGAGTTTTGAGTCCAGGAGAGAGTTTGCATACTTCATCAACCTGCAAACAGAGGATTCCATCGATTAAATCAGATCAAACTAAACAGCAAGACATTTGTATTGAATACCTGTACATCTGTAAAGAATGAAAAGGGAAGTAGCTCAACCTTTGTTTGTGCTCAATACTCATGATGAACCTGGCATCCTTGGCCAGAACAGTGGCTGACTGCTGGACTCCTTTCCTTGTTGAACAAAACTGTTTAAAAATAAATCCCATGTGTGAACTATTAACAATGGCAATACTTACTGAAACGTATTAATATGGTGCTGGTCAAGTCTACATTTCAGAGACCCAAAGAGAGTTCCTCACAACAAGTGTTGGTTTCTGGTCTGAATAGGTCTGGATGATATTGGCCATCTTGTAGTTGAGTGACAGGTCGAACTTGAACTCATTCTGGTTGCTGCTGCAGGGGAAACCCAGCACTACCTTCCTCAGCTTCACCGGTCTGTGACTCTCATCCATCTCCAGACAAGTAGCAGGGTCTCCGTCGTCACACAGCCAGTCTGCGATCTGCCATGTCAAACCATTGAACACAGTAAGCAGTAATTTCTTCAAATAAATGCTCTGTTTAATGATAATCCGTAATGATAATCCGTAAATAGCAATACTATCGAGCTGCCTTCTCCCCTCCTTCCCTATTTACTATTCCCTTACTCTTTCTGAAGGAGACAAGACTGCAGACATTATAACAACATAACAAGACATGGAGATGCATGTGTCAGAATGGCAATGACGAACAGAAAGGGAAAGAATGACTATAGTGAAGGAAGCCTCTTTAGAGCATTTGCATATGGCCAAAGTGTGATATCACCCCTCTTTGACCCTCAGCCACTTACATCCTTGATATTGGGGATGGTGGCAGAGACAGCCACAAATCTCATGGAGAGGTCCTCCTGGGGGTTCTGTGCTGCACGGTAGGCATGGACCGCCTTCATCCTGCTCACCACCACCTCTAGTGTTGCTCCACGCATAGGGTCCTTCACCACGTGGACCTAGAAACACAGAGCCAAGATGGATTATATTTAGTTGTCAATATAACACATGTATAACATATTAAATAGACAGATATGCACTACTAAGTACAATGACAAATCAAAAAACAATAGATCACAATCTTTATCTTAAATGTTTTTATAGGACAGTGAAGAGGAGACAGTAAAGGTAGAGAGATTGCGAGTCAAAGGGGCAGTGGATCGGACTCGAACCCATGCCGACTCTGGTAGCCTAGGCTGTACATGTGTGCCGGGGTCCGTAGCTTGAACCGCTGGACCACACAGGCCACACAATAGAGAGCTTGCAGTTGACGTACGACGCCTCCTGGCGGCCATGTTGGAAGACCAACGCATTCATTCTTCCAACAACAACAGCTGCGTTGCTACCCCAAACGTTTTATTTGACCTTTATTTAACTAGGCAATAACAAATTCTTATTTACAATGACGGCCTACCCGGCCTCCCCTAACGACGATGGGCAAATTGTGCGCTGCCCTATGGGATTCCCAATCACGGCCGGTTGAGATCGAACCAGGATCTGCATTGACGCCTCTAGCACTGAGATGCAGTGCCTTAGACAGCTGCGCCACTCAGGAGCCCTAACTGCATGATAACAGTGCTAAAACTAGTTGATTCAACACCACAGTAATTTTGGGTGGATTAGTTGGCTGCTCTAACAAGGCAGGAAAGACAACCGGGAAAAACTATGTTTACAGATTCCCCGCAATCATGAAACACCATTGGTTACACCAATGAGATAAGAGTCAAGAACTGTCAGAAAAGCGAAGAAAACTTTTTGTTCTTCAAGACCTGAACCCAGACAGCTCTCAGTACAGGGTCTGCTACGATCATTTCATCACTAGTAAATCAAGTCTGATCAATTTCGAGTTTAGTTTAGCTGTTATGCTAACCAGGTGTTAACAACAACACTAAGTTAGCCAAAAGTAGCTAGCTAGATAGCTTGTAGTCTAGCTATTAGCATGTGTCGAGTGAGTTTCAAGTTTTGGGGAAGCAATTTTTTCACCATAAAAAGGCACCTTTATAACAAATGATTGCATGTCCCTAGCATCGCATTTGCAGACTAACGTAAGCCTACTGTAATGAAACAGGCAGGGAGCAGATCTCGAACCCTCAACCTTCTAGGCCAAAATCCAGCGCGCCATCGACTGTGCCCCAAAAGCATGCTCCCGTGGCAGAGTCGATATTCGCGCTTATAAACCCAGGGTCGTTACGCTACTATTCCTAATGTGATGAGTAGATTGGATAGTGATAATTTAGGCTATTAATAAGCGTGTACTGGCATAGGCTTATAGACGTTTATTTCCATTCCACTGTAAAAATGTGGCCTTTGATAAACATTTGATGCAATTCTACTACACTTTATATGACTGAACACATTATCAGAATATTTTTTTCATACGATGGCCTACTCTACTGACACTGACAACAGATCAATAAAAACGACCTTGTCTTGAATGCAACCATGTAATCTAGAATATGACATTAACTCGACAAATGGTGGACCCCTTCTAGCCCTGACCATGAAAAGGGGAGACGCAAATTGTACAATATGACGTCCATATAGCCTGGAGGACATTATTGTCCCAAAAAACTCCAGTGGTTATTATATATTCATATGATAACCCGATGATAATTTGTTGAGAACGTTATTCATAAGAGGAGAGAAAATGTATGGACATTACAGCATAGGACAAAGCCTCAATGGGATAGGACAACCTGCTGTGTTGACTATTGGTTCTTCCAGCCCAACAATAGATGTAATCTTTATATGACACTAAATCACCTGAATGAATTAAACACAAACAAACAATTAAGAGCCCTGATGGTATAGGTGACCTAAATCAGTGCTATTCTAACATCAGGTGTGCTTTGTTTATGTACTACTGTAGGTTCACCAGCTGACCTCTATCAAGACAACCATTTCAACTGGATTCCCACTGTGAAGATGAGCAATGCTGCAGCAGCGTCAGTTTCTACTTCTACTACTTCTTCCTTAGGAGACATCCCTCAGTTATACGAGATGGTTGTCATATGCTGTGCTTTGGACAATCACAATGATTCTGTTGTGCCATTTGAGTAGAGAGCACCTTCATGTCGTCATGACAAAAGTGCCCCCTTAGACCGTATGAATATATCAAATCTAATTTGGAACGTGTAAAAGACTATTGTTTATGATATTGTAAACATACTGTACTTTAATAAATGGCTATATTGTTGTATGGGTGAAATGAAACGTATTGTCATCTCTGCTTTGCCTAGCCCCATTGAATAAAAAAGTATTTCTTATAGCCCAACTATTTTCTTTATTTTACAATTTAAACACATTTAGCATAGACAATGTAATTGTTGTGGTAGTCTAGTGCAACTCAGACCTTCTGGGAGAAAAGTATCTGGCATTGAACTTGGTGGTAGTAGTTGTGTTTATGTTTTAAGCGAAGGATCCCATCATCTCCTGCTTACAGACATTGTAGCCCTGGACAAACACACCTATTTCAACTTGTCAACTAATCATCAGGCCCTATGAGTTGAATCAGGTATGTTTGTCCGGCAAGAATATGTGTTGTTGGGGGTACTGGAGGACTGGAGTTGGGAAGCACTGCTGTAGGCCTATGGCTGCATTGGCACTGCATGCCATTATCAGCTGCAAAATGGGTTCACATGGCTGATATCCTGAAAAAATAGTTTCACCCAAATAAAACTAATTGGAGAGCTAATGACTGAACAAAAAGGTAATGTTCATTTGAGAATACAACACAAACACAGACAAATTAGCGAAATATTCCCTTCCCCTCTTTATTTCAGGATCTTTATAACACTATTTCATATAATTTCAAAGTGTACAAGTAAGATAACTCATATGTAAAGGTATGACATTTTAGTAACAAGTAGGCTATCATTACTAAAGCATCATTTCAGGTGAACAAAAAAAAGTCGATACCAGAGGTGGCCAACCTCGCTCCACTGATCCCTGATCTATAGGGGAGCAGACTTCTGTTCCAGCCCAACAGTAGCACACCTGATTATTAACTAATTAGGTTTGATACATTGAATCAGGTGTGTTAGTGCTGGGCTGGAACAGAAGCCTGCACACCCAGCAGGGTTGGCCTGCTCCAGTTGTAATAGGTTTATACATTGTGTCTAACTTTTAAATGGTATTTTTGTTAACTACATTTGCTAACATAGGTACACTTATAATCAATGGTATACAAGGATGTACCCTTATTCTCTTGGGGCATTAATTGGGACCTCTTCATCTGCAGACAGGGTTTCACAGCTCTCTGTACCTGAGGACAGAAAACATTACAAAGAAACAGGCTGCATTATACTCCAATTAGACAGCACTGAATATTATGTTGATATCTCTCTCTGTCCTCCGTTTTCTCGCTAGGGACTGGAATTTGAGAATGTTTTCATGATGTCTGCTCACAAATGTACCTGCCCTATCCAGAGTAGCCTACTCTCCCTTATCTGACAGCTGGAACTGATAGCTAATCCTTTCACCCTCTTCCATGGCTGTTGGCTAGCTACCTAGCTACAAATACATTTATAGTCACAACGACAAATACATCACGATAGCTGGCTAACTAGCTAATATGAAGTTAGCATGCTGGTGATATTTAATTCACTTAGCTACCTATACAGTAAGTAAAGTTATCTAACTAGAGAACATTACGTTAGCAGCTCATTTGAGTTACCCTGCACACTAAGTTTCTGGCGCAAGCTAGCTAATAATACATAGTTTTTGAATATTTTCGAAATATATTTACTTAACGTACTTGAATAGGTTCTCCCACTGCCTCCGTTTTCTGGGTCCTTGGATAAACGAAATAACGGGCAATATTCCCGAAGTTTCCGGTGGTAGCAAAACTCAGCCAGACATGTGGACGATTGGAGGACTTACATCAGACTGATTTTGGTCTTCCAACAAGCCCTCTATAGATCACAATCTGGGAAAGAATGTTTCACTCTAGCCAAGCGGTTTCAGAGTGTTATTTGGTCAAACACAGTATATGGTTGCAGTCCTACCTGAGGGAATTTTGAACAGAACATCAAATACTTAAACGTATCCACTGACCTCGTCAATAAGGAACAGCCGGACCAACTGCAGCAGGCAGTTATCCCTCCACTTCCTCGTCATGCTGTCCCATTTTTCCTGGGAGAAACAGAAATGTGTGTGTGCTTTATCATGAACTGGTTAATAAAGTGTTAACCTTTTACTGCAGTGGGCTAAATCTGGGTCACACAGTGTTTCTTGGTAGTCTTAAACAAATCTACTTTGAAACAAAAGTATAGACCTCACACATTGTTATGGGCTTAAAAAAAGAAGACACCTGTACCATGTCAGATATAGAGTTGAAATGTATTAATTGTTGAGTTTGCATCCCAATATTACACCTTATATACAGTACCAGTCAAACGTTTTGACACACCTACTCATTCAACGGTTTTTCTTTATTTTGTACTATTTTCTACATTGTAGAATAATAGTGAAGACATCAAAACAATGAAATAACACATGGAATCATGTAGTAACAAAAGAAGTGTTTAAAAAATATAAATATATTTTAGATTTTAGATTCTTCAAAGTAGCCACCCATTTTACATTTACATTTTAGTCATTTAGCAGACGCTCTTATCCAGAGCGACTTACAGTTAGTTAATACATATATATATATTTTTTATACTGGCCCCCCGTGGGAATCGAACCCACAACCCTGGCATTGCAAACGCCATGCTCTATCAACTGAGCTACATCCCTGCCGGCCATTCCCTCCCCTACCCTGGACGACGCTGGGCCAATTGTGCGCCGCCCATGAGTCTCCTGGTCGCGGCCGGCTGCGACAGAGCCTGGATTCGAACCAGGATCTCTAGAGGCACAGCTAGCACTGCGATGCAGTGCCTTAGACCACTGCGCCACTCAGGAGTACAAAAACCCTTTGCCTTGATGACAGCTTTGCACACTCTTGGCATTCTCTCAACCAGCTTCACCTGGAATGCTTTTCCAACAGTCTTGAAGGAGTTCCCACATGTGCTGAGCACTCGTTGGCTGCTTTTCCTTCACTCTGCGGTGCAACTCATCCCAAACCATCTCAACTGGGTTGAGGTCGGGTGATTGTGGAGGCCAGGTCATCAGATGCAGCACTCCATCACTCTCCTTCTTGGTCAAATAGCCCTTACACAGCCTGGAGGTGTGTTGGGTCATTGTCCTGTTGAAAAACAAATGATAGTCCCACTAAGCGCAAACCAGATGGGATGGCGTATCGCTGCAGAATGCCGTGGTAGCCATGCTGGCTAATTGTGTCTTGAATTCTAAATAAATCACAGACAGTGTCACCAGCAAAGCACCATCACACCTCCTCCTCCATGCTTCACGGTGGGAACCACACGTGGAGATCATCTGTTCACCTACTCTGCGTCTCACAAAGACACAGCGGTTGGAACCAAAAATCTCAAATTTGGACTCATCAGACCAAAGGACAGATTTCCACCGGTCTAATGTCCATTGATCGTGTTTCTTGGCCCAAGCAAGTCTCTTCTTATTATTGGTGTCCTTTAGTAGTGGTTTCTTTGCAGCAATTCGACCATGAAGGCCTGATTCACGCAGTCTCCACTGAACAGTTGATGTTGAGATGTGTCTGTTACTTGAACTCTGTGAAGCATTTATTTGGGCTGCAATTTCTCAGGCTGGTAACTCTAATGAACTTGTCCTCTGCAGCAGAGGTAACTCTGGGTCTTCCTTTCCTGTGGCGGCCCTCATAAGAGCCAGTTTCATCATAGCGCTTGATTGTTTTTGCGACTGCACTTGAAGAAACTTTAAAAGTTCTTGAAATTTTCCAGATTGACCGACCTTCATGTATTATGATGGACTGTCGTTTCTCTTTGCTTATTTGATCTGTTCTTGCCATAATATGGACTTCGTCTTTTACCAAATAGGGCTATCTTCTCTATACCCCCCCTACCATGTCACAACACAACTGACTGGCTCAAACGCATTAAGAAGGAAAGAAATTCCACAACTTAACTTTTAAGAAGGCACACCTGTTAATTGAAATGCATGCCAGGTGAATACCTCATGAAGCTGGTTGAGAGAATGCCAAGAGTGTGCAAAGCTGTCATCAAGACAAAGGCTGGCTACTTTGAAGAATCTAAAATCTAAAATATATTTTGATTTTTTAAACACTTTTTTGGTTACTACATGATTCCATATGTGTTATTTTATAGTTGTGATGTCTTCACTATTATTCGACAATGGAGAAAATAGTAAAAAATAAAGAAAAAACTTGGAATGAGTAGGTGTGTCCAAACTTTTGACTGGTACTGTACATCACAGAAGACTGAAATATAACAAAACCGTTTGACATAGAAACATTGGAAGTCAGGAACCAATATACACAATCAGTTAGGAAAGCAAAGGCTAGCTTTTTCAAACAGAAATGTGCATCCTGTAGCACTAACTCCAAAAGGTTTTGGGACACTGTAAAGTCCATGGAGAAAAAGAGCACCTCCTCCCAGCTGCCCACTACACTGAGGCTAGGAAACACTGTCACTACCAATACATTTACGATAATCAAAAATTTCAACAAGCATTTTGCTATGGCTGGCCATGCTTTCCACCTGGCTACCCCTACCCCGGGCCACCAGCTCTGCATCCTCCGCTGCAATTTGCCCATGCCCCCCCCACTTCTCCTTCATCCGTCACTTGAGTGGGTTGAGTTACTGACGTGATCTTCCTGTCTGGGTTGGCGCCCCCCCCTTGGTTTGTGCTGTGGTGGAGACCTCTGTGGGCTATACTCGGCCTTGTCTCAGGATTGTAAGTTGGTGGTTGGGGATATCCCTCTAGTGGTGCGGGGGCTGTGCTTTGGCGGAGTGGGTGGGGTTATATCCTTCCTGTTTGGCCCTGTCCGGGGGTTTCTTCGGATGGGGCCACAGTGTCTCCGGACCGCTCCTGTCTCAGCCTCCAGTATTTATGCTGCAGTAGTTTATGTGTCGGGGGGCTGGGGTTAGTTGGTTATACCTGGAGTACTTCTCCTGTCTTATCCAGTGTCCTGTGTGAATTTAAGTATGCTCTCTCTAATTCTCTCGTTCTCTCTTTCTCTCTGAGAACCTGAGCCCTAGGACCATACGTCAGGACTACCGGGCATGATGACACCTTGCTGTCCCCAGTCCGCCTGGCCTTGCTGCTATTCCAGTTTCAACTGTTCTGCCTGCGGCTACGAAACCCCTACCTGTCCCAGACCTGCTGTTTTCAACTCTTAATGATCGGCTATGAAAAGCCAACTGAGAGACCTGAGCCCTAGGACCATACGTCGGGACTACCGGCCGTGGTGACTCCTTGCTGTCCCCAGTCCGCCTGGCCTTGCTGCTATTCCAGTTTAAACTGTTCTGCCTGCGGTTATGGAACCCCTACCTGTCCCAGACCTGCTGTTTTCAACTCTTAATGATCGGCTATGAAAAGCCAACTGAGATTTATTCCTGATTATTATTTGACCATGCTTGTCACTTATGAACATTTTTGAACATCTTGGCATGGTTCTGTTATAATCTCCACCCGGCACAGCCAGAAGAGGACTGGCCACCCCTCATAGCCTGGTTCCTCTCTAGGTTTCTTCCTAGGTTTTGCCTTTCTAGGGAGTTTTTCCTAGCCACCGTGCTTCTACACCTGCATTACTAGCTGTTTGGGGTTTTAGGCTGGGTTTCTGTACAGCACTTCGAGATATTAGCTGATGTAAGAAGGGCTATATAAAATAAAATTGATTGATTGATTGATCCAAATTCAGATAGTTGATGTTCTGAAAGAGCTGCAAAATCTGGACCCCTAAAAATCAGCTGGGCTAGACAATCTGGACCCTTTCTTTCTAAAATTAGTCACCGAAATTATCGCAACCCCTATTACCAGCCTGTTCAACCTCTCTTTCGTATCGTCTGAGATCCCCAGAGATTGGAAAGCTGCTGCGGTCATCCCCCCCTTCAAAGGGGGTGACACTCTAGATCCAAACTGTTAGAGACCTATATCAATCCTGCCCTGCCTTTCGAAAGTATTTGAAAGCCAAGTTAACAAACAGATCACCGACCATTTCGAATCCCACCGTACCTTCTCCGCTATGCAATCTGGTTTCCGAGCTGGTCATGGGTGCACCTCAGCCACTTTCAAGGTCCTAAACGATATTATAACCGCGATCGATAAAAGACAGTACTGTGCAGCCGTCTTCATCGACCTGGCCAAGGCTTTCGACTCCGTCAATCACCGCATTCTTATTGGCAGACTAAATAGCCTTGGTTTCTCAAATGACTGCCTCGTCTGGTTCACCAACTACTTCTCAGATAGAGTTCAATGTGTCAAATCGGAGGGCCTGTTGTCTGGACCTCTGGCAGTCTCTATGGGGGTGCCACAGGGTTCAATTCTCGGGCCGACTCTATTCTCTGTGTATATCAATGATGTCGCTCTTGCTGCTGATCCACCTCTACGCAGACGACACCATTTTGTATACATCTGGCCCTTCATTGGAGACTGTGTTAACAAACCTCCAATCGAGCTTCAATGCCATACAGCACTTCTTCCGTAGCCTCCAACTGCTCTTAAACGCTAGTAAAACTAAATGCATGCTCTTCAATCGAATACTGCTTGCACCCGCCCGCCCGACTAGAATCACTACTCTCGGCGGGTCTGACTTAGAATATGTAGACAACTACAAATACCTAGGTGTCTGGTTAGACCGTAAACTCTCCTTCCAGACTCACATTAAGCATCTCCAATCCAAAGTTAAATCTAGAATCGGCTTCCTATTTCGCAACAAAGCCTCCTTCACTCATGCTGCCAAACATGCCCTCGTAAAACGGACTATCCTACCGATCCTTGACTTCGGCGATGTCATTTACAAAATAGCCTCCAACACTCTACTCAGCAAATTGGATGTAGTCTATCACAGTGCCATCCGTTTTGTCACCAAAGCCCCATATACTACCCACCATTGTGACCTATACGCTCTCGTTGGCTGGCCCTCACTACATATTCGTCGCTAAACCCACTTGCTCCAGGTCATCTATAAATCACTGCTAGGCAAATCCCTGCCGTAGCTTAGCTCATTGGTCACCATAGCAACACCCACCCGTAGTCTGCGCTCCAGCAGGTATATCTCACTGGTCATCCCCAAAGCCAACACCTCCTTTGGCAGCCATTCCTTCCAGTTCTCTGCTGCCAATGACTGGAACAAACTGCAAAAATCTCTGAAGCTGGAGACACTTATCTCCCTCACTAACTTTAAGCATCAGTTGTCAGAGCAGCTTACCGATAACTGCACCTGTACACAGCCCATCTGTAATTAGCCCACCCAACTACCTCATCCCCATAATGTTATTTATTTTGCTCATTTGCACCCCAGTATCTCTGTTTGCACATCATCTTCTATCATTCCAGTGTTAATACTACATTTTAATTATTTTGCACTATGGCCTATTTATTGCCTTACCTCCATAACTTACACACACACTGTATATAGATTTTCTATTGTGTTATTGACTGTACGTTTTGTTTATTCCATATGTAACTCTGTGTTGTTGTTGTTTTTAATCGCACTGCTTTGCTTTATCTTGGCCAGGTCGCAGTTGTAAATGAGAACTTGTTCTCAACTGGCTTACCTGGTTAAATAAAGGTTAAATATATTTTTAAAATTTTTTTTAAAGAATCGTCTGGTTTGAAAATATAAAGTTGATTAATTATGAAAAATATTAAATAACATTCCATCCATGAGGCCACTAGGTCATTTGACAGCAGGAAATGGCTACATTAACAGTTGGACAGTTAATGTGGGTTTTTTATTAACTTTCTCATGAATTCTCTTGACACAACTGAATTTCTCCATCCTCGCATCACTAACAAACCCCTATTGCAACATGGAAATCATGTCTGCCTCTTTTTTAATGGATGGTTGCTATGGTCACAGGATCAGCTACCTCATTGCACTACATATTACACACAAATAAAATGTTTGCCAGTGATAGGCTATGCGACATACAGTATACTGTACACTGGGATACAGTGTCACTCACAGGTGTGGTCATGATGATATGGGCGTCCTGAATCTCAAAGAAGTCGTCGATCTCCGTGTCTCCGGTCAGCTCCTTGCAGCTCAGGCCCAGAGGCCCAAATTTCTTCTTCCAGTCCTCAAAGCGCTGACTGCATAAAGCTTTGATGGGGGCCACTGAAGACGACAGAAGCATTCACAATCAATGCATCTTGTCATACAGTTTTCATTTTATAAATGTTATCAATATACATTTTGAACTCTTAGAATGTATGGGTGTAATCAGGTCATAAATTACTTACAACATGTAAGCAACAAACCAGATATCAAGACTGCATACAGGCTAACCCATACTGTAAGCATGAATCAGCTCTTAATGTCTTAGTACTTTTTACCTAGTGCTTTTGAGAAGGATCCTAAGTACTGTAATTGGAGGGTCTTACTGTACACAGCTTTGATGTTTCTCAAGGGATCTGTGGTCTCCATCAGTAAGCGGATGATGGCCAACTCAAAAAGCACAGTCTTACCAGAGCCCGTAGGAGCACAAGCCACAAAGTTCTTACCCGTGTATAGAACCTGCAAAACATACGTTGTTCATAAAAATGTCTCAAGGATACTGTTTTGCTGTTAAGGTTCTGAATTGGATGACATGTACATTGGAGCACTTACATCATCTAGGGCTTTTGATTGAACGTAGTTGAAGTAAGGGAACTCTTTGAAGACGGATCTAAATTTAGCAGCTGTGTTCGTTTGATTAAGGACACCCAACAAACAACCCACAATTGTTTCTTAGATTTCATGTAGTCATCATCAAGCATGCATCAATCAAGCATTCATTAACTTTTCATTCCAAGCGTTATTACTAATGATAAAACAGATCCGAAAGGATACGGATTTCAGAGATTGGTCGGAGTATCCCAGGCCCAGAAGTACCTAATATGAAAACAAATCCATAGACAACTCATTTTATATTCACACTGACATTAGCAACCCAACCCCAGTCAAAATTGCAGATATTGTCCACCCCCTAGTGGTAATTTTGTGTCATTACAGCCAAGAGGGCATTGGGTAGTGCTGACCTCGTTTCACCTCATCAAGCCCTAACGAACAGTGACAGCTGCTGCCATGACCATTACATCCGAGTACATTCTTCAGCTACAACACCTCATCATAGCAATATGTATGTGATTTATTTATATATATATATATATATATATGCACACACTACTGGTTAAAAGTTTTAGAACACCTACTCATTCAAGAGTTGTTCTTTTTTGTACTATTTTCTACATCGTAGAATAATAGTGAAGACATCAAAACTAGGAAATAACACATATGGAATCATGTAGTAACCAAAAAAAGTGTTAAACAAATCAAAATATATTTTATATTTGAGATTCTTCAAATAGGCAACCTTTGCTTTGATGACAGCTTTGCACACCCTTGGCATTCTCTCAACCAGCTTCATGAAGTAGTCAGCTGGAATGCATTTCGATTAACAGGTGTGCCTTCTTAAAAGTTAATTTGTGGAATTTCTTTCCTTCTTTGAGCCAATCAGTTGTGTTGTGACAAGGTAGGGGGGTATACAGAAGATAGCCCTATTTGGTAAAAGACCAAGTCCATATTATGGCAAGAACAGCTCAAATAAGCAAAGAGAAACAACAGTCCATCATTACTTTGAGACATGAAGGTCAGTCAATACGGAACATTTCAAGAACTTTGAACATTTCTTTAAGTGCAGTCGCAAAAACCATCAAGCGCTATGATGAAACTGGCTCTCATGAGGACCGCCACAGGAATGGAAGACCCAGAGTTACCTCTGCTGCAGAGGATAAGTTCATTAGAGTTACCAGCCTCAGAAATTGCAGCCCAAATAAATGCTTCACAGAGTTCAAGTAACCCACATCTCAACATCAACTGTTCAGGTCTTCATGGTCGATTGCTGCAAAGAAACATTTACATTTTAGTCATTTAGCAGACGCTCTTATCCAGAGCGACTTACAGTTAGTGAATACATTTATTTTTTATTTTTTATACTGCCCCCCCGTGGGAATCAAACCCACAACCCTGCCGTTGCAAACGCCATGCTCTATCAACTGAGCTACATCCCTGCCGGCCATTCCCTCCCCTACCCTGGACGACGCTGGGCCAATTGTGCGCCGCCCATGAGTCTCCCGGTCGCGGCCGGCTGCGACAGAGCCTGGATTCGAACCTCTAGTGGCACAGTTAACCACTACTAAAGGACACCAATAATAAGAAGAGACTTGCTTGGGCCAAGAAACACGAGCAATGGACATTAGACCGGTGGAAATTTGTCCAAATTGGAGATTTTTAGTTCCAACCGCTGTGTCTTTGTGAGACGCGGTGTGGGTGAACGGATGATCTCCGCATGTGTATTTCCCACCGTAAAGCATGGAGGAGGAGGTGTTATGGTGTGGGGGTGCTTTGCTGGTGACACTGTCTGTGATTTATTTAGAATTCAAGGCACACTTAACCATCATGGCTACCACAGCATTCTGCAGTGATACGCCATCCCATCTGGTTTGGGCATAGTGGGACTATCATTTGTTTTTCAACAGGACAATGACCCAACAGAACTCCAGGCTATGTAAGGGCTATTTTACCAAGAAGGAGAGTGATGGAGTGCTGACCTGGCCTCCACAATCCCCCGACCTCAACCAAATTGAGATGGTTTGGGATGATTCGGACAGCAGAGTGAAGGAAAAGCAGCCAACAATGGTGGAACAAGCTCCCCCACGACGCCAGGACAGCGGAGTCACTGACCACCTTCCGGAGACACTTGAAACCCTACCTCTTTAAGGAATACCTGGAATAGTATAAAAGTAATCCTTCTTCCCCCACCCCCCATAAACACATTTAAATAAATAAAAAGTGGTTGTCCCACTGGCTATCATAAATTGAATGCACCAATTTCTAAGTCACTCTGGATAAGAGCGTCTGCTAAATGATGTAAATGTAAATAACTGTTGGAAAAGCATTCCTCATGAAGCTGGTTGAGAGAATGCCAATAGTGTGCAAAGCTGTCATCAAGGCAAAGGGTGGCTAATTTGAAGAATCTCAAATATAAAATATATTTTGATTTGTTTAACACTTTTTTGGTTACTACATGATTCCATATGTGTTATTTCATAGTTTTGATGTCTTCACTATTATTCTACAATGTAGAAAATAGTAAAAAATAAAGAAAAACCCTGGAATGAGTAGATGTTCTAAAACCTTTGACCGGTAGTGTATACAGACAGACATAGTGTTGGGTTCAGTCTGTGCGGTACCACTTTGTATGTGAAGGGCTTGGGGTGTCATGGGGAGAACATGAGCCCTCTTGGTGCCCTTGTCCTGTGTCTTCTGTGGTGGTCCCCAGGCTTTAGGTGGGCTCAGACTGGTGAGGGGGCTGGGGCCTGCTGCCGACTGGTTTGCCAGCCGAGGCTCTGTCGCCATGGAAACCTGGTTGAAAGTTTGCTGCACTCTGGGTCTTGCCTGGTTGAGGCCTCTGTTTGAGTTTGCGCTTTTCTTCAACACCTGACCACTGGGAGGTTTGAACAAACTGTAACGACGAAGAGATTATTTCATTTATAGGTAGAGAGATCATAAGTGCTTACAGTAATATCCCACATATCATGATGTAACTAGTACAGCCATGTCTTTGATAAAGAAGGTGCCATTTCAGAAGGGCTTTGCCAAATATTCGATTTATTTTATCCTGATTTATTTTATCCTGATTTATTTTATCCTGATTTATTTTATCACTTCACAGACGACATTACATTCTAAAATCAATAGTATCTGACGAAGACACATGGTGGGGACACTGACATTTACTATGTATTCTGAATGCACAGTATACACACTCATTAGTTTCATTTGAATGGCTTACCTTCTCCGTAGAGGTGGGCTTTGGCTGAACAGTGGGAAATGTTGCTGCTCCAGTGCATGACCAGAATCCTGTGGGGTTTTAGTTCGACCTCTGCTGACCTTTGTGGTATCCTGGGATTTATTCATGAAGTCTTCCCGAGCCCAAAGGGCACACCCGCCCTGTGCTTCAGGTTCTTTTCCTCCATCACTGGTATTCTGATGTAATTTGGTATTCTTGGGTGTGAAACCATCACCGTCAACTGCTCTTTTCAAATGGGGAAGGAATTTGTTGGACTTCTGAGAGAAACCTGCATTGGAGATGGTCAGAAAGGGATTTGATAGACGACATGATAATGTAATGATTGACAGGAAGGGACATGACTTGAAATAAGACCCAGATTAAGCCTAGTCTTGAACTAAAAATCATTTTCAAAAAATAATTTTCATTGAAAGTGCATTTTAGTCCAGGACTCGGCTTCGTCTGGGTCCGGGAAACTGGCCCTTACAGTATTGACTGAATTTACTAAAATGATTTAATCACTTCAAATGTCACTTACTGAATGATGAAAGACCCTCTGCCTCTTTCTGGATGTCCTGAGTGGCTGGGATCTGGGAGAGGGACGGAGGGGGTTCCAACTGCCAAAAACTCTGCTCTTGACAAAGTGGCTTTCTGGAGATGGGACCAGGGCAGGAAAAGGGTTAAGCAAAGCTTAACACAGCAAGAACAAAGTTCCTAGCTAAATACAAATCTAGTGGGGCATGACTGTGGGATGCAGGTTGTTTCTGACTACTCACACTTTGTGGACAACTGGCCTCTCAAAGAACAGGTTATCCAGGGACAAAGTGCAGTCTTCTGAGTCCAACATCTCATCAGATCATGTAGGCTTAGCCCATGCAACAGTCATCTGTAGAATTACAAAGTTAGACGTAATCATGGTATACAGTGCATTCGGAAAGTATTCAGACCCCTTTCCTTTTTCCACAATACCCCCTAACGACAAAACAAAAACAGGTTTTCAGAAAATGTTGCACATTTATAAGTAAAACCCCCCAGAAATATCACATTTACATAAGTATTCAGACCCTTTACTCAGTACTTTGTTGAAGCACCTTTGGCAGCGATTAGGCCAATCAGACATTTCAGGGCACCAAGGAGACAGACATGATGTTGCCACAACAGGACAGTCTTTATAGGTTCTGCCTAGGTTTGCAGCAACTGGGAGAGATTGTAAGAAAAGTCAACCATTTGTCAGTAGCCTGACTAGACCCCATAAAATATCTTAATTGTCAACATACTGTAAAGCCTAAATGGTTTTTGTGCAAAGGCCTCAGGTGTTGAAACCCCTACACCAGATCAACGCAAGATGGCAGTCTCTTGGTCATGACATGACTAGCAAGGGTCGACATTAGTTACCACAGCCACAAAGTCTACAATTTATCTTCTTAAAATGAGATTTTAAACCTAACCCTAACCACACTGTTAACCTTATGCTTAACCCTGACCTTAAATGAAGACCAAAAAGCGAATTTTTGTTTTCCTGAATTTTTAAGATATCTTGACTTTGTGGCTGTGGTAACTAATGGAAACCCCTAGCAAGCTAACGTTAGCTAACTAGGCAGGCAAGTTGGCTCACTTTCATGTAATGTTAAGCGACTTATTTGTCAAAATATCAGTTTATTATATGACCATATTAATGACAGCCTGTTAATTCGTATTCTATTTCAAACTGGCGTGTAAAAAGATAACTCATGTAAGTAAAGTAATTTTTAGCCTACCTGTTTCGGTGGGGGCACTATCGCTAACTAGTCTCAAGCCTAGACGCCGATGATACCCGCTCTTCGCTCGAGGGAGATAGCAAATATTTGTATAAACCAAGATAGACCACAGCCTGTCGTTTCCAATGGGAACAAATGAGTCATAGTGGGCAGAACAAGAAAGGAGGTGGGCAGAGTCAGGTACGAGCTAGCGAGATCCTATTGGCGCGTTCTAGCGTTATTTCCGTTAGGGACGCCTCCTCTGGGAAGTGCGCGTGTGCAGTAATTCAATTCGCCTTTGCACTCCTTCTAAACAATACGATTTGTAAAAACTTTTGCAAAAGGTAAAGTCTACAAAACTTAGTCCACCCTGTTCATAACATATTCCAGTTTTGGAAACAGAAAACTGTATTGAGATCAAATGTTTCATCGATGAGAAAATGTGCAGAATGTCTGTCAAAATCCATCTTGTTCCAGCTTCTCCCACTGCCATATTTGGTATTGAGTGGAAACGCCAAGCGGATGATTCACATTTATACATCCGGTGAAATATCTGTCTCATTGTTCTATCTATGGAGATAGGTTAGCCAACTCAAAATGTTATTTGAATTTTTTCGTTTTAACACAAAAAAATTGATTATAATTAATGTATTGTAGGAATCAAGCTGCTCGATAGACCGTTCGTTTATGTATTTGACAACTAGCTAGATAGATAGATATCTAAACTATAGGCCAGCTGATTGATTGGTGTGCCGCGCGTTGTGGCTGCCTCTTGACACCAAAACGACTGGCAGGTTTCAAAACAACATGCATTGAGTGTTGGCTATACAAAGGTACATTAATATTTTATGCGGTGTTTGAATATCCTATAAGACGATGAGAGGGGGGCGGGGGTTTAGAATTAGTGGAAAAAATATTACAATGTTTTACAGGTAAGAGCTCACAACCGTAGCCTAGCTGACACGTTACTACACAGCGAGCATAAAGAGACTGGTGTTAGCAAGACAACTCCGAGCGCGACTCAGACACAACTGACTGTAACATTAAAGCCACATTCTGGGATTCGAAAAACAAAAAAAATGAGTCTGCCACTTGTCTTGGTAAACATATCAGGGATGTGGCTAGAGAAACGTAATCATTGTCAAATTCATAGACTGAGCTATGGATGCAAGGACCTTCCATTATCAAAATTATAATTTTAACAGTCCCACTGGGCACAAATCAATTCAACATCTATTCCACGAAATTTCATTGAAATTACTTGGAAATAACGTTGATTCAACCAGAGTGTGCCAAGTGGGATGTTTTGTATACATTATTTGTAAAAACAAGCTTTTATTTTGGATTCTGGTGGGGTAAGACAGTTCAATCATGTCAAAAAATGGCTGTACCAATCGCAGACTGTAGCTTTAGTTACTTGAATGGCAAATATGACAGTCTGCTTGTTCCTCTTAAACATTGTAATCTTATGACTGTTGAGGAGTAGCTATAACTGTATCCCCAAGGTGTTCCCAAACCCAAATGTGATCCAGACAGAGCAAAATATAAATATGAATACATATATACATCGAATACCATCTAACATGTACATTTATTATATGTTATTAAAATAACAATTTCAAACCGGCTGTCAGTAACATTACCGATATTAAACTAGGTAGATGATCATCAACTCGGGATTTTTCGTTCCGCCTATCTGGGACAAACCACTTTCACTTGCGGGGGAAGCTTATCACGATGAAAAAAAGTTGATGAAAGATCACGGAAGTATAATAAAATAATTACTTACATTGTGAATGTTATATTATATTCCTAGTTCTACACTGGAAAAATTTTGTGCAATTAAAAAGTGCATTCATTAATGCAGTTGTGTCGTTCTTGTATTCCCTCTCAAAAAAATGGTTTAACCTGCGTAGGCCAGGGAAAATGGCGACTGTGGAATGGATGGAAGACGAAAGTGAGCAATAATTCAATGCAACGATTAAAGTGCATATCGTTTGCATTTACACCGTTAAAAGGTAACGTTTCAAGTCTTCTCTAACAATATTGTCACCTCTCGGTATTGCTCAAACATGTCCGGCGTTTTTTGTGTGGTCTTGGTGGAGGTTTTGCTATGGAACATTGTGGACTGGGTAGGCTATTACAAGCGTCCAACAACAGGAATATTTAAAGAGAAGTAAAGCTCCTTTGGATCTTCATGGGGCTCGAGGAAGACCACGATTAGTTTGCTATGTTTGTGCTCTTGAGAGTAAAGGTTGCGCTTTGTTTTGGCGTATGTGGGCTACAGTTCTGCAACGCACAGCTAGAAAGTTTTTACTATAGAATACAGAACTATCTACTGCTCATCAACAACGTTACCCATCGGTCTTGAGTAAGGGGTGATCGATTAGCATTTTATTATAAGGTATATGTTGTATGTGATATGCATGCATTTATGGCTTGCTTGACAGTTGGGGGGGGGGGGGGGGGGGGGAGATGATATGGTGGATGGTTACCAGGGGTGTATAGAGCCTCACAGTGGAGGTGTCATAATACCCATAAAACCTAGCGGTCAAACAGGGAAATGGTTCTAATTGTTTTTCCACCATAAATGTTTCCCCATAGGGGATTTTAGGAACACTTAAAATAAGGGCTGTGTTTTGTGTAGGCTTACCCTGGCGTGACATTTTGATAACCATCTAAATCTCTCTCAGACAAGGTGACTGTTATCAATATAGTCGGCTCTATTTACTCTCATATTCAAAATGCTAATTAGCAACAAAGTAGACATCTTACAAGACTACAAATCCCTGCAAGCTCCTTCACGCCATCTCTAGCTGAAACCTTTGCTAAACAGGTAGTGTCAATTTAAAACCTGCACAAGACAGTTCACAGAATCGTCCAAATTGTCCATTTAAAGGGATGTCAACCCCCCCCCCCCCCCCCAAACCGGGGACCACCAAGGACACCGGAACACCACACCAACCAAAAAAGTAGAAATGTAAATATTCAAAAAAATGTACATATAAACTCCAACAAAATACTACCGTGGTTAACGCTACCCCACCTGCCCCAACCAACCTCGTCCTCAGCAACCTTTGCGCACAGGAAGCAACCTTTAAGAGGAAATAAAAAAAATGAGGACAGGAGGGAACAGATAACAGGACAACACAAACACAAAATAAACAGTAGCTGGTCACAAAAATAAACAGTAGCTGGTCACTCTCGCGCATGAGAAAACGTGTGTCCACCAATCAATAGGACCAGACGCATTCAGGAACAGGGCGCACGAGAGAGAGCGTCAGCAACGACATTATCAGACCCCCTGACGTGCCGCACATCGAGATGGAATGCCTGTAAAAAACAAACACCATCTCATTATCCTCTGGTTAGGACACATCATAGACCTCAAGCTGAGAGGGTTATGATCGGTGTAGACCACGATAGGTAATACACCTATTTTTCCACCACGGTGTAGTTCAACTGATAACGATTAAACGTATTGGAAAAGAAACTAACGGGCCTCTCAACACCGGACACATCTGCTTGCAGCATGACTGCATCTGCCCTCACGTGAGGTGCAGGCAGCACCGGAGTTGAGGTAAGCAGCCTCTTCGCATCATCAAAAGCCTGCTGACAGAGAGGAGACCAGACATAAACCGCCTTAGCTTTCAGCAGATCTGTCAGGGGAGCGACTACGGTAGATAGTACCTACAGAAACTACGATAATAACCAATCATTCCCATGTTATTTTTTAGTGGTTGGCGGTGAAAAAGCATCAATAGCTACCACTTCAGCCCGAACAGGACGCACCTCACCCTGCCCAACCACCTTACCAAGGTACATAACGGTCGCCTGAGCAAACTCACACTTTGCCAGGTTGATAGTGAGGCGACCCGCAGCCAGGCGGTCGAACAAGGCTTCAATACGGGACAGATGTGCCTCTCAAGTATCTGGATAAACCACTACATCGTCCAGACAAACAGCGCACCCAACCAGACCGGAGACAACCCTATTCAAAAGGCGCTGAAAAGTGGCAGGTGCGTTCCGCAGGCTGAAACCCATAACCAAATAAGAGTACAGACCGGAGGGGGTAATAAAGGCAGAGATTTCGCGTGCCCTACGGGTCAGTGCCACTTGCCAATAGCCCTTAAACAGGTCAAACTTGCTCACAAACTTCGCTGCTCCAACCTGATCAACGCAGTCCTCCATCCAAGGAAGAGGGAATGAATCTGGCTTAGTGTCACTGTTTACCTTACGGTAGTCCGTACAAAATCTGTTTGTCCCATCCGGTTTACTGACCAAGATACAGGGAGAAGCCTAGCTGGAGAAAGAAGGCTCTGCAATATCACTCTACCGCATGTACCTGATCTCAGCATCCAGACAACGCCGTTTCTCTGAAGAAACTCTATAGAACCGCTGATGGATGGGGTCAGCATCCCCAACGTCAATAACGTGATCTATCAAGTTTGTACGTGTAGGCGTATCAGAAAACAAAACTGGAAAACTCAGAATCAGACCGACAAACTCGTCTCGCCTATCAGCTGGTAGATGAGCGAGAAGGCTATCCAAAACATCCAGTGACTCTCTGAATTTTTCAATCTACCCTGCAGTACGCAATCGTCGGGACCAAGGATATCCTCCTCACCATGCACGGACATAGCATGACAAAAAGAAGAACCCAGCAATGTAACAGTACCGGCCAAAATAACAGGTTTAACGTCCTCTGCAACTCCCACTGTACGGCCCCAGAGGAACGTGCAAAATAGGGTTTTAGCAGATTTCCATGGCACAGTTGGTGCGCCTTCCTCCGTTCCGGAGTGGCAACTAGACAGTTTTGCTCAGTGCACTGGCGCACAACCATATATGGACCTTGAAACTTGGCTTGAAAAGGATAATCAACAATTGGCAGCAGAGCAAGAACCTGGTCACCTGGAATAAAGTGACGAGGCTCAGCTCGCCGATTTAAATATTCCTTTCATCCTCCCCTGTGAAGATGACAGCTTCTCTTTAGCCATCTCACCAGCGGTGTACAGGCGTCACCGGAAATCACACACATAATATAACAGGGATTGAGGTGGCTTGGGAGACTTCCAGTCATCTTGGAGAACTCCTAGAAGCCCACGCACACTATGTCAGAATACTAGATCATTTGGACTGAAACCTATGCTCTCCTGGGAAACCTCCCTGGCGGCTAGCAGTAACCATGGCAGCCCCTCCTCTCAATCCTTATCCATCTCCGTACAATAACCTCTCAAAGACCTACGGTTATTCAGAGTGACCAAGGTTCTAATTTCACCTCTAATCTGTTTGGTCAGATTCTCCAACAGCTCCATATTAAACACAATTTGGCTAGAGCCTCTCACGCGCAGAGTCAAGAAGCGCTGGAACATTTCCATCAAACACTTACAGTGGGGAAAAAAAGTATTTAGTCAGCCACCAATTGTGCAAGTTCTCCCACTTAAAAAGATGAGAGAGGCCTGTAATTTTCATCATAGGTACACGTCAACTATGACAGACAAAACGAGGGAAAAAAATCCAGAAAATCACATTGTAGGATTTTTAATGAATTTATTTGCAAATTATGGTGGAAAATAAGTATTTGGTCAATAACAAAAGTTTCTCAATACTTTGTTATATACCCTTTGTTGGCAATGACACAGGTCAAACATTTTCTTCACAAGGTTTTCACACACTGTTGCTGGTATTTTGGCCCATACCTCCATGCAGATCTCCTCTAGAGCAGTGATGTTTTGGGGCTGTCGCTGGGCAACATAGACTTTCAACTCCCTCCAAAGATTTTCTATGGGGTTGAGATCTGGAGACTGGCTAGGCCACTCCAGGACCTTGAAATGCTTCTTACGACGCCACTCCTTCGTTGCCCGGGCGGTGTGTTTGGGATCATTGTCATGCTGAAAGACCCAGCCACGTTTCATCTTCAATGCCCTTGCTGATGGAAGGAGGTTTTCACTCAAAATCTCACGATACATGGCCCCATTCATTCTTTCCTTTACACGGATCAGTCGTCCTGGTCCCTTTGCAGAAATCCAGCCCCAAAGCATGATGTTTCCACCCCCATGCTTCACAGTAGGTATGGTGTTCTTTGGATGCAACTCAGCATTCTTTGTCCTCCAAACACGACGAGTTGAGTGTTTACCAAAAAGTTATATTTTGGTTTCATCTGACCATATGACATTCTCCCAATTCTCTTCTGGATCATCCAAATGCACTCTAGCAAACTTCAGACGGGCCTGGACATGTACTGGCTTAAGCAGGGGGACACGTCTGGCACTGCAGGATTTGAGTCCCTGGCGGCGTAGTGTGTTACTGATGGTAGGCTTTGTTACTTTGGTCCCAGCTCTCTGCAGGTCATTCATTAGGTCCCCCCGTGTGGTTCTGGGATTTTTGCTCACCGTTCTTGTGATCATTTTGACCCCACGGGGTGAGATCTTGCGTGGAGCCCCAGATCGAGGGAGATTATCAGTGGTCTTGTATGTCTTCCATTTCCTAATAATTGCTCCCACAGTTGATTTCTTCAAACCAAGCTGCTTACCTATTGCAGATTCAGTCTTCCCAGCCTGGTGCAGGTCTACCATTTTGTTTCTGGTGTCCTTTGACAGCTCTTTGGTCTTGGCCATAGTGGAGTTTGGAGTGTGACTGTTTGAGGTTGTGGACAGGGGTCTTTTATACTGATAACAAGTTCAAACAGGTGCCATTAATACAGGTAACGAGTGGAGGACAGAGGAGCCTCTTAAAGAAGTTACAGGTCTGTGAGAGCCAGAAATCTTGCTTGTTTGTAGGTGACCAAATACTTATTTTCCACCATAATTTGCAAATAAATTCATTAAAAATCCTACAATGTGATTTTCTGGATTTTGTTTTCTCAATTTGTCTGTCATAGTTGACGTGTACCTATGATGAAAATTACAGGCCTCTCTCATCTTTTTAAGTGGGAGAACTTGCACAATTGGTGGCTGACTAAATACTTTTTTCCCCCACTGTAAGTGTTTGATGGAAATGTTCCAGCGCTCCTTGACTCTGCGCGTGAGAGGCTCTAGCCAAATTGTGTTTAATACGGAGCTGTTGGAGAATCTGACCAAACAGATTAGAGGTGAAATTACAACCTTGGTCACTCTGAATAACCTTAGGGATTCCAAACAGCAAGATAAACTGAGTCATTCCTTTAGCACGGACTTAGTCGTGATAGACCGGAGAGGATAGGCAGCAGGAAACCTAGTGGTCTGACACATCACAGTGAACAGGTAACTACTACCATTCTTAGAGCGAGGCAGAGAGCCAACACAGTCAACAATCAGATACTCAAAAGGCTGACTGACTACGGGAATAGGAAACAGCGGTACAGGCTTAATAGTTTGATTAGGTTTACCCGTTAATTGACAGGTCTGACAGGTTTTGATGAACGCAGAATCATCCCTCTTTAACCTAGGCCAAAATAAATGTCTCAGTATGCGATTGTAGGTTTTCCTCACGCACAGATGTCCAGCAACAACTTCGTGGGAAGTTTTCAACACCAACTCACAAAACTTAACTGGTACAACAACCTGACTAATAGCCTCCCCAACAAAACAACTACTATGAGGCACCCATTTTCTCATCAGGACATCATCCTGGAGAAAATAGCCCTGGGCAACATCTCCCAACTGTTCCACAGGCACAATTTGGTCACGCAACTCTTCTAATGTGGGGTAAACCCACTGCTCCTTGGTTAAATCGGAGCGGGGCACAGATAACGGGATAACAGGGAAAGTAGTGACAGATTTCTTCGTAACATTATCGTTAGCCGGCACAGTGACCAGGTCGCCATTGCTCATGGAACGAGTCACCGCGCACGCAGAGAACACCTCTGGGGAAACTCCACGCACTCCAATCGGGAATCCCTACAAACGACGGCTTAGCGGAAACCACTAGAGATGGAGACACAACAATTATGAAAAACATAATTCCACTTTAACATCATGGGGTATTGTGTGTAGGCCAGTGACAAAAGTGCAATTAAATCAATTTAAAATTCAGGCTGTAACACAACAAAATTTGGAAAAAGTGAAGGTTGTGAATACTTTCTGAAGGCACTGTAAATGAAATGTAATCCAACAAAATATAAACGCAACATGCAACAATTTCAAAGATTTTACTGAGATACAGTTCATATAAGGAAATCAGTCAATTTAAATAAATTCATTAGGCCCTAATCTATGGATTTCACATGACTGGGAATACAGATATGCATCTGTTGGTCAAAGATACCTTTTTTAAAAAGGTAGTGTCGTGGATCAGAAAACCAGTCAGTATCTGGCGTGACCACCATTTGCTTGTGCAGCGCGACACATCTCCTTCGCATAGAGTTGTTCAGGCTGTTGATTGTGGCCTGTGGAATGTTGTCCAACTCCTCTTCAATGGCTGTGCAAAGTTGCTGGATATTGGCGGGAGCTGGAACACGCTGTTGTACACGTCGATCCAAACATGCTCAATGGGTGACATGTCTGGTGAGTATATAGGCCATGGAAGAACTGGGACATTTTCAGCTTCCAGGAATTGTGTACAGATCCTTGCGACATGGGTTCATGCATTATCATGCTGAAACATGAGGCGGATGAATGGCACGACAATGGGCCTCAGGATCTTGCCATGATATCGCTGTGCATTCAAATTGCCATCGATAAAATGCAATTGTGTTCGTTGTCCTTAGCTTATGCCTGCCCACACCATAACCCCACCGCCACCATGGGGCACTCTCTTCACAACGTTGACATCAGCAAACAGCTCGCCTACACGACGCCATACACATGGTCTGCGGTTGTGAGGCCGGTTGTACGTACTGCCAAATTCTCTAAAACGACATTGGAGAGGCGGCTTATGGTAGAGAAATTAACATTCAATTCTCTGGCAACAGCTCTGGTGGACATTCCTGCAGTCAACATGCCAATTCCACGCTCCCTCAAAACTTGAGACATCTTTGGCATTGTGTTGTGTGACAAAACTGCACATTTTACAGTTACCTTTTATTGTCCCCAGCACAAGATGCACCTGTGTAATGATCAAGCTGTTTAATCAGCTTCTTGATATGCCACACTTGTCAGGTGGATGGATTATCTTGGCAAAGGAGAATTGCTCACTAACAGGGATGTAAACAAATTTGTGCACAACATTTTAGAGAAAGAAGCTTTTTATGTGCATGGAAAATTTCTGGGATCTTTTATTTCAGCTCATGAAACATGGGACCAACACTTTAAATGTTACATTTATATTTTGGTTCAGTATACATAAATACAATTGAGATCATATTTTGCAGCAGCTCTCAGAAGTAATGTTGGACTGTGTTTTTTGTTGCTGTGCACCAATAGCAGGCACCACTGGTGGTGGTAGAAAGTTCTTAAAGGAGAGGTACCGTATTTGGAAAGTGTAGCCAGCTAGATTATTGATGGGCAAAGTAAACAACTTTCTGATCAGTTTGTTTTCTTTCCTAGAGTTCAGCTGCAGAAATGTCTGATCTGACCGGTATTGATGAAGAGGAGAAAGATGCAGATCCTGTGATCGACCCCTTAGATCTCCTTCAAGATCTAATGAGAAATCAGATGCCCTTGTTTATAGAAACATTGGACAGACCTCAGACATCTCCTCTGAGAGAAAATAGCAGTGTCCTTGATGTTCTCTCAAACACAAATGTGTTGTCTGTGAATGGACCTTCTTCACACCAAGCCTTCGAATCAGATGAACTCAACAGCTTGTCAACAGAAAAGGGGGAGGAAAAGAGTATTACTCAGTTGAAGACTGTGCAGGACATTGACACTACAGGGATATGGGGTTTTGATGTGGAATCTTCAGAGAACTCAATGGATAATTATGAGGGTCCCCTGAGCTGGGACCCTCAGAGAGAATTCATGCAGTTTCTGTGGGACAACCACGATGATTCTCCCGTGGAGGAGCTACCAAAGGCAGATCCTCCCTCAAACAGCCAAAGGAGGAGGAAACGCAAAATGGACATGGTGGTCATGGTAGATCCCTCAGAGGATCTTTACTCTGATTTGAGCCTCAAGTCAACAAAGGATGTGTTTGATGAAGAGGATCAAGAAGACCCTCTTCCCATCAACAAGGTCCAATCCTTGAGAAAACGCAACAAACCTCAATCACCGACAACGAAAAAAGCACAGTATCCCAATGGAACTGTAGAGGCCATCAAGCAACTTATTTTCAATGCGCCTGCAAGAAATCCACATGAGAAAAGCGTGGCTCACAGGCTTAGACCGCTGAAAGGGAAACCTCTGACTGACTCTTGTTCAGAGGAGGAGCCATTGTTTTTTCCTTGCACAAAGTGCAACATCAATTTCAAGGAGAAGAACCATCTGCACCGGCACATGAGGACTCACACAGATCCGCCCAGTCTGATCAACATTCCAAAGCCTTTTATATGCAGAGAGTGTGGCCAGTCGTTCCGCTTTCGCAATTCCCTCCTTCGACATATGACCATTCACCAGGAGAGAAGAGAGAGACTCATGGAGGAGATCAAGGGCATGAATGAATTGAAGGATGAGGGCACAGATGCAAGGCTACAGTGCCCCCAGTGCACTTTTGGAACAAATTGTCCAAATACATTTGTTCAACATGCCAAGACTCATGAGAAGGACAAGCGGTACTACGACTGTAAGACTTGTAACTATATGGCTGTGACTGTGTTGGAACTTGAGAGACACGAGAACAAAGAACACAGTCTCTGTAAAAACCAGGACGAGCCAGATAAACCCAGAGTGTTTAGGTCAAAGGAAGATGATAAAACACCTCATTCCTACTCCTGTAACCATTGTTCTTATGGCACCTCAAGCAAAAACATCTTTAAAAATCATCTTGAGATTCGTCATAATCAGACATACAAGGAATATGAAGTTTTCCAGAGTAGAGAAAGAAATGAGTATGCACAACCACCTTCTGAGAAACACCTCCCCATTAGAAAACCCACAGTAGTAAATTCATTTTCTTCAGAGCTGACATCAAAATTATCTGTGAAAAAACTGGCTATCAGAAAAAGAACAGATTTTCCTTGTGATTCAAATGACATTTCTGATCTTTTCAAAAAGGATAAGATAGTTCACAGAGCGCAAAGGGGCTTCAAGTCTCAACCCACAGAGTCAAAACTTGACAAGTCAATAAATAATCTGTTGTCTCGACAAAGACGTGACAATCAGAGGAATAAAGACTTTGATGTCACCACAGGGTTTTCTTTTGTCGAGGACACAAATGGTGACATTGATCATGATTTTGGACGAATTTCAGAAAATCCCAATTCTTCTTCAAATGGCCACAAACGTTTATTGGCATCTGAGTTGGAGAATAATATCTTAAATTCTGGCTGTGATTCCGGTTTAAGTGAAGGTATTAGTGCAGACCTCAACAGCAAGCATGTCTCTAAACTTGTCATAAAAATGCCAGTTATGAAAAAATTACCTTCCAAAAGAAAAATGTCCACCCCTTATCACAATACCGTTGACCAGGACTCTTGCTTAATTTTACCAAAGCATTTGCAAAGTCCGGTGGAGGAGATGGAAGAGGAAGACAGTGATAATAAGGATATCTTCCAGTATAGTGATGACGCCACAGATGCCAACAACAAAATTCTCGATAAAAGTGAAATCAAGCAAGAGAAACCGTACATTGGTAATTCCTTTAGCAGAAGAATGTCTATGAAGGGAGTCCTTGGAACCTCTGAAGACCTGTTTGAGAAAGGTCAAGACAGGCATTCTCAGCAGAAGCCTGTTATCAAGGAAGAGTGCATAGAAACACAGGTTTTTGGAGAGAACCTTGCGCCCAACTCGGTGCCACTAAGTGAATCCTTTTTAGATGCTGATTCGGAAGGTGGTGGGGAACGGAAGACCTGTCCTTACTGTCCTGCAGAGTTCGAGTCAGGTGTGGGATTATCCAATCACGTGAGAGGACATCTGCATAGAGTTGGACTGAATTACAATGCACGCCATGTGGTATCACGAGAGCAGGTGGCTTCTCAAGACAGGAAACCTCGCATCCGTCGAAGGATGGGTGCAATACGACTGAAAAAAGGTACTATTTTCCTTTATCTTTCCATCTAATATTATTATATTATATTTTGTTGCATGCATGGTTATGTTCCTTCAATATAATGTTTAACAGTGCTGGTCACCATGTTGCTATACAGATGAACAAAAGCGGTCAACCATTCGGCTTCACAGAAACATCCTCTAAATAGAGATGCATATGGTTATGTTATTGTTAGCTCAATAAAGGAAACAAAATATTGTATTGTAAAGAAAAATGACACAGCTCATTTGATTGGAGAATTTTACATTATTCAACAGAGGCAAATGTATCAATAATTTGGTAATCATTTGTAGATTGTCAATGTCATTACAATGCATTCATGTCACAGTCATGCGTGAAATACCACACCTCAAAGTTATTACTGTAGCACCAGCATCACCATGGTGGGATTAAGTAAACTGCTAAATACTCAGTGTTTTCGATTAGCGCCGGCCATCGGCTAATCTGCTGGTTACAGACTAATTTTCAGCCGGCCACTTTTTCCACTTCATATTAATTATGCTACTTCTCATTTAAACGTTTTAATTCGCTAGTCCGTCGAGCCCTCTCCCGGTAGAATGAACGATATGCACCTTCTAGCGATCTATTGATAGGATAGGCTCCTGTCAGTCACAAAGCGTGCGATGACAGGGAAACGCAGTCTGCTGTCTGTCCCGCCTCCCGGTACAATTTGTGTGCGCTGTGGTTAGTTGCAGTCGATTTCCTTTACACGGAGGAGGGAGAGCATGATGCTCGTTAATTTTCACATCCCATGTAATATAAGTGGTAATGATGAGTCGAAATACACTTAGCCTAATTATTGATTTCTGGCCGTCATTGTAAATAAGAATTTGTTCTTAACTGACTTGCCTAGTTAAACAAAGGTAAAATAAAAATTCAAAATTAAATACCAGAGAAACTCATCATAACAATGTAAAAAAAAGGTTTGTTAGAAAATAGTCCTGATCATATAGGCCTAGACAATATAAAAACAACTAACAATACATAGGGTGTCCACCCACTCGAAAACTTGCTTTGGTGATGACATCACTTCCTTATGTTATAAAATACATTTTACCAAACAAATATGAATCATGTTCTGAATTGTTCAGTGGGGTCTTTCTCTAACATATCATTAACATTATATCCCAAAAGTTGGATTTCGTAACTTAATACATCCGATAATGAGCTCTGTCAAGCTGCTGTATCCCTGAAACTTTTGAGGATTTTACATTTTGTGGTCGTGTCTTCTAAGTTGTTTCCGCGGGTCGCAAATAGCAAAATTAGCATGACACGAGCTGAATTAAATGTAAAAGGCTTTGAAAATAAAAAGCTTGGGGTACACTCAGTGCGTTGTTGACATTTCACAGAGATACGCTTTTTTTTGTGAGAAGTCTTTGAAAAATAACAGGAACATCGCATTAATATGAACAGCGTATACTAAAATATGAAAATACTACGTCTTGTTTCAAAATCATCAATCTATCTTACCTTTATATATTGTTTTATGTCCTCCGGATTTGAGAAAAAAGATGACGAGTTAAATGGTAAGCCTGTCCAGTAGCCTTAATTCTCGCACAGCATCGAGTCTAGCTGACAAGATTTATGACCACTTTTTTTCTCTGGCCTCCATTGATTTAAGCACCCTAATTTTGACCATTCTATAAGGGTAAAAACTCCAATAACTTTTTAACGGATTATGATAAGAGACATGAGGTTTAGACCATTGGTTTTCTTAGAGGATTATCTACACAATTAACATGTTATTTTACCCATTGGTCAAAAGATGCGTTTTTGATTGGACACCCTACAAAACACTGAATTCATACATTTTCAGTAATTACATTTGGAAAGTCTTGTCTTTCTACACATTACCACAACACATTTTTCCAATATGAGAGGTAAACTCGATAAACTATTCAATAATTTCGCTGTGTATTTCAGATGGAATCAGGGCATGAGAATGTACCAGAGGCCACCAAAAATAGAGCTCCTTCGGCAAAAAATTTAACCCTGGGGGACAAGCCCCCCCGGACCCTGGCTGGTTACTTATTCCATTTGGCTAGCTACTCTATGTACTTGTGGAAAACACTGCTCAATAATGAGTTTTTTTAGTCTTTAATTTTGAATGGGGATGGGAACTCATTTCCTTGGCCTACAAAGAATGTTTTGACCAATTATTTCTGCTGTGTTGCTATGTTTTCAGCACCCAAGTTTGGGTCTGAGGGCGCTCCTGTCCAAGGGCACTCCTGTCCATTATGTGGGGACTCTTTTGATAATAAGACTGGGCTATCTAACCATGTTCGGGGCCATCTGAAACGGCTCGGGAAAACCATTGCCACTAAGTCCAAGTCCCCAATGTTGTTGCTCCGGGAGCTGATGCGTGACAAGAGAGAGTTCCAGAGAGCTCTGCAGATTCTGGGCAAGAAACGGATCCCCTCCCATTCCAGAATCCCCTCAAAGCAGGCCACCTCTAATCACCTGACATCCCCTAAACGGAATCTCATTCAGAACCTCTACAACAATGCCAAACCACTGGTGCCCATGTATTCTCTATCAGGGGAAACATTGGATAAGAAACAGGCAGAGACTAAGTTGGAGGTAAAGGGTTCACTCTCGAGTGCCTTGATAGGAATTCTGAAGAAGAGGAAGTGTCAGGAGGACTCAAAGTTGAGAACTTCATCTCAAACGGCAAGAAACGCCCTGTCAGTTTCCCCCACCAGCGAGCACAGTAGAGGAGCACAAGTCAACTCAACACTCTCAAACTCTACATCGGGTAAGACCAAGGGTAAATGTAAAGTTTGGGATAAAGGGATGTTAACCAAAGACAAATTGTTAGCATGAAAGATATGAATGCCAAATGGATTATATTTGCGTGCAAAACGATGGCTGATGTGGTCAAAAGTGTGACTGATTTTCATTCAATATTGTTTCACAGAGAAAGGTGAATTCAACAGGAAGGTGTGTGTCCATTGCAATGCAACCTTCCACAGCGGTGTTAGTCTGTCCAATCACTTGCGGGCATACGCAAAGCGAAAGAGGACTGCCTTGCTGGAGGGAACAAGTAAGTGCCTTCGCATCATCAGTGTTCACAAAGGAACATCACTACTGCACATTGCTTACAGCCTTGCTACTGTACAGTGAACACAATGATTTCCTTAAAATCACTGCCTCACACAGACCCCCTGCCTAAGTGCACACATGGTCACCAGTCAAGACTAAACTTACCTGAGCCTATTGCTCTTACCCGGTTCTTAATGTTTCAGCGTATGACTGTAAACAAAGGAGGCAGAGATCAAGGCCTGGTTCCAAGAAGAAGACATCCCCCACTATGCCACACGCACCAGAGGAGATGTATAGACTAACCTGCAGGTACTCTATACCTCATCTTATATGCCACAAAGTTTGACCACATACCATACTGTCTATGCCGTTGGTGTAAATTATTGTATTATTCATTGACATTTTTACTACTCAAGATTTTAAGTTGGGGTGAAGCTCTATTCAATGCATTATTTGTAGTAATGCTTTAAAAGTAATGTTGTTAAGTTGACCAAGAGTTGGTTGTAGCTTCTACTGTCTTTGAGGCCCACGTCTGAATGGGGGGGTCTTACTGTGTTTGGATCCTCTGCAGATTCTGTGACCTAGTCTTCCAGGGTCCCTTGTCGGTCCAGGAGGACTGGATAAAGCATCTACAAAGGCACATTATGAACGCCAGTGTCCCCCACACAGGAGCAGGCATGAGGGAGGTCACCTCACTGCCCAGGGATCCCTCCTCCCCCACCTCTGACAGACAGACCCCATCACTGGCAACTCACACTGCCTCCTAAGCCAAGGTTTTAAAAAGTATATATTTTGGTTCAGCTGAGTGTGTGTTTGTACATTGGATGTTCCTTCAGTTTTATACAGTCATAATTGCCACTCTTACAACACACAATTTCAGGAGTTTGACTACCTGATCTCTTAAAACACATTTTTATTTGTGGTATATTGTTACATTTTATCAGCATTTTAAATGTCCCATGTTAGGAATATGATTCCATGTGGGCTGACTGTTTTCTTGTGTTTATGCAGTAATGTAGTGTGGAACCCATTTAAAATAGAGACAACTCTTACCTCAATTCTCTGTCCATTTGGTCCAGTTTGGGAGTACCCTTTCTCTGTATATTAATATATTTACATTTATGCTACACATGAAAACATAAAAATAGGACAAATACAATTCTCTTCTGTATTTTAACATGTATTCAAATCATGATCATATTGCTACCATTTGTTTATGTGGGGAGGGGGTTCTGGTAAAAAAAAAAATATCACAGAAAATAAGGTTAAAAACATGGATGGCAGTTTTGGGGGGGAAGTGTCACATACTGCAGTTATCTGCATATTAATTAAAACTCCTAAATGAATAGGGTTTATCAGCCACAGTTTGTGTTCAGTGATGCAGTCAAAGCGTGGATTGTTGCTGCCTTTCATAACTGTCACCTATATTCATGTTTTTAAATAATTTGTTTAAATGTATATCATACCGATATGATCCTGAAACAATTTTTTGATGTTCTAAATAAAAACTATGGTTTAGTCATCTGGATTGACCTGTTGGTGTTTTCTTTAACAGTGGCCCACTATTGTACTGAACAAAAATATAAACGCAACATGCAAAGTGTTGGTCCCATGTTTCATGAGCGGAAATAAAATATCTCAGAAATGTTCCATAAGCACAAAAGGCTTTTTTCTCTCCAATTATGCACACATTTGTTTACATCCCTGTTAGTGAGCATTTTATCCTTTGTCAAGATAATCCATCCACCTGATAGGTGTGGCATATCAAGAAGCTATTTAAACATGATCATTACACAGGTGCACCTTGTGCTGGGGACAATAAAAGGCCACTGTGCAGTTTTGTAACAACACAATGCCACAGATGCCTCAGGTTTTGAGGGAGCATGCAATTGGCATGCTGACTGCAGGAATGTCCACCAGAGCTGTTGCCAGATAATTTAATGTTAATTTCTCTACCATAAGCCACCTCCAATGTCGTTTTAGAGGATTTGGCACTACGTCCAACCGGCCTCACAACCGAAGACCACGTGTAACCACGCCAGCCCAGGACCTCCACATCTGGCTTATTCACCTGCTGGATCGTCTGAGGGGGCAGGGGGTGCTGAGGACTATTTCTGTCTATAATAAAGCCCTTTGTTGGGGAAAAACTAATTCTGATTGGGTGGGCCTGGCTCCCCAGTCGGTGGGCCTATGCCCTCCCAGGCTCACCCATGGCTGCGCCCCTGCCGTCATGTGAAATCCATAGATTAGGGCCTAATGAATTTATTTAAATTGACTGATTTCCTTATATGAACTGTAACTCAGCAAAATCTTTGAAATTGTTGCGTTTATATTTTGTTCGGTATAGTTTGTCAATGGCTGTGTTAAAAGGTAGACTTGGTAATATGACAGATGCAGAAAGTAAACAGCATAGTGGCTCGATTTCTGCAACAGCTAAGAGCATTGAGGCTCAACTCAGCTGTTTTGGTCCCATGCACAGAAGTCTTGCATCTCGCTCATCTCAATATCTGCGATACTACTCGTGGCAATGTCATTTCGCTGTCTACATTTAACACAGGCAGCCCTATTCTGATATTTTGCCCAATTATTGGCAATCTGATTGGTCAAAATCTGATTGGTCAAAATAACAATTTGTGCAGCGTTTGCCAAATTTCAGTCCTCATGACCCCAAGGTGTGCATGTTTTGGTGTTAGCCCTAACACTACACAGCTGATTGAAATGATCAAAGTTTGATGATTGTTTTAATCAGCTGTGTAGTGTTAGGGCAAAAACCGAAATGTGCTCCCGTTGGAGTCCCAAGGACCACGTTTGGGAAACCCTGAATTAGTGGCAAAAGGATAAGAATAAGGCTGCCTGTGTAAATCAGCGGGGAAAGAAGACCCTGTTGAGCTTGACTTTCTCCGCTGATTTACACAGGCAGCCTGCGCTACTCCGCATTGGCGGAGACTGCATTCACGGTAAATGCTGCATGTCGGCTAAATTGGAAATCACCTTTAAATGTAAATCGCTTTACAGCACTACTGATTGAATCGAGCTCCTAATCAAGGGCAAGATTCTACCAGATCTGCGCTAGCCAACATCCGCATAGCGGTTGTTTTGGCAGTGTCGTTGGTGGAACTGTTAGAGCTGTGCAAATCCACAAGCGGCTCTTTGCGTTACCTTTTCTTGGTCACTGCCAAACAACACAACCTGCCAATTCGGCTAACTTCAAATAGCATCCCAGCTAACATTACATGACTTCCCAAACAATATCAGTGACCATTGCTTTTTAATGCTACATCATGTGTTCCATTATTCACTGATGATCAGAGGGGTGATATCTGCTATAGCAGCAGAATGGCTACCTTACCATTTTGTTCCTCCAGTGGTCCTTGGATCTCAGGTAATCCTGCATTGACGATGGATGTACGGAGACGTAGACAATAGTCTACACTTTTTAATCGCAGTTTTGAACTTCTAACGCGGTAGGGATAAGGAAGGGAGTGGTTGGTGACACACAAGAGCAGCCGGTCACTGATTTGTCCACTCATACCGCAGTTACACCCCCAACACCACACCATCAAAACACAGCCAACACAGGTTAACGCGCGAACTGATTGAATCGAGGCCCAAATCAAACCTGAAACCTTTAACTCGTTCAGTTGTTTTGTCATCTGGTGAAAACCTCTATCAATAGTGGGATACTGCAATAGTGCAAATGTGTGGGAGTCTAACAAATAACACCTTACTATATGATGAACTCTCAGCTAGTTATTCTGGACCACAGAGATTCTTCCATAAAGTTTCAACTGTCAATAATAGAGGAAACAGTATTTACAGGATATCAAAGGACTGTTATTCTATATAACCACAAAATATTTCCTTTCCAAAACTGCACAATTGAACCTTAAACGATAGTTGGCATCTAAAATGACTGGCTGCATATCATTTAATGGCATCTATGTTGGCAGTACCAGATTTCACAACGGTGACAATGATATGAAACAGAGTCGACCATCTCTGCTGCTGTTTATAAAACGTTGTTTTATAACTCCTCTGAATATCAGTGTCAACCCAACAATTAATGGGTATTTTTTTCAAATAACTGTTTAAAAAATATTATTAATAATAACAATAATAATAATAATAATAGGGGAAAGCCTGTAAAGACCTTATTTCTCCAGGAAACAAAACATTACAGTATTTCAATCCTTAAATCTCAAAATGAATCAAAGCAGGTGTTCTATGGGCAAAAGATAATTGTGGAAGAAAAATATAAAAAAGTGTGGAAAAGCATTGCAAGTGTCCTTCAATAATATCTATTGAAATTGAAACCATTTCCAACTGAAAAATAAAAAAGGTCCACAGTTAAAGATGGGTGTTCGTACATGAAATATTCCACAAAAAAACAAAATGACCACAAGTCCCCAACTACTTGATATCTAATGGATCTTTCACACTCAAGTAAAACATGTATTCTGTATTAGTTTAGTGTCAATTCCTGCACTAATCCTGGTGTCACAGATGTACGTAAGACTGCACACCAACACTCAGGTTACAGAGTTTGCCCATTTGGTCTTTGTCTAGAGTTGGTTTTGATGGGTGGTTGTTGGCTGTCCATAGTTAGCCTTAGTCGGTAGCTAGCAGTTGGTATCTACTGTTTGTATATTCTTCATGGGCCTCATGATGACTGTTCAAAAGGATACTTGCCCTGAAATACAACCAATTATTTGTCATTTCCATTTAAATTAAATATGTTTTTGTCTACAGTTGATAGAATTAACAGACTTTAAAAATAAATACAAAACTTTGGTATTCTACAGATTTTGGTAGAATTCCTCACATAGTATTAGTGTAATGTATAGCAAATGCCTGTTCAGATTGTTTACCTCACGGAAGCTTGCATACTCATTCTTCATTCGTTTCATGGTGGCCTTCGCGAAGTTCACACTTTCCTTCAACTGTTTCGTTCTCAATTCCTTCAGTGATAAACACAGTAAACTCATAAAACATGAAACAGTAAGTACACCCACATGTCTGTTGCACAGTGAAAATAACAACAGATTTCAAGAAGAATAATGCATCATGTATCGCTTTGATTTTTGCTTCTTTTAAGAATTGATAGACAAAATTCTAAATAAAAAAACAACCTGCCAATTTGGCTAACTTCAAGTAGCATCCCAGCTAACATTACGTGACCTCCAAAACAACATCAGTGACCATTGCTTTTTAACGCTACATCATGTGTTCCATTATTCACTGATGATCAGAGGTGTGATATCTGCTGTAGCAGGAGAATGGCTGCCTTACCATTTTGTTCCTCAGGTGGTCCTTGGAGCTCAGGTGATCCTGCAATGACGATGGATGTACAGAGACGTAGACTTGGCACGAAGCACAGTGGAAAATCTCAATTCTTGTCATGTAATCCTTGTCCAGCAATGCTGCGAATGACAGGGGTGAGATAGAGGTCAAATCACAAATCAAATCTTATTTGTCACATGCGCCGAATACAACTGGTGTAGACTTTACCGTGAAATGCTTGATTACGAGCCCTTCCCAACAATGCAGAGTTTAAAGATAAAAATGAAAGTCACACAAGAGTAATAAAATACACAAGAATGGAGCTATAAACAGGGACTACCAGTACCAGATCAATGTGCAGCGGTACGAGGTATTTGAGGTAGATACAGAGCATTCGTAAAGTATTCAGCCCCATTTACTTTTTCCACATTTTGTTACGTTACAGCCTTATTCTAAAATTGATTTAAAAAAATAATAATCCTCATCAATCTATACACAATACCCCATAATGACGAAGCAAAAACAGGTTTCTAGAAATTTTGCTAATTTATAAAAAATTGAAATATCACATTTACATTAAGTATTCAGAACCTTTACTCAGTACTTTTGTACCGTTGGCAGCGATTACAGCCGAGTCTTCTTGGGTATGACGTTACAAGCTTGGCACACCTGTATTGGGGGAGTTTCTCCCATTCTTCTCTGCAGATCCTCTCAAACTCTGTCAGGTTGGATGGGGAGCGTTGCTGCACAGCTATTTTCAGGTCTCTCCAGAGATGTTCGATTGGGTTCAAGTCCGGGCTCTGGCTGGGCCACTCAAGGACATTCAGAGACTTGTCCTGAAGCCACTCCTGCGTTGTCTTGGCTGTGTGCTTAGGGTCGTTGTCCTGTTGGAAGGTGTACCTTCGCCCCAGTCTGAGGTCCTGAGCGCTCTGGAGCAGGTTTTCATCAAGGATCTCACTGTACTTTGCTCAGTTCATCTTTCCCTCGATCCTGACTAGTCTCCCAGTCCCTGCCGCTGAAAAACATCCCCACAGCATGATGCTGCCACCACCATGCTTCACCGTACGGATGGTGCCAGGTTTCCTCCAGACGTGACGCTTGGCATTCAGGCCAAAGAGTTCAATCTTGGTTTCATCAGACCAGAGAATCGTGTTTCTCATGGTCTTAGAGTCCTTTAGGTGCCTTTTGGCAAACTCCAAGCGGGCTGTCATGTGCCTTTTACTGAGGAGTGGCTTCCGTCTGACCACTCTACCATAAAGGCCTGATTGGTGGAGTGCTGCAGAGATGGTTGTCCTTCTGGAAGGTTCTCCCATCTCCACATAGGAACTCTAGAGCTCTGTTAGAGTGAACTTCGGGTTCTTGGTCACCTCCCTGACCAAGGCCCTTCTCCCCTGATTGCTCAGTTTGGAAGAGTATAGGAAGAGTCTTGGTGGTTCCAAACTTCTTCCATTTAAGAATGATGGAGGCCACTGTGGTCTTGTGGACCTTCAATGCTGCAGAATGTTTTTGGTACCCTTCCCCAGATCTGTGCCTCGACACAATCCTATCTCGTCCTCATGGCTTGGTTTTTGCTCTGACATGCACTGTCAACTGTGGGACCTTATATAGACAGGTTTGTGCCTTTCCAAATCATGTCCAATCAATTGAATTTACCACAGGTGGACTCCAATCAAGTTGTAGAAACAGCTCAAGGATGATCAATGGAAACAGGATGCACCTGAGCTCAATTTCGAGTCTCATAGCAAATGGTCTGAATATTTATGTAAATAAGGTATTTCTGTTTTTTTTTTATGCATTTGCTCAAATGTCTAAAAACCTGTTTTTGCTTTGTCATTATGGGGTATTGTGTGAAGATTGATGAGGAAAAAAATAATTTAATCAATTTTAGAATAAGGCTGTAACGTAACAAAATGTGGAAAATGGTACGGGGTCTGAATACTTTCCGAATGTGCTGTATGTACATGAAGGCATGGTAAAGTGACTAGGCATCAGGATAGATAATAATAAGAGTAAAATAAAGAACAGAGTAGCAGCAGCAAATTAGTGTAAAAGTGTGTGTCTGCGTGTATGTGTTGTGTTGGTCTGCGTGTGTGTGCGTATGTAGTGTATGTGAATGTGTGTGGGTTTTGTGTGGGAGTGTCAATGTAGTGTGTGTGTGAGTGTGTATCAGTGGAGGCTCCTCAGAGGAGGAAGGGGAGGACCATCGTCAGTGAATTTCATAAAAATGTAAATAGTGAAACAAAAAAGTTAAACTAAATATATTCACGTCACCAAATAATTGATTAAAACACACTGTTTTGCAATGAAGGTCTACAGTAGCCTCCATAGCACCATGGTGTAACCGGAGGACAGCTAGTTTCCATCCTCCTCTGGGTACATTGACTTCAATCCAAAACCTAGGAGGCTAGTGGTTCTCACACCCTTCCATAGACTTCAGAGCACTTGCAGCATGAACTGACATGCTGTCCACCCAATCAAAGGATCAGAGAATGAATCTAGTACTGAAAGCATAAGATACAGCTAGCTAGCACTGCAGTCCATAAAATGTGGTGAGTATGTGACTCAAGAGAGAAAAACAATAGTTCAACAGTTTTGAACAAATTAATTCCTTAAAAGATGAAGGAGATGCAAGAGAGAGCTAGCTATTGTGTTTTTTTTTTCACTTTCACTTACTAGCTAGCTAGTTAGCTACTTTAGCATACTCAAACACACAGCTCAAACAGAGAGGGATGCTATGTTAGCTAGCTGGCTATGGCCATCCAACACTGGAACTCTTCCATGTCAAGGTAAGCTTTTGGTTTTCTTAATGTATTGTCACCGGGGCCTGCCGGTATAACTGCTAAACTGCTTGCTAACTGTACACTCTATTGCTGATTGTGGCGGGTTTACTAAGGCGTTAGTTCTAGTAGCTATGTTGACAACGATGTAGGCTGCGGTTAGCAGTTATGATATGAGGGTTTGGCTTGGTAAGGTGTTTTCACCTGATCACAGACAGCTGATGGTCATGCACTGAAGTCCACAAGCGAAGGGAAACGGTGAGACGAGAGCGAGTAGATGTGAGAAGTAATTATCCAACGATCAAAGGGATCATGCCGTTTATATGTGGCTGCTATAAAACTGTTTGCGTGTGATTAGGGGTGTATTTTTTTTATCCAGCTGATTCTGTTGAAAAACGTTTCTTAAAACGGAAGCAAACGGAACGGGGATAAACATACCTGAATTTGTCAAATAGAAAGTCTCGTTTGCAACTGTTGGACTAATGACTACACCCTAGATCAGCTAGATGCAGGCAAGAGTATGCAAGGTGGTATTGAATGTGTCAATGTCTGTCACATTGATTACTCAAATTACTCTCGACCTGTGCACCTACATTGTAAACTTTCATTCATAGGCTAGGTTGTTGCAACATCATGTATAGGGAAAATTTGAGTATCATGTAGTAGCCTAAACCTATCGATGTTACATTGAGCTGGGTGAATGGAATATGAATGACAGTCATCCAATATGCTGTAATAGAAATAAGGCCATGCTCATCCAAAAAATATATTGTCCTCCCTCATCTTAAACGGCACCAACCGTCACTGGTGTGTATATGGTTTGTATTTATAGTCTAGTGAGTGTGCATAGGGTCAGTACAAGATAGAGTCAGTGCAGGTAGTTCGGGTACCATTAAATTACCATTTAGCTGTCTGGCTATTTGGCAGTCCCAGTCTGGCTATTCAATAGTAAAGTGTAGGCTTAATGACACCAGAAAGCTAGCAGACACTAGGCAGTGATACGTTCATCAACTCATACAAGTGCATTTAGAATCGATAGGTTCAGTTCAGAGAAAAAAAACAACAACTAAATATTGGTGAGATATTACATTTTGCCACCTAAGAATATATATATATATATATATATATATATATATATACCGTAATTTTCTGACTATAAGCCGCGCCTTTTTTCAAATTTTTCGACCCTGCGGCTTATATAACGGTGCGGCTAATCTATGGATTTTTACAGCTAACGGCCACTAGAAGACCTCCTAAATCTATGGATTTTACAGGTTACAGTCCACCAACTTGAACTCTATGGGCTCTATGACCGGTCCGCGCCCCCCACCTTTAAGCGGCGGGCTCCAGCAGGAAAAGCTGGAGGCCGGAAAAGAGTGAGACAGGTAGCGCGCAAAAGTAAAAGTGGAACCGAGAGTGGTACGAGAGACAGAACGAGAGCAAGACAGTTTGTCTCTTTCCCGACAATCCCCTCTGTGCACGAACCCTTACATATGGTAATTAAACATTAAAACACCTGCGGCTTATAGTCCAGTGCGGCTTATATATGTACACATCATTCAATATCATTCAATTTAGCTGCTGCGGCTTATACTCCGGTGCGCCTTATAGTGCGGAAAATACGGTATATACACACACACACACACACACACACACACACATACAGTGAGGGAAAAAAGTATTTGATCCCCTGCTGATTTTGTACGTTTGCCCACTGACAAAGAAATGATCAGTCTATCATTTTAATGGTAGGTTTATTTGAACAGTGAGAGACAGAATAACAACAAAAAAATCCAGAAAAACGCATTTCCAAAATGTTATAAATTGATTTGCATTTTAAATTAGGGAAATAAGTATTTGACCCCCTCTCAATCAGAAAGATTTCTGGCTCCCAGGTGTCTTTTATACAGGTAACGAGCTGAGATTATGAGCACACTCTTAAAGGGAGTGCTCCTAATCTCAGCTTGTTACCTGTATAAAAGACACCTGTCCACAGAAGCAATCAATCAATCAGATTCCAAACTCTCCACCATGGCCAAGACCAAAGAGCTCTCCAAGGATGTCAGGGACAAGATTGTAGACCTACACAAGGCTGGAATGGGCTACAAGACCATCGCCAAGCAGCTTGGTGAGAAGGTGACAACAGTTGGTGCGATTATTCGCAAATGGAAGAAACACAAAATAACTGTCAATCTCCCTCGGCCTGGGGCTCCATGCAAGATCTCACCTCGTGGAGTTGCAATGATCATGAGAACAGAGAGGAATCAGCCCAGAACTACACGGGAGGATCTTGTCAATGATCTCAAGGCAGCTGGGACCATAGTCACGAAGAAAACAATTGGTAACACACTATGCCGTGAAGGACTGAAATCCTGCAGCGCTCGCAAGGTCCCCCTGCTCAAGAAAGCACATATACAGGGCCGTCTGAAGTTTGCCAATGAACATCTGAATTATTCAGAGGAGAACTGGGTGAAAGTGTTGTTGTCAGATGAGACCAAAATGGAGCTCTTTGGCATCAACTCAACTCGGCGTGTTTGGAGGAGGAGGAATGCTGCCTATGACCCCAAGAACACCATCCACACCGCCAAACATGGAGGTGGAAACATTATGCTTTGGGGGTGTTTTTCTGCTAAGGGGACAGGACAACTTCACCGCATCAAAGGGACGATGGACGGGGCCATGTACCGTCAAATCTTGGGTGAGAACCTCCTTCCCTCAGCCAGGGCATTGAAAATGGGTCGTGGATGGGTATTCCAGCATGACAATGACCCAAAACACACGGCCAAGTCAACATAGGAATGGCTCAAGAAGAAGCACATTAAGGTCCTGGAGTGGCCTAGCCAGTCTCCAGACCTTAATCCCATAGAAAATCTGTGGAGGGAGCTGAAGGTTCGAGTTGCCAAACGTCAGCCTCGAAACCTTAATGACTTGGAGAAGATCTGCAAAGAGGAGTGGAACAAAATCCCTCCTGAGATGTGTGCAAACCTGGTGGCCAACTACAAGAAACGTCTGACCTCTGTGATTGCCAACAAGGGTTTTGCCACCAAGTACTAAATCATGTTTTGCAGAGGGGTCAAATACTTATTTCCCTCATTAAAATGCAAATCAATTAATAACATTTTTGACATGCGTTTTTCTGGATTTTCTTGTTGTTATTCTGTCTCTCACTGTTCAAATAAACCTACCATCCAAATTATAGACTGATCATGTCTTTGTCAGTGGGCAAACGTACAAAATCAGCAGGGGATCAAATACTTTTTCCCTCACTGTATACACACACACACACACACACACACACACACACACACACACACACACAGTGCCTTCGGAAAGTATTCAGACCCCTTCCTTTTTCCCCACATTTTGTTACGTTAGTCTTATTCTAAAATGGATTAAATAAAAATGTCCTCAGCCATCTACAAACAATATCCCATAATGACAAAGTGAAAACAGGTTTTTAGGAATGTTTGCAAATGTACATAAGTATTCAGACCATTTGCTATGAGACTCGAAATTGAGCTCAGGTGCATCCTGTTTCCATTGATCATTCTTGAGATGTTTCTACAACTTGATTGGAGTCCACCTGTGGTAAATTCAATTGATTGGACATGATTTGGAAAGGCACACACCTGTCTATATAAGGCCCCACAGTTGACAGTGCATATCAGAGCAAAAACCAAGCCATGAAGTGAAAGGAATTTTCCGTAGAGCTATGAGACAGGATTGTGTCGAGGCACAGATCTGGGGAAGGGTACCAAAAAAAGGCTGCAGCATTGAAGGTCCACAAGAACACAGTGGCCTCCATCATTCTTAAATGGAAGAAGTTTGGAACCACCAACACTCTTCCTAGAGCTGGCCGCATGGCCAAACTGAGCAATCGGGGGAGAAGGGCATTGGTCAGGGAGGTGACCAAGAACCCAATGGTCACTCTGACAGAGCTCCAGAGTTCCTCTGTGGAGATGGGAGAACCTTCCAGAAGGACAACAATCTCTGCAGCACTCCACCAATCAGGTCTTTATGGTAGAGTGGCCAGACGGAAGCCACTCCTCTGTAAAAGGCACATGACAGCCCACTTGGAATTTGCCAAAAGGCACCTAAAGACTCTCAGACCATGAGAAACAAGATTCTTTGTTCTGATGAAACCAAGATTGAACTCTTTGTCACGTCTGGAGGAAACCTGGCACCATCCCTATGGTGAAGCATGGTAGTGGCAGCATCATGCTGTGGGGATGTTTTTCAGTGGCAGGGACTGGGAGACTAGTCAGGATCGAGGGAACGATGAACGGAGCAAAGTACAGAAAGATCCTTGATGAAAACCTGCTCCAGAGCGCTCAGGACCTCAGACTTGGGCAAAGGTTCACCTTCCAACAGGACAACGACCCTAAGCACACAGCCAAGACAGCACAGGAGTGGCTTCGGGACAAGTCTCTGAATGTCCTTGATTTGCCCAGCCAGAGCCCGGACTTGAACCCGATCTAACATCTCTGGAGAGACCTGAAAATAGCTGTGCAGCAACACTCCCCATCCAACCTGACAGAGCTTGAGAGGATCTACAGAGAAGAATGGAAGTTACTCCTCAAATACAGGTGTGCCAAGCTTGTAGCATCATACCCAAGAAGACTTGATGCTGTAATCGCTGCCAAAAGTGCTTCAACAAAGTACTGAGAAAAGGGTCTAAATACTATATTTCCAGGTTTTTTTTATTATAAATTAGCAGAAATTTCTAAAAACCTGTTTTTGCTTTGTCATTATGGAGTATTATGTGTAGATTGATGAGGGGAAAAAAACGATTTAATCAATTTTAGAATAAGGCTGTAACGTAACAAAATGTGGAAAAAGTCAAGGGGTCTGAATACTTTCCGAAGGCACTGTATATATAAAGAAATCACTTTATTTTCACAGAAACAGAGGGAGAGACAGGCAAATGGGAGAATAGTAGGAGGTTGGACGCTGGGATTGAACCCCGGTCTCTGGTCGGGAACAGTATATGTGACTAGTCAGTAGCGTTAACACAGGCGTTTGCAAATGTAGCTACCTCTAAGGCTTTGTCTGTTCATCTGTGGTCTATCACCTCGCTGGACTTTGATTAACATTGCCTCCTGAAATGTAAAGAAAAAGACATTCCCCTAAATCAATAAGAGCTTTTCATACAGATTGATAATCTGACATTTAATTCCATCTGAGAGAGAATGCATTTGCTTGACGTACATGTAAAAAGGCGATTGCTGTGTCGTTGTAGTTGTTTTGATTCTGGATGTGCTCCAGGGTCTCCCAGTGACTATTGCACTTCAGATGCATCCCAAGCATGCCCGCTTTTTGGAAATTCAAGTTGCACATTTCACAGGTGTAAAAATCCCTGAAAAGACAATAGAATGGGACTGTCAGATCTGTGTCAATATTATTGTGCATTGCAGTAAGGATGTCCTTGCAAAAAACATGATAAGTCAAATGATGGTTCCTCCAATCATGTTTGTTCTTTACCTGGATAAGTCCTCATTTGGGCTTCTACTTCTCTTCTTTGTTACCTCTGGGGGAGACTTGATTTGGTCCCCTACTAAAAGGGACATCTAACAATCACACACACACTCTATCCCTTCACAACTCGCTCAGACCATTATCAAAATAACAGTTGCTTGGCAATCCTACCTCTTCCACTAGAATCTGATTGGCGATGATTGGGGTTGGTAATCCAGTTGGACTGGGTAAACCCAGGTGGACTTCTTGTCTGCTGAGGACAGAAACATCAAAATGCTGCACAGACGCAAGCCTCAGCAACATCTTTTGACCCTTTTCCCCAAATAATAACCTGACTGCAGGGAACATCTGAACCTCTTACCTCTTTATCAGGTACTGTGGTTGTGGACAATTCTCTCCCATTTCCCCTCCGCCCCCCATATGCATTGCGGGGGAATAGTGGCGTTTCTGTCGTGGGCAACGGCCGGGCTGAGTGGTCATGGCTTGACTGGTCATGTCTGGAGCCATGGCTCGACTGCTCATGTCTGGTACCAGAACGAGAGTATGACAAGTCCCAGTTGAGGCCGTCATGATGCCCAGCTACTGAAGCGGAGCCTTGATATCCAGTACTCAGGCCGCAGCTCTGTCCAATGACTCTGTGTCTGTGATGGTCTTCCCTGCCTTTGGAAGGCTCCACTTCGGAGTCTGATGATGAGCCAGGATCATACGGGTCGTAGAGCACAGCCCTGGAGAAAACATCAAGAGTATTTCTGGATTTTCAGGTCTCCACATTTCTACAGTATATGGTACCACTTTTAAGGAGGCCTTACACTAGGACTAGGCCATGTCTTCAATAGCCATATAACATACCAAGCGATGTTCCAAACAAGTCTAAATCAAATTTTTGCAGGAAATCCTCTGCTTGATACATTTAGAATGGATACATCAAAAGCAAAACTGAATATCTTACTTTTCTGAGTTGATTGTTTGCTGAGAGTTGTAAGATGCTGGTCTTACAGTCGAGTGTCTTGTGTGGTGGGTATAACCATGGGTTGTTTCTGTGTGGAATAAAATATGCTTTGTTCATTGAAATTATAAACAAGAACAGAATGTAGCTAATCATTAAGCAATCAGGTTTCCTATCCATATCAGACAGGTATTGCCAATATTGGACCATAGCTAAGTAGACCTACCTCCACTTCTCTGGGTTGGTGTGATGCTGTAATAGAATAAATACATTATATTAGTCAAGTGAATACTCTAAAACACAACACATTATAGTTTACGTTAGCTAGCTGGCCATTCATAATAATAACTCGCTAGCTAGCTAAGCAGCTAACAGTTAACGTTATTGCATGAATTATTATTGCTGGCATATTTGCTTTTTCAACGGGAAAAAACAGAAAACTATCTGCATCTTTATCATCATCTAACGTTACATCGCTTTTAAATATTATTTGATTAACTAGCTAACGTTAACAACATATGTACCCAATATCCCTTCAACATCCTAGTTGCGGTCCGAAGCCAGTAAACAATGAGATTAGCAATGAATGACAATGTAGCTAGTTAGTTGGCCTACCTTCCATGACCAGCAGTGCATATATTCGGTGGTCCATTATCATAAAACGAGTCATTATTTCGTCGACTCATTCTCGTCCTCTGGTAATGCACTATTAATGCTTACGGACATTCACATTTCTATTCTATTACTGTCTCGTTTACGTGGCTGCAGCTGGCTAAAAGTCTACCAATCTTTCGTCATGCTACAAATAAACTACAGTACACAACACCACTTTCAATATCTCCCTGTAGGAGCACGGAGGCGGCAGTGTAGAGATAATTTTTCTTCTTCTGTGGATTTATTAAATGGCGGTTGGCAACCAACTTTAAGGTGCATTACCGCCACCAACTGGACTGGAGTGTGGACCTGAGTCAGGGAAGGTCTAAGCAGCATAGAGATAGATAGAGAATACAATTTTGAATCTGTGCCATTTATAACGTCTGTGAAAGGACTGGCAGCGCCATTCGCTTTATGCAGCTAGCGGCCATATTGAATGACGTCGACAACAAAAAACGAGGCTAGGGTGGGAAAATAAGGAAGCTTCTCATTCAAAACAATGGCAGGCAAATGGACAAGCAACCTGCAGATACTACCACCAATTACAGTCACATCGATCTACAAATGGGCTGATGAATACCTCAGAATTCTGAAACTGGTCCAGACTAAAGGATACAGCAATTGGATCGAGGATATATCCACAATGTTGAAGGTAATTATGCGATTGTGCAATGCTTGCCTAAAGTTAGAGGCATCCAGCACAGTCTGTCTGGTGGCATCAGCAATGTTGCTGGCTAATATGTTAGGTGTTATGAATGTAAGTGTTACTTATCCATCATTCAAACATTCTCTCTTTAAATTGCAGCTCACATAATGGGTTGTTTAGCTTGAACTGTGCCCTTGTTTTGGTTGTTCTGTAACATTAACTAGCTATTGTAGGTATCACTAACAAGGTTAGATTATTCGCTAGCTAAGCTTGTCAAACGATTATTGATTCATGTCCATGTTGTCATGCTTTTTTGTAACGTAGCTAAGCTTGTCCAATGAATAACAATGCTTTATCATTCACAATTTAGTCTGGAGGATAGACACGGAAAGGTGTAGTGTGAGAGAATGAGACTCCTTGCGTGGTTCAGGTAGCCAGCTGATAATAGTGTAGGAATACTTAAGTGTTGCTCACATTCTTCTGAGCTTGTTCAGGGTTCAGGCTATTCTGGAAGACTACCATTCCATAACATAATGTTTATAAATGGTTTATACAGTGCCTTGCAAAGGTATTCATCCCCCTTGGCGTTTTTCCTATTTTGTTGCATTACAACCTAATTTAAATGTATTTTTGGATTTGATTTTTTAATGGACATACACAATAGTCCAAATTGGTGAAGTGAAAAAAATAACTTGTTTCAAACAATTCTAAAAAATAAATAACTGAAGTGGTGTGTGCATATGTATTGACCCCCTTTGCTATGAGGCCCCTAAATAAGATCTGGTGCAACCAATTACCTTCAGAAGTAACATAATTAGTTAAATAAAGTCCACCTGTGTGCAATCTAAGTGTCACATGATTTGTCACATGATCTCAGTATATACACCTGTTCTGAAAGGCCCCAGAGTCTGCAACACCACTAAGCAAAATATCAGAAACGTTGAACATAACATTTAACATTTTAGTCATTTAGCAGACGCTCTTATCCAGAGCGACTTACAGTTAGTGAGAGCATACATTTTCATACTGGCCCCCCGTGGGAACATCCCACGGAGCACCATTAAATCCATTATTTTAAAAATGGAAAGAACATGGCACCACAACAAACCTGCCAAGAGAGGGCCGCCCACCAACTCACAGACCAGGCAAGGAGGGCTTTAATCAGAGAGGCAAAAAAGAGACCAAAGATAACCCTGAAGGACCTGCAAAGCTCCACAGCGGAGATTGGAGTATCTGTCCATAGGACCACTCCACAGTGTAAGGGTTGGTGTGAGGTGTGACCCAGGTACGGTTCAGGATAGACAGTAGGCAAGGATGGTGAAACAAGGATCTTTACTAGTGGTCCAAAAGCCAGGATACAAAACAACAGACTATACACAAAAACAAATGAGGAGCACATAGGTCTCCAAAAAACAGGCTGACAACAAACAATACGAAATACTAACTCTGACTGGAAAAACACAATGACACAGGGAGAACACTTCTCGAGTACCTGTAACTCCGTCACGTGATCCGACACTGATACGTACTGCTTGACATCAAGGAACTAGCAGAGACAACTGAGCAAGGGAACACAGGGAAGTGAGGGCATAAATACACAGGTGAATCAGATAGCCACAGGTGACACCAATAGGCAGATAATTAGTCCCGACTGTGAGTGAAGAGGTGCCTATGGTTGTCGGAGGATGACACCTAGCGGGTCGCTCCGGAACTGCGACCCACTCCTTTAACACCCCAGAGCTGGGCTTTACGGAAGAGTGGCCAGAAAAAAGCCATTGCTTAAAGAAAAAAATAAGCAAACACGTTTGGTGTTCGCCAAAAGGCATGTGGGAGACTCCCCAAACATATGGAAGAAGGTACTCTGATCAGATGAGGCTAAAATTGAGCTTTTTGGCCATCAAGGAAAACGCTATGTCTGGCACAAACCCAACACCTCTCATCACCCCGAGAACACCATCCCCACAGTGAAGCATGGTGGTGGCAGCATCATGCTGTGGTGATGTTTTTCATCGGCAGGGACTGGGAAACTGGTCAGAATTGAATATAGGGACATTCTTGAGGGAAACCTGTTTCAGTCTCCAGAGGTTTGAGACTGGGACAGAGGTTCACCTTCCAGCAGGACAATGACCCTAAGCATATTGCTAAAGCAACACTCGAGTGGTTTAAGGGGAAACATTTAAATGTCTTGGAATGGCCTAGTCAAAGCCCAGACCTCAATCCAATTGAGAATCTGTGGTATGACTTAAAGATTGCTGTACACCAGCGGAACCCATCCAACTTGAAGGAGCTGGAGCAGTTTTGCCTTGAAGAATGGGCAAAAATCCCAGTGGCTAGATGTGCCAAGCTTATAGAGACATACCCCAAGAGACTTGCAGCTGTAATTGCTGCAAAAGGTGGCTCTACAAGGTATTGACTTTGGGGGGGTGAATAGTTATGCACGCTCAAGTTCTGTTTTTTTGTCTTATTTCTTGTTTGTTTCACCCCCAAAAATATTTTGCATCTTCAAAGTGGTAGGCATGTTGTGTAAATCAAATGATATAACCCCCCAAAAAATCCATTTTAATTCCAGGTTGTAAGGCAACAAAATAGGAAAAATGCCAAGGGGGGTGAATACTTTCGCAAGCCACTGTAAGTAGGTGTTTCAATCATTGCATACCATAAGGTGTTTTATTAACCCCACCAGGCTTTGTAAAGGTTTTCCTGAGATATATATGATTAGCAGCCTATGATGAGTCTATATTCAGGATGTCACTGTTCAATGGAATGGTTGTGCTCCAGCAATTAGAAAAACAACCCCTTATTCAGTTATTTCCTTTCATTTTCTTTCCTCTGCTCATGTTCAATTTTACATCCCCCCTTCCACTGCTGAGAAACAAAAAACCTCAAACAATGTGTCAAAAATGATTATCAATAGTGTTAAGTTGCGTCATTCGAATCTGGTATCAGAACAGAATTTAACACTAAGTCACTGAATATATTCTCAGCTTTTTTATTAATATAATTAGTCAAGCGAATAAATGGTAAATGCAATCTTCGTATATACGGGTTCACTGTAACACCTCACAGGGCTAACAGAGAACTAACTGTCCCAACCCAAAGTTATTATTTTAATACTCTGACAGAGATAGTTCCCGTTCAAAGCGGGCCTGTCAGAGTAGAGGCTGAGCGTAGTTTAAACTTACTCAGCCTGTCGTTGGCGCACAGGCTGGTCCCAGCCCCTTGGCGCTTCACTGTTGCCGGGCATTAGTTGTTTTTGCAACCTGTCTTGAGAGTCAGCAACCTCAGACATAGTTTCCTCTTCTTCATTGTTGCAGTACACATGTCCTTGAGCGGTTTAACAAAGAGGCAGTATGTGTGTGTGTGTGTGTGTGTGTGTCACAAGTCTATCTCAGCCTCCCCCCTAACGGTTCCTCACATTAGTCACAGCTTGTTATGTTAAACAATCTATATCAGTACAGCACAAACCTATTATGTTTAATCATTAATGTATTCTTTTTAAGCTAGGCATCACATCTAATTATAAGAAAATAGATTCCAACAATAGTACATTTTCCAATAGTGAGCTCCCATTTTAGATTGTGGGGATTGTTTTTTTTCGCACAGCAAGTTAGTTATGCTAGACACTATTACAGTGGATTTTCAAGCAGAGACTACAATAGCCTATATTTGGTCAATACTTATAAAAGTAGTGTGTGGAGATACACATCTACCCCAAATACATTTTTACATTGGTGTTTTATTACTGTCATCATTAACTCTCTTGAAAAATCCATAATATCTTTCAATTCCAACTGCGAAAATGTTGTTCTATGTCTACTTTGGCTCACCTGATGTGAGTATTACTTTTGTTGTTTGAAATGCCTTTTTGTTGCTATGCTTTCAGGTGGACCTTTCACCTGAGTCTCTTCATTGAAAAGTCAGTGCAACTGCAATGCTGGACAAGGACAGTATAATCACCTTATTGGTTTGCTGTACACTTCAGCACACTACATCAACATGGGATGCAAGACTGTCCCTCCCACAGAGAGCAAAACCTCTTTACCCCAGACCTGGCACGTCCCATCACGCGCCTTGGGTTTGAGATATAAACCCATCAATACTGTGGAGATCTCAAAGATACCCAGAAAGGACATGCCCCCTGTAAAGAAGGTGCGCTCAGGTGAGGGGATAGTAAGCAACCTCTACTGACCAGTACCACTCCCCCTGCACAAAGCCTTAAGAACAACCTCTCTGACATTGGAAACACGTCAACTCCTCACACTCATGAACTCCCCAGCACATCAGCCAAAGAGTGTACCCTCACAATATGGGGATCTGCCCTTTGGGTCTGTCTTGACTTATCAAAATCTCAATGTGCCAGAGCCCACCCCCACTGATGATAAACCCACCTTTCCACTGCCTCCACAGGCCAGTAGCTTTACACCTGTTCTGAATCAAGATGAGATGGACCTTTACGGTGGTATGGAGATAACAGTCTGACGCAGAACACCTTGAGAGGGAAACTAGAGAGCAAAGTAACAAAGTCTGGCATTGTGTGCGCTCTCAGTGCATTACCTCATCTAATTTCAAAAGGGTGTGCTCAAGGCAAGCAGGCATGGACAGCCTTGCTACAAATCTACAGAGGAGTAAAATAAATGGGCAGACCAAGGCAATGAAAAGGGGGCTTGAGCTAGAATCAGTGGCTGCAGCAATATACACAGAAATCTCTGGCAAAGACGTCTTACCACGTGGCTTTGTGATTAACCCCCATTGTCCCGATTTAGGTGCATCCCCAGACAGAGAGGTGGTTGACCAATCTGAGACTCCTCCTCATGGCCTCTTAGAAATGAAATGCCCAGATCAGAACAGCTACGAGGGTTGTCCATATCTCACTTCAAATGCAGATGGTACTTTCTTTTTAAAACAGAATCACTAGTACCACTATCAAATGATGGGACAAATGGGTATCACAGGAACCAAATGGTATGACTTCTTTGTGATGTGCAACGACAACTATCACTTGGAGAGAATATATACATTGAGAAGCCCAAAACTGGGTTGACGCAAGACAAACAATTTAATAATCAAAAATAAATATTTCCTGAATAACTGTAGTAGATAAGCTTTACACAAGGGGATGCTACCGTTGGCAGGCAGGCAGAGGCTTCTGAACGTAATCATGGTCAGGGTGTGGTACGCTTGCCTCCACCTCTTCGCCAGAACTGCAAGGTGAAAAGGAAGGCAAGAAAATTGTTTTTAACAAGCCCAACTACATGCTCTTAAAATGAATACTATCAGCTCTACATCTTCTATTCCAAATACAGGCCATGCAAATGAATACATCTTCCTTTTCTGTTAGTAGAACGCTTACAGAAAAATAACTCAAAATTAACTTGCATGGCCTATATGTAGAGTAGACTGGCAGAAACTAATGTATTCATTGTGAAAGATTGTAAATGGGAGCTAGTGACCGAGGTTAAACCAAATATTGTAAACTCACAAAAACACTAAAGTGACTGAAGTTCAGATAGCAAGTCTATACCTGACTATGATTTGGCAAGCCAGGTTCTCAGCTTGAGGGCCCTGATCCAGTGAGTCACTGCAGATACAAGGTTATGTTACATAAACCTGCTATGAACTATTGAAAATTACAGAAAAGATACACATGTAATAATAAACAACTACCTTAGCTCATCTGGCTCCTCAGCAGGTGCATCCTTTCCATGACGGGCAGCCTCACTGTAACACTGAAAAATACAATACAGTTGATTAATGATTCTACCTGACAAGTTGTATAATAAACTAGTAGTTACCTAGTTTAGGGGTAAGCTAAGCTAGATAGGCCTACCTTGCAGCTTTTCTGATGATGGTCCTCCTGCCAGGCTTTGGGGTGGACATCCAGGTGAACACAGTCGGCACAACCTACTCCTTTAGCATCCATTTCCCACTTATGGTCTTTAAAAAGGAATCCACAACAAAGTGTTTTGAACACAATTTGGTGTTATCAGTTAACTGTGTAGGGAAATATTGATCCAGTTTAGTTATCAAGCATCATAACTTGCTATATTGGTTAGAGATGCAAAGATAGCTACTAAGTTAACCAATGTTAGCAGTTCTCAGCTAACTGGTGGCTGTGTTGTTAGCCTGGCTGGCCAGTGGTTAGCTAGCTAACTAGCAACATTAAATTCAACAATCTTAACTTACCTTAAAATGTGGCCTGACAACTCTCTTTATTTTCACCACTCATTGTCATCGGATTGCGGGGTCTTTGGGGAAACAGTGAAAAATGTATTCTTTGCATGACTCCCTCCTTTTGTAGGAGTTACATCCAGGGATGCAGAAGTATGAAGTTTGAATATGTTGCCCTGGTTTCCGGTCTCTGTTTCCCACCCAGGGCCTCGTTTTCATTCAGCCGGAAGTGACGTATCGCGTCGTGTGAATTAAGCGAATTGAGGCGATCTCCATTTTAAATTAGTCAATTTTCTTCTTCACGATTGGCTGATCCCTCCTGACATGATTCCAACAGGGTCTGACATGATTCCAACAGGGTCACCAGGAGGGATCAGCCAATGAAGTTGGAAGTCCCACCCAGCTGACTACATTAAAATGGTGGAAGCCCTCAATGGTGCTGCACATGCTAAAACTGCCTGATGACCACTAGAGACCTCTATCATTCTCTATGGGTGAATGGGGCGCAGCATTTTCCTACTCTGTGACAGAAGCTAGTCAACTAAGATACTGCAAAGAAGCTGCTTCTAGGCTCTAAACTATGAATGATTATTGCCACCTATCATGCTGGAGTATTTAGACTACTCTATTCCCCTTCCAAATTTCCAAACAACAGTATTTTATTGATGATTCAACTTGTTAGTTGCAATGGCCCTGGTAAAAGGTATACTATGAATTATAGCTATAGTAAGGCTTAAAATGACAAGAGATCTCCATATGCCAAGCTATCTGTGGCTTGCTTGTAATGTCATTATTAGCTACAATAAAGTGTAACCAGGCGCAGCAGCAAGCAAATGTCCAACAAAGTGTTGGAATTTCTGCCATCATCCTTGAAGGGAGATAAAGAAAGTCACACACATAACTCAACTTGACTATATAAAATTGAATTACCAAAGTACTGGCAAGATAGTGTTCTCTGCAAAGCCTGAATTGATCTCATCTGGCCTGATGTCAGAGTTACAGGCATTAACTTCCAGATTGTATTTCAAAAGTTGCAAATTATTATTATTTTATTGCCCTATTCAAATGTCCCTATTGTTTTGGCATTACATCCTCCCTAAAGATGTTGTGTATGTTGTACCTTTGCTTGATCAAGGACATTCAGTTAATGTCATGCACATGTGATAACAAACCCTCAACAAATCATTTTGTACAGCTGCTTACCAATTATCTATTTCTTTATACAGATATAACTGCATTATGATAAGATGCCACAGGAGCACCTTTGTACATACTGTACATAATATATTTAAGGTTTATTTAGAATTTTACACATTTGTAGCTAAAAGCTGATTTACAGAATACGTAATTAAGTACAGTACCAGTCAAAAGTTTGGACACACCTACTCATTCACAGGTTTTCTACATTGTAGAATAATAGTGAAGACATCGAAACTATGAAATAACACATATGGAATCATGAAGTAACCAAAAAAGTGTTAAACAAATCAAAATATATTTTAGATTCTTCAAAGTAGCCACCACCCTTTACCTTGATGACAGCTTTGCACACTCTTGGCATTCTCTCAACCAGCTTAATGAGGAATGCTTTTCCAACAGTCTTGAAGGAGTTCTCACATATGCTGAGCACTTATTGGCTGCTTTTCCTTCACTCTGTGGTCCAACTCATCCCAAACCATCTCAAATGGGTTGAGGTCGGGTGATTGTGGAAGCCAGGTCATCTGATGCAGCACTCCATCACTCTCCTTCTTGGTCAAATAGCTCTTACACAGCCTGGAGGTGTGTTAGGTCATTGTCCTGTTGAAAAACAAATGATAGTCCCACTAAGCGCAAATCAGATGGGATGGCGTATCGCTGCAGAATGCTGTGGTAGCCTGTGGTGGATAAATCAGAATTAGCTAGGTAACATTGATAATTAAGATGTCTTATCTGCATAATATGCTTATATGATTGAATTGTTGAACTCTTGTTATTAGAATGTCTCCTTTCGGACTCTGGTGGGGGCAACTTTCGACTTCAACTATATATACACTACTGGTCAAAAGTTTTAGAACAGCTACTCATGGGTTTTTATTAATTTTTACTATTTTCTACATTGTAGAATAATAGTGAAGACATCAAAACTATTAAATAACACATATGGAATCATGTAGTAGCCAAAAAGTGTTAAACACATTTTTTAGATTTGAGATTCTTCAAAGTAGCCACCCTTTGCCTTGATGACAGCTTTGCACACTCTTGGCATTCTCTCAACCAGCTTCATGAGGTAGTCACCTGGAATGCATTTCAATTAACAGGTGTGCCTTCTTAAAAGTTAATTTTTTGAATTTCTTTCCTTCTTAATGCGTTTGAGCCAATCAGTTGTATTGTGACAAGGTAGGGGGGTGGTATACAGAAGATAGCCCTATTTGGTAAAAGACCAAGTCCATATTATGGCAAGAACAGCTCAAATAAGCAAAGAGAAACGACAGTCCATCATTACTTTAAGACATGAAGGTCAGTCAATACGGACATTTTCATGAACTTTGCAAAGCTGTCATCAAGTGCAGTCGCAAAAACCATCAAGCGCTATGATGAAACTGCTTCTCATGAGGACCGCCACAGGAATGGAAGACCCAGAGTTACCTCTGCTGCAGAGGACAAGTTCATTAGAGTTACCAGCCTCAGAAATTGCAGCCCTAAGAAACCACTACTAAAGGACACCAATAAGAAGAAGAGACTTGCTTGGGCCAAGTAACACGAGCAATGGACATTAGACTGATGGAAATCTGTCCTTTGGTCTGGAGTCCAAATGGGAGATTTTTGGTTCCAACCGCCGTGTCTTTGTGAGACGCGGTGTGGGTGAGCGGATGATCTCTGCATGTGTATTTCCCACCGTAAAGCATGGAGGAGGAGGTGTTATGGTGGGGGTGCTTTGTTGGTGACACTGTCTGTGATTTATTTAGAATTCAAGCCACACTTAACCAGCATGGCTACCACAGCATTCTGCAGCGATACACCATCCCATCTGGTTTGGGCTTAGTGGGACTATCATTTGTTTTTCAACAGGACAATGACCCAACACACCTCCAGGCTGTGTAAGGGCTATTTGACCAAGAAGGAGAGTGATGGAGTGCTGCATCTGATGACCTGGCCTCCACAATCCCCTGACCTCAACCCAATTGAGATGGTTTGGGATGAGTCTGACCGCAGAGTGAAAGAAAAGCAGCCAACAGGTGCTCAGCATATGTGGGAACTCCTTCAAGACTGTTGGAAAAGCATTCCAGGTGAAGCTGGTTGAGAGAATGCCAAGAATGTGCAAAGCTGTCATCAAGGCAAAGGGTGGCTATTTGAAGAATCTCAAATGTAAAATATATTTTGATTTGTTTAACACTTTTTTTGGTTGCTACATGATTCAATATGTGTTATTTCATAGTTTTGATGTCTTCACTATTATTCTACAATGTAGAAAATAGTCAAAATAAAGAAAAACCCTTAAATGAGTAGGTGTTCTAAAACGTTTGACTGGTAGTGTATATACAGTGGGGGAAAAAAGTATTTAGTCAGCCACCAATTGTGCAAGTTCTCCCACTTAAAAAGATGAGAGAGGCCTGTAATTTTCATCATAGGTACACGTCAACTATGACAGACAAATTGAGAAGAAAAAAAATCCAGAAAATCACATTGTAGGATTTTTTATGAATTTATTTGCAAATTATGGTGGAAAATAAGTATTTGGTCACCTACAAACAAGCAAGATTTCTGGCTCTCACAGACCTGTAACTTCTTATTTAAGAGGCTCCTCTGTCCTCCACTCGTTACCTGTATTAATGGCACCTGTTTGAACTTGTTATCAGTATAAAAGACACCTGTCCACAACCTCAAACAGTCACACTCCAAACTCCACTATGGCCAAGACCAAAGAGCTGTCAAAGGACACCAGAAACAAAATTGTAGACCTGCACCAGGCTGGGAAGACTGAATCTGCAATAGGTAAGCAGCTTGGTTTGAAGAAATCAACTGTGGGAGCAATTATTAGGAAATGGAAGACATACAAGACCACTGATAATCTCCCTCGATCTGGGGCTCCACGCAAGATCTCACCCCGTGGGGTCAAAATGATCACAAGAACGGTGAGCAAAAATCCCAGAACCACACGGGGGGACCTAGTGATGACCTGCAGAGAGCTGGGACCAAAGTAACAAAGCCTACCATCGGTAACACACTACGCCGCCAGGGACTCAAATCCTGCAGTGCCAGACGTGTCCCCCTGCTTAAGCCAGTACATGTCCAGGCCCGTCTGAAGTTTGCTAGAGTGCATTTGGATGATCCAGAAGAGGATTGGGAGAATGTCATATGGTCAGATGAAACCAAAATAGAACTTTTTGGTAAAAACTCAACTCGTCGTGTTTGGAGGACAAAGAATGCTGAGTTGCATCCAAAGAGCACCATACCTACTGTGAAGCATGGGGGTGGAAACATCATGCTTTGGGGCTGTTTTTCTGCAAAGGGACCAGGACGACTGATCCGTGTAAAGGAAAGAATGAATGGGGCCATGTATCGTGAGATTGTGAGTGAAAACCTCCTTCCATCAGCAAGGGCATTGAAGATGAAACGTGGCTGGGTCTTTCAGCATGACAATGATCCCAAACACACCGCCCGGGCAACGAAGGAGTGGCTTCGTAAGAAGCATTTCAAGGTCCTGGAGTGGCCTAGCCAGTCTCCAGATCTCAGCCCCATAGAAAATCTTTGGAGGGAGTTGAAAGTCTGTGT